CACAGTCTGCTTGTGTTATGTACAAATGAGGATTAGAAAGTAGCTATGCTGCTCAATCAATGACCAGTGCAGATTTTACAATCACAACAACAGCTTTATCAGCTGTGTAGCCCTCTTTTGAATGTCCAGTTGAGAAGCAAGCTGGCTCCCTTATCCATCTTAACAAAGCACCAGACAACTGACTCAAAAGTAAGTTTAAAACATGATTTACTTACTCATAGTTTTGTACTGGTTCTCAGCTACAGCAGCAGGTAAAATACTTAAATTTACAGTAGAAACAACCGGCCATTTGTCTATTGTAGTACATAACATCTATAGTTGGAGCAAGCAAACATTTGTCCTTTTATATGGCTGGTGAGAGAGAGAGAGAGAGAGAGAGAGAAGCAGGAAATTACTGTACTACATGATCCTTTCCCCTCAGGAAAGCAGGGGAAATGACATCACACAGAACCCTCTCTACCAATTATATTTCTGTGGTCCAAGGTTCTGCCTATCAGCAATACAGCTCTGTGCTCTTAGACGCCTTTCATGCTAACTAACAAGAATATGTACAGTGGTTAAGTACTTAATTTGTTCCGGAGGTCCGTTCTTAACCTGAAACTGTTCTTAACCTGAAGCACCACTTTAGCTAATGGGGCCTCCTGCTACTGCCGCGCTGCCGGAGCACGATTTCTGTTCTCATCCTGAAGAAAGGTTCTTAACCTGAAGCAATATTTCTGGGTTAGCGGAGTCTGTAAGCTGAAGCGTATGTAACCCGAGGTACCACTGTATTGGGTTTGACTGCTGAATCTCCCACATTAAGTCGCAATGACTAATACGTCTTCACCCTGTGAACTAATCCCTCTGCATTAACTCCCAACCAGCCAGAGCTACATGACTGCAGGCTAGTTAGGCCTTTGAAGGATTGTATACACAGGACTCACACAGGAGTTCCCCCTTTTGTGTATTTACTGTTGCCCATCCCTTCTCCAAGTTGTGATAAATTCCAGGGGTACAGCACTTACCTGTGTTTGGCTTTCTTTGGAAGGAGGCCACTGAAGATTTATGGTGGACTGGCTATCAGGGACTGGCTAGATACTGAGTGGGCAGTGGGAGAAGGGGGTTGGAGACTTGACTTGGAATAAGGGATCTGTGAACTGGGGAAACCTGTAACAGCCAGGAGGGCAGGGGCAGAGGCAGGAGAAGCTGAAGGATTGGAGAATAAATAACTGTTGCAGGGAGAAGGATAGGTCTGGCTGTTCTCACCCTGAAGCAAAGCTCTTAACCTGAAGCACTATTTCTGGGTTAGCAGAGTCTGTAACCTGAAGCGTATGTAACCTGAAGCGTATGTAACCCGAGGTACCACTGTATACAGGTTGTACATGGGTGGAGGAATGGCTCCAACAAACAACTCCACCACATCAGCTCCAGAGAGAGCAACCTCCAGAAATACACTTTCCAGAGCTTGCTTCCCTACTTGCTTCTTTCTGTGTGTCTCACTCAAGAACTGAACCTTGCCTCCTGAAATGCTTTTGTGGGTTAACATTCACACCTACCTCTCATCTGCTTGGACATAGGAAATAGGTGTCCTAGCCTTCTTGATCCATTTCACAGTCAGAAGCTGCAGAAGTTTGTCATTGACCATCATCATCATCATCATTATTATTAATTCTATATTTACATAAAACTACCCAATAAAAGGACGCGGGTGGCGCTGTGGGTTAAACCACAGATCCTAGAACTTGCCGATCAGAAGGTCGGTGGTTTGAATCCCCTCGACGGGGTGAGCTCCCGTTGCTCGGTCCCAGCTCCTGCCAACCTAGCAGTTCGAAAGCACATCAAAGTGCAAGTAGTTAAATAGGTACCACTCTGGCGGGAAGGTAAACGGCGTTTCCGTGCGCTGCTCTGGTTTGCCAGAAGCGGCTTAGTCATGCTGGCCACATGACCCGGAAGCTGTACACCGGCTTCCTCGGCCAATAAAGCAAGATGAGCGCCGCAACCCCAGAGTCGGCCACAACTGGACGTAATGATCAGGGGTCCCTTTACCTTTATCTTACCCAATAACATGGTTATAACATAATAAAAGCAGATGACCAGCTTATATAGAGCATATGAAGTCTGGTTCAGAATCTTAAAAACACAGATGTTAAGCCTCAGAGAATTTTTAAAGAAGTCGTCACTTGATGTTGTAATTGCCATAAAGAAGGCAGCTCTAGAGAGACCATTCCACAACTAGGGTGCTACCACTAAGAAGGAATACTGGCAGTCCTTCTGGCCCCACACTTTCTTGTCCCAAATTCCCAGCATAAATAATATTCTCTGCTTTAGTTTTGGATTCCTGCTTGCGTGCTTTCGTCTGGCATTCTTTACCACATTGCCTTCTTGTTTATAGGAGCTCAGCTTTTCCTTGATTTTGTAATCACTTGGAGGACAACGATCTTGATATGGAACAACATAATCTTTTGAACTGGGGTTGAGATTGTTTTTAGGCTTTACATAAAAATTGCATTCCTCCTTTGTTGTTTTACCTTCCTCTTGAAATACACTTCTTAATCATATTGCTTTCTTTGTTATGCACAGCCTGTGGAATGTTTTATGCTCTTAATTTACCCAGAGTTGGTAGAGTCAGTATGCGACTGACGTCATGGATCAGCCATCATAGATATTTATCTTACCACATGAACAAAAATCATCAAGGGGAGTCAGGTTAAGATTTGTGACATGCTTATTATGAGTTAATTGCAACCTGAAGTGGGCAGCTAAACCAGCATTGGCTGCTGCTAATTACAATAGCAATACAAGAGGAGAAAAACTAGTTTAGGAAGCGTGGGGGGGGGGGGGGATGGAAGTGTATGAGGCTAAACAGGCATGGTATAGTCATGTTACCTTAGTGCCACAACACTTTCCTGCTTCCTTTCTCCGTTTTTTCTTACATCCTATGGTCAGTGGTTATGGATCTCTTAACTCTTACAGCTCTTGTTCTCTCTGTCCTCTTTATGGATGTTTCCCATATTTCCAACATGTTGCCTTGAATTGACACTTCACAGCCTTTATCTAGCTGTATACACTTCATATCTTATGTATACATTTGTTTTCCTGGATATTTATTAGTGTGGAATTCTCAGTGCTGCTGAGTAGTAGCACATAGGCATAAGAGACGGACAGACAGACAGACAGACATTTTAGCCCTCCATCATCTACTGTCTCAAAATTGATTGACAAGAAGGTGCATGGATTTGACCGATAAACTGAATTTAAAAATAGAGCTGAAATAAATGAGTTAATTAACACCAACAGAAGTAAATATCAGATTGAGGAACATATTTATTTTCCAGTCTGTCGGTAAACTCATAGCTTGCAAAAGAGAAAGTGTTAAATATAGAAGGGATACATCCATCGGTGATGTGGGGAAGGACATTCAGTCTCAGGGCACCCAGTACAGAGTATCAGCAAATTGATCCAAAACCTTTGTGCTTCTATAGTCAGGCTGCAATGCTGGCATAATGTCAATGCAGTTTTGGCACCATGTCTGCTGTGTGGCATAGATATTGATGCACACCCTCATATACACTCCCCTAGTAATGCTTTGGAAATTCAGGTAGGAAATGCAGCAAGGCCAGGAAATTGCTATAGACAATTTTGGAGACATTAGATGCAAGGAGTAGATATGCAGTGCTGATGAAAAGGTTCTCTGAGTTTCACAAAATGCACATCTCATGCTTTTCCCTGATTCTCCCAATATTGCTTCTCGGTGGGCCTTTCTGCACATTGTTTTCTGTGTGAAATATATGTACATTTCTTTCTCTCTGTGCCCTCTACTAGTCTTGCCCCAAGGCTGTGATTCCGTTGTTAAGGACATCACATTTCCCCTGCACTCAAATCACAGCAATTTGAACCTTAGGAAAAATGCAGTGCTTACACCCAATATATAGCAAATTAATTATGACTGCGGAATGTAAATAGGAACTTATTTGGACATTATATTTATTAATTTTACTATTTATTTGCTCATTTCATTTGTCCCACCCTTCATCACGTATGATCTCAGGGCAGCTAACAATAGAAAATCCCAATACCATTGAAACAGCAAAAATTAAAACCATATATCACAGTTAAAGGCTCCAGTACAATCTCAGCGATACAACAAGCCTGCACTAATAATTTCACAGCTGGATACAAAAGCTCAGAGCCCCGCAAAGGTCTGAGCAAAGAGGAACATCTTCAAGCTGCATAGAAAGATATAGTGATTGCACTCACCTCTGAGGATAAGGGGATTTATAAACCAGGTCTGTAACTGGTCTATAGTCAAGCTAGAGGAATGAGGGAATGACTTGAAGCAACTTCATTCTTCAGAGCCTTTAATGCGAAACTTTTGCAGCAACTTGAATGCCTCTGGAATTGGATCAGGTGAGTTTAGGGGAACTTATTAATACTAAGGGAATATAACTAAATTACAAACTCTATCATTACAAGGTACCACCGTAGAGAAGGCGCTTATATATGATGTCATAAGTGAACAGCATGAATTTCCCTTCTTCATGTGCCTGCATTATTTTCTAAACTTGAGGTGGTATGCTCTTGCTGCTGTATACCTTCAACTTCAGAGGACTCAACCAGAGATATATGAAGAAAAATAGATTTCTCTCTCCTGTTGTGTGAATTGTTAATTTGGAAGCAGGTAATCTACCTGTTCTGCCCAGCCTCCCTCATTTAACTAAGACAAAGGGATCTGCACCAGCATGGCTATTGTCCACATGGGATATTATGCTATTGACATTTGAAGGGACTTTTAAAACATTGCGGCATGTATTATTGACTGATTGTCTGGAAAAGCCCCATGGGCATTTTCAAAATGTTGGTAGCAAAGATGTCACTTTAGAGATTACCCTTGGTAACTTGTGCAGTAAAGTGTTAACAGAGAAGACTGTTTATTATATTGCACAACAAACTAATTTTGCATTTTTATTCATCCTGAGATTACCTTTCGTTTCTTTTAGCAGTCTGCTGTGACTTTCTTTGACCTATCGATTTCATGGTGTTGAATGTTTCCCACTTAATATTGATGCTATTTGTGTTGTGTGTGCAGGTTTTTCTTTTGAAATCTGTTGTTTAGTCATTTAGTCGTGTCCGACTCTTTGTGACCCCATGGACCAGAGCACGCCAGGCACGCCTGTCTTTGAAATCTATTTCCCTAAAAATAAAAAAACAGAACATTTGAGAAGCATTCAGGTTGTGAAAGCTTTTTGAAATACAGTCATACCTTGGAAGTTGAACGGAATGTGTTCTGGAAGTCTGTTCAAGTTCCAAAACGTTTGGAAACCAAAACACGGCTTCTGATTGGCTGCAGGAAGCCAAGGTACGACTGTAAAACCATTTTGACCATGCATCTCAGTAGGGACTGTGCCTATCTAACTTCATATAGATGGGCCCACAAACAACACTGAAAGCAAAACTCTGCATTGACATGAATCACACTTCTGGTCCATAAAGCAATTGACTTGGGCTGTACAGGGGAACCTGGGCCTAAGTTATTCAGGCCTGTGGTAGCAGACATGACTAATAACTAACTACTGTATTGCATGAGCTATACTGAGCTGCCACCAGAGGGGTTCCTGAACTGTTCTATAACTGTTTCCTATACAGACAGTGTTTCATTCAATTAGAAATAAAGCAATGCTGTATTGTACATATTGGGGAAGGGCTAGCAATTAGCAAAGCAAGCATGTATATTTCATTGTCAGGTCTCAGCCTTATTTTTTTGCTTTTGTTTTATTATATATTTTGTGTTTTCATTTTGTGTGTTTACGTTGTGAACCGCCCCGTGATCTTTGGATGAAGAGCGGTATGCATAATTAATAAATAATAATAAAAAGGTGCATGGTGGCAGTTTCAAAAGATACAATGGAAGGCAGGGAAAGAACACTCTGTGTTCAAATGGCAGTCACAGCTTAATGCCTGTTGCGGAGGAAACTTCTGCAGTCTACAAACTGAAAAACTAAAAGGAGCTGCTTCTGGAAAAGATTTTGAGGTCCAACTTCAGCCACCACTGACTCAAATTGAGCGCTGAAACTAACTGTTCTGTCACCACTGTATTGGATGTCAGTATTGCCAAGAACATCATTATATGTAAATTTCCCAAAGTTAAATTCTGGGAATTGAAACAGCACATCAAAAAAAGGTAGCATGGTTCTTGTGAGATTCTTCCTTTGCATCTGCATTTCATTTTGCAGTTAGAGTTGCAAACAAGCAAACCCCTTCCTCCCTTTCCTTTCCTTTCCTTTCCTTTCCTTTCCTTTTCTTTTTTGGAAGGGCTCCTTTGACTTTAGGATCAGATACAGTATGTCTCTGAATACCTGTTTCTGAGGAGCACAAACAGGGGCACTGCTGCTGTGCTCATGTCCTTCTTGTAGACTTCCTAGAGGCAACCGGTTGGCTACTGTGAACAGGATGCTGGAGTAGGTGATCTTCTCAGGTGTTTAAATTTAACTTTCAAAATGTAACAATAACAGTAACAAAATGAGGTATCCTAGCTGTCAAAACTACAGTACTATAGGTAAACGTAAAGGGACCCCTGACCATTAGGTCTAGTCGTGACCGACTCAGGTTGCGGCACTCATCTTGCTTTATTGGCCAAGGGAGCCGGTGTACAGCTTCCGGGTCATGTGGCCAGCATGACAGCTGCTTCTGGCGAACCAGAGCAGCGCATGGAAACACCGTTTACCTTCCCGCCAGAGCGGTACCTATTTATCTACTTACACTTTGATGTGCTTTCGAACTGCTAGGTTGGCAGGAGCAGGGACTGAGGAACGGGAGCTCACCCCGTCGCGGGGATTCGAACCGCCAACCTTCTGATCGGCAAGTCCTAGGCTCTGTGGTTTAACCGACAGCGCCACCCGCGTCCCTCAGGTACAGTACTATATCTGTCCCCCTGAGGGACAGTACTATATCTGGGACATATTCTGCAGTCATAGGCGTACTGTAGACAGTACAAAGGCATGTTAATGTAAGTCATGTCTAAACTGATCCTTTTTTGGTTGGGGAGATTATCTTAAATACAGTATATTAATCCAGTCAAACCGCTGGAGAATCACAGCAGCTGCTGTGGCTGCAGAGACTGGCAGCTTGTAACTGCTGCTTCCTGTGTTGTTTTAGTGGCACAAAAGTGACCTCCTTGCAAGCCTGGGCAGTGTGTATGGAGGTCCTGGGCTGTCTTCCTGGCCTCGCTGATAAGGTCCAAAGGAAAGCAGAGATATGTTTGACACCAGCTTGGCTGCAGCTAGTTGCCAGAAGGAGGCGAACAAGGCGCCATCCAACCTCCTTGGGGGCTCCATTCCGGATTTGTGTAGGGTTTACTCCTTAGCCTTTTCTTCTCCTGAAGATGTCCTGCAAGGCAGCGGGTGTGGATTTTCCCTCACGTTTACTCCCAAAGCCTTCCTCATGAATGAGCACGGCCACTATTACAGGATTATAAAGAAATAATATAATATAATATAATATAATATAATATAATATAATATAATATAATATAATATAATATAAGCCATGTGCAGTGCTTGCAATGGAGGAAATCGATCCCAGGGCCAGATTTAGGTTTGATGAGGCCCTAAGCTACTGAAGGTAATGGGGCCCTTTGTATGTCTAGCTGTCCTTTGTCAACGACAAATTGTCACTGTTTTTTGTGTTGAGTATATGCTATATGGTAATTTATGAACCAATTAGGTATCTAAAGCCATTTGCACATGTTGCCATGCAACAAGTCCATGCAGAATGTAGGCACCCTATATATAGAAATGAACAAACCAGTGATATTTTAGGGAGCAGGCTAGCAGGCGGGGCCCATTCCTTACATCATAGAAGCCTACACAACACAAAACACTGTTGCTGTATGTAGGTTTTATTTTATTTGCTTTTTATCTTATATTTTGTAAATGTACATCTGGTTGTTTTTCTCCTTTAACTTTTTTGGGGCATCCCCGAGAGTGGGGCCCTAAGCTATAGCTTGTTTAGCTTATCCGTAAATCCGACACTGAGCGACCCCAACTGGCAAGAAGAGTTGCAGAGGGGGCTCTTGCAGGCCAGCCCTCCTTTCTGATCTAGGCAATCCTGAGGCAACAGCATCCCCTCAGCAGAGGGCTGCCCTGCCTCTCCGAGGGAGGGAAAACCCTGCAGGTAACTGAAGGAAAGCAGGGACACCTAAACAAAAGGCTGCTAGTTTTACCGAAAGAGAACAGCATGTTCCTATGATCTTGTGGCAAACGCAGCTTGTTATGTTTGTTCGGAAGTGTGCTTGGGGGAGTGGGAGATGCCGAGAGAGAGACTCCCATAAAGTAAATTATGAAAGAAGACTTGGGGGGGGGGGAGGAGAGAGAAGCGCGAGCCCTAGTCCGGAGGCGGCAGGATCCTTTCTCCCTCCGCCCGAGAGCCGGGAAGTTCCACACCAGCGCCAGCCGCCTGAGGAAGCGCCTCCTCGGGCTTAGCCTCCCTACCCCACCCCCGTCCGCCCCTCCCCGCCCCCCGCCCGGAGGCGGCGCGACCGGCAGCCTCGGCTTCCCGAAGCTGGACCAGCCTTGGCACATGGAAGGAGCGGCGCCCGCTGGGTCAGCGCCGCCGGTGCGCTCTTGCAAGCGCTCGGCCGCTCGCCTTGTTTTCCCGCCTGGGGCTGGGCGCCCTCAGTAGCCCGCCCTGAGGGCAAGAGCAGCAACCCGCATCCCGTGCGCCTCTCCTCCGCTTCCTTTGTGTGCGCGCGCCAGTGAGTGAGGGGAGCTGAGGCGGCGGCGGCGGCGGAGGAGGAGGTGGAGCCGCTCTCTCTCCCTCGCTTGTCAAGAGTGAGGCGCTCCGGCGGAGGGAGGGAAGGGGGAAAGGCGAAGGCAGGGAGCTGGCGGGGCGGCTCCAGAGTCTCTCCTCTCCTCCTCCTCCTCTCCGGCGGAGAGAAAGGAACTGGACGCAGCGCGGGGCCCTTCGCCGGGCAGCCCGGGCGGCTTCTCCACCGCCTCGCGGAGGCTGAAAGGGGCGCGAGCGGAGCGGCGGCAGCAGCACGTTGTTTGGCTGGGCGGCAAGGCGAGCCCCGGTGCCAGCAGCAGCAGTAGCGGGTGCTGTTGCTGCTGCTGCTTTGCTCAGCGCGGCTCCGGCACTTTGCAATGGGTCGGGGGCGGCAGCCGGAGAGCAGCAGCAGCACCTGGGCTAGTCACTAAGGAACCCAAGAGGAAGAGGATGGCCACCTCCAGCAACTCCAGTTTGTCGGGCTCCTCGGTTTCCTCCGGTAAGTTAAAAAGAAAAGAGAGAGATAATTAAATCCCCCCTTACGGCAGGATTTGCCTCCTGATTACCTCCCAGCCTTCCGGAATGCTGTTTATTTATGTTAGTTAGATGGACGGACCTGGCTGCGAGGAGGATCTCTTCGGCACCAAGTTATTTTCCTTTCCTTTCTTCCACGTTGCATGCAAAAGGGCAGGAGGAGTAACAGAAAAGAGCAGGTGAGGTGCGTGCTTTCCTGCATAGATGTGGGAAAGTGCAGCATCCTAAATCCATTTTTTGTGTCCGTCGATGGTTGTATCCCTGGTTTGCAAGAGGTTGCTGAACCCAACCTGACAGTTACGATTCGATCCGTAAATCGTTCGGGCGGGTGTGGGTGGGTGGAAGATGCCGGCGTTAAACCTCTGATACCTAACACATTCACACCCTGCTCAAGCAGGAAGATGAATAAAATCACGTTGGTGGTCCTATTCAGAGTAGACACCTTGAAATGAATGGACGTGACTGAAGTCCATTGATTTCAACTTCACTACTTGGAGTATGACTATTTTGAATAATGCAAGCCATTCTCTCGTCATTGCTCGGAACACCAGCAGTTTCTAAAAATATCTGTGCTTGGCTGAGCAGTTCCTCCAAGTGTGATTACACCTGTTCAGTTACCAAGTCCTATGGAGCAAGCAGTTGCAACCCACTTTCACATTCTTCTTCATTTTCTGACATAGGTGGATTAGTGTGTGTGATGGTAAGCCTTCCATGCAGGGCTGAGCCAAACTCATAGGTGATGTGTGGCAATTTCTTGCTTACATTATCTGGGAGGTGAACTAGTAGCGATCAACGTGGAAAACAGTGCTTCTCAAATATGGAGGAAGGCAAGTCAAGCTGCATCAAGGTTCTTATTATTCCATTATTTACTGTAACTTCTGAGTTTCGTGAATAGATTTGAGAGTGATGTTATCAAACCAGACAGTTTGCAAATGCTTTTCCCCAAAACAAAAGGTGGGCAACCATTCCTATGCTTGTTTATTCAGTCCTACTGATTTCAATAGACTTATTCTCTACTAAGTGTACGTAGGATTGCAGCTGCACAATGCAATTCCTTACATGGAAAGTAGTCCCATTGCATCCATTGAGTGTGTGCATTGTAAGTGTGTTTAGGATTGGAGCCTAAGTGAAAGGTTTTCTATTTCTGCTAAATACGCCCACTTTAAATGTTCAGTAAAGAATTCTGTCACCTTCTTGAAAGCTTTTCTTTTCGTTAATAAAATTAGACACAAGTGTTTCCTTCATTAAAGATGTAAAAATTAGTGCTAGTATTAGAAAACTTCAGTGTGTATGTTTATGAGGACTAGAATTGGAATGGTGTTTTTGGCAAGATGAAGCTGTAAGCAGTCATCACCTGAGAACAGCTTGCTTAAAAGCCCATTAGTCAGGTTCTCACTGAATGCTGTTTCGTGAAATTAAAAAACCTAGCACTCTAACATGTGATGAATCTTGCACATTAAAATTGTGAGATTCACGTGGGGAGAGGTAACACATTCTTGAATCAAGAGAAGCTCAAATTTCTGTGGTGAGTCCAAAATACATATTTTTAAAATGCCGAAGTTCACGTTTCACATGAACCAGAACTTCAGAACCTGTATCTTATACTGGAGGTCAGGACTTGAAAAGCTGAAAGCCGGTATCTAATTTTTGATATGTCTGAACTCAGATAAAGTAGATAGTTTGTATATGATTAAGTTTAGCAGTTATGCGCAATCTCCATTCTTTTCTCAATAGCTTTTTTAAAGAATAGATTAAACAGGACAGTCTTACACAGAGTTAGACCAATAGACACTCATGAGGTACAGTGGTACCTCGGGTTACATATGCTTCAGGTTACAGACTCTTCAGGTTACAGACTCTGCTAACCCAGAAATAGTACCTCGGATTAAGAACTTTGCTTCAGGATGAGAACAGAAATCGTGCTCCGGCAGCAGCGGGAGGCCCCATTAGCTAAAGCAGTGCTTCAGGTTAAGAACAGTTTCAGGTTAAGAATGGACCTCCGGAACGAATTAAGTATTTAACCCGAGGTACCACTGTACTTCGGCATTTCCTGTGTTGACTAAACCTGTGGTCCAGTTCATGCGGATAGTATACTCTTGCCACTAATCTACATTACTCAGAAGGCTTCCTTATGTGCCTATATATCAAAAGACAGATTAAGGTAATTCACAGTAAAATGAGGGAAATGGGTAATGCTGTGGAACTGGAAAAAAAAGAAACGCTCAGGTCTCCTCCAGATGACCTATTTAGTCAACATTCTTCCTGTTTTGCTCGAACAAAGCTTACATGGTAGTTAGATTATGTCTGGTCTTTATTGAGCATTGCTTCCAGTTTGTTTAGGGTGCAGTTATTTGACAGTGAGCATGCATCCTGACTTGCTGGTGGGGCAAGAATGGGGGAGGTTGCACATCTCCATGTTCATCCATTCATCCCTCACTTTTCAGTGCTGTTCTCCATCACTTTCCTAACTGCAATAATTCTTTTCTTTTTTTTTAAAGTGGATTTGTTGCCCTAGGGTTACAGAGCACTATTTGCATATACCTACATTTCCGCCGAGTGCCTGCAGGATAGTAGAGCATGAGAGGCTTAATATCAGGGTTGTGGGTTCGAGCCCCATATTGGGCAAAAAGATTTCTGCAATCTAGGCAGTTGGACTAGATGACCCTGGTGGTCCCTTCCAACTCTCCAATTCAATGATTCTATGCATGTAAATCACCACAAAAGAGTAGCCATCTGCAGGCATACTGAGTACCATACATATTCAGCTTGGAAGCTGGAAGAGGTGGGGCAGCATGGGATAAGATGAGTTGAGAGGAATCAAATCTTGGGGGGGAGGAATCTTGGCATCTTTATGATGTTTAAATTAAAATGCTCTTATGGTTTATATAGTACCATAGGGCTCAAGGACTGGTGTAATTATATCATGCTCTGGCATATGAAGGATTAACTAAGCTTAATGTCACAAGACATTCTTATTCCCATTTGTAAATATTTTAAATATTCCCCCTGCATTTCTGCTCTTAAATGCAACACATTTGTATTCCTCGCTATGCCTCAGTTTTAAGCTCTGTGCTGTTTCATGTCTGATGGGGTGTTATTCCTCATTTTAGAGTGTATCTTTACTCAAACAGAAGTACGTCCAATAAAAGATGTAACCACCATATCTGTTTCATATACTTTTCAGTAAAAATGTCAGTATTTTTTCCCTTAAGTGATGTTTCCAGTATATGTGGGTCCAGCGTATTTGACTTCATGCAGCTGCATTTTGGCTGTCTGTGGTTTTTATTTCTCAGAACTCAGCAAGTTTCTGAGCATTTTCTAATAGCATCTAACTACATAGTCCAGTTTTTAAAAATGAACAGCCAGAGCATAGTTGGGTTTAAGAAGAATAATTTTGCAGATTATATATAATTATTTCTTCTCATTTGACTTTCCATCTTAAGACGTTACACATTTTCTATGAACTAAGTACAGAATCAATATAAAATACGACTGTTACTGTTCTTACTCCTGCTTTGATAGATGGGGTCATTCATGCGCCATTCAGGGAGCGTTGATTTAAAAAGCAGTAGGAGAACTAGGGTGAAATATTGGCACACCAACTCCCCCCAAAAGCTGCAAATTGTGCCCCAAAGACCAAGCCATATATTTATAATTGAAATAAAATGAAACAATATAGTGGATTCTTTTTGGTTCAGAATAATTAGATACGCTTTCTGAATGGTAGGTAAAAAGCAGACTGCACCTACTAAAGTGTATGGTAGGTAAAAAACAGAGTACTCAGGGCAGCAGACCAGACAGAATAGCATTCATGCAGTTTCTCTTTGACTTTGTGCTGGCAATCGAATGCAGATTGGGCAATTGAAATTGATGTGGAGTTTTTGTGCAACAAACCTGCTTCTCAGAATTACTGGACTATTTGCGATAGGGAATGTGATGGGAAAATGTACACTACAGTGTGGAATAACAGTCGCATCGTGTGACCTTGTCTAACCTCACTGCAAACAAATTGGGATGAATGTTCAATAGGTTGTCTGGAGGTGACCTTCGTGGCTGAAATGAGCAACCAAGACTGGCCTGGAAGCTTTTAGAAATATTAGGCAACCGCTCAATCTTGCCTACTTCTCTAAAGAGATCAGCTGGCACAACTGGTGTCTGAAATGTCCTAGTTTCTTCACATACCTATTTCACATTCCTCAGGATATCAGTTCAACACTTGCTGTGGGCTTGATCCTGACAAGCTTGGGTAGTTTTGCCCTTTGGGTGCTTGCCAGAGCACAAGTACAACTAGTCCTAGGCAAAAAGTGGCAAATTACAAGGCAGGATTCTTTAATTCTGAACGTGCTTAATTAAAAACTTGTTTGGAATGTATAAGACATAATAGACACAAAGGTAATCTACATCTGCATACGTTTATTACCTACACTTATAATTCCAAATGCCATTTTAATCACACCTAAGCACTTTCCAAATTATTGTTGAGAGGGCAGAATCCGCTCAGGGATGGAGGCATCCATGCTGTCACCTATCTATCAGTTATCATTTTGATTCTCCTTTTTGTAATTCCAAAAGGCATGAAATTATTCTGTCTTCCACTTGATGTATTTATAGCTAGCATGCATTGCATAGATGAAAGGCCTGAGCAATCAGGTGAAAAATTGTGTGCTACTAGATACGGTTTGGGTTAGGAATTTTTGCTCTGGTAGCTGTGCTAGAAGCGGTTCAGCATTTTGGCTGATCCTGTGACCTGCTGCACAGAAACAGTGGCTTGTGCAGATGTTCTAGCTGCAGTGTAAAGGCACAACCCCGGCCCCTTTCGCTGACGGTAGGAACATATCCCATACCTTCCCACTTGCCCAATACTAAAATCGGGGTGCTCGCCTTTCGGGACTGTTCTCCCGCGTGAGTCATGTGACTTGCACGAGAGCACAGCCCCCAAAATGGGCTGTTCCACTTAAATTGGGACAGTTGGGGGGGGGTATGATCCATGTAGAGAAAAATTGTAAAAAAACAAAAGTTTCATTTTAAGGTATAAATCTAGAAAGATACACACATATTAACATGCATTTCTTGGCACTAATAACTTTTGTGATAGATTTGCAAGACTAAGGACATTTTTCATGGCATGTGATATGAGCTGGGAATCAGCGTGTTTTTACATGAGCAGAATGTGTCCTTTTATTTAAAATGCACCTCTGGGTTATTTGTGGGGCCTCCTGGTGTTTTTACATGAGTAGAATGTGTGCTTTTATTTAAAATGCATCTCTGGGTTATTTGTGGGGCATAGGAATTCGTTCATCCCCCCCCAATATAGTCCAGCCCCCCACAAGGTCTGAGGGACAGTGGACCCGGCCCGCTGCTGGAAAAGTTTGCTGACCCCTTAGCACATGCCATGATTTTTCAGCTAAACTATGACGGCTAGAGTAAAAGACCAGGCTCAAGCGAAGCTATATTACAGCTGAACTTTTAAGGATTTAGTCGGGACATTAAATGCATGTTTCAGAACAAGGATGTTTTGGCGCCGTGTGATATCTCTAGAGCCATCTGTGTGCTCCAGGTCCCCAGAAACCGTTTTATCTGTATGAGAAGGTTAAACGGGCCTTCCCATTTTAGATAAGCTAATATACAAACTGTGCATGAAATTAGTACGTGAAAATAAAAGAATATAAGTATTATCTGAACTGCACCTGGTATATAGGTCTTTCCCCTATTATGAGGTGCTGTTGGTGGTGGTGGTGGTGGTGGTGGGAGGCCGAATTTGAAATGGTGTTTAAGGTCTGCCTGTGGAAAAGTGAAGGGTGAGACCCCTGGAAGGGTGGCCACAGTTATGAACCACTATTTGTTACAACATGTTGTCAGGATCCCCAGTGGTGAGCTGGGATTAATTACTGAGAAAGAACCTGCCCTCTTACAGCGTAGTATACCCCTTAAGTCTCTAACAGCAGTATACATGCACTTACCTTATTCTTAATAAAACTTTATATTCTGCAAATCTTCTTGAAGTTAAGAATCTACAGATCTTCTTGACGTTAGGATGTCACAAGCTATGCAGGTAGAGTTCCTATTCTAATAATTCTTGTGCTTTCTGAAACAAATAGACTTGGGCAGGCTTCCTCAACCTTGGCCCTCCAGGTGTTTTTGGCCTACAACTCCCATGATCCCTAGCTAGCAGGACCAGTGGTCAGGGATGATGGGGATTGCAGTCTCAAAACATCTGGAGGGCTGAGGTTGAGGAAACCTGGGCTTGGGCAATCCCACTATGCTGATTAGGAAGTAATATCAGTCTAGTAAGTGCCCTTGAGAGGCTGGCTTGTGTCTTTGGGCAATAGGGTTCTCAACTGGCTAATGTGCTTAAGGGAAGGAACAATATATTAATGGCAGAAGCCCTCAGATTCAGTTGCTGTTATTTCCAGTTCAAAGAAACAGGTAGAATGTGATTTGGAAAGCCTGCTGTCGAAAATCGTGGAGAACCACTGGCAGAGTAGGCTAGATTAGGATTCCCCAACCTGGTGCCCTCCAGATGTTTTGGACTCCAACTTGCATCATCTCTGACGATTGGCAGGGCTAGCTGGGGCTGATGGGACTTGGAGTCCAACATCAGCTGCAGAGCACTAAGCTGGAAAAGGCTGGCATGTGTGCAGGTTGGCTTTCAGCGGGATTTCCTGGCTGACTCCTTGTTGAGTACCAAATGGGTCATTCCTAATTCAAAAGTTCTTCATCTGTTCCCCTCTTGGGCTGTTATGGAGAGCTTCTACACAGTTTTGAATTCAGCTGGGAGGTAGCAGTGGAAATATGGGAAATTCCTTGGGCAAAATAAAAGAATACTCTGTTTACATAATACATAGAAACTAAGGGTTTCTGGAAGCCAATTTGGCTTTTCCAAGAAAAACGTGATTGAATAGTTCTTTCCCCAAAACTACTTTGCCTTCTCTGGTGGTGCCAAACTCTAGTGGTTACTTAGCTTTTCTTTTTAGAAATCCTTCTATGTTACATAAGATGAAACAACTTGTAAGAACAAATACTACCCTTGATTTTAGCCAAAAGCCCGATGAAGTAATAAAACGAGGCAACTTAAAACACAGGTCAGATATTGTAATAGATCTAAATATGTGTAGCTCAGGAAAATGTATTTGTAGGGCAAAGGAATTCATTATTATTTTTCAAAATATAGTCCGGCCACCCACAAGGTCTCAGGAACAGTGGACCGGCCCCCTGATGAAAAAGTTTGCTGACCCATGGCTCCTTATATCCATTTCCAGAGATTTCTCAAAAAATATTTCAATTCACAATGTTAGAAAAAAAGCTTCAACATAAGAGAAATACAAGTAAAGCCTGCAGAGGTGAAAAGTGGTTTTGGAATTGTCTTATAGAGAACATGTGGAATTCCTCTACCCACAATATAATTGCTTTTTCAAGAATTTATTCCCTTCAAGTACATCTACACTGTATATTCTGCTGAAAAAACTGTAGCAAACAAACCATGCCAAAGAATACCTATAATTCTTTAAAATCACATCAGTCATCATTTTAAAACCTAATGAAACAACGGCAACATAACAGAGAAAAGGTGATTGCGCTGAAATGGAAGTTTTCATCGGTGCTTCATTTACCGACACACAAACACATATATGCATGATCCGGCCGTAGTATAAAACTATCTTAACACTGTAGTTCTCTGCATGCAGTATCTGTAGGTACCAAACGTGTGATGGGGCTTTCAAGCACATGCAGCTAGCCCCACTCCCAAGATGCCAATATAGAGGGGTTAAACCACAGAGCCTAGGACTTGCCGATCAGAAGGTCGGCGGTTCGAATCCCCGCAACGGGGTGAGCTCCTGTTGCTCGGTCCCTGCTCCTGCCAACCTAGCAGTTCGAAAGCACGTCAAGTGCAAGTAGATAAATAGGTACCGCTCCGGCGGGAAGGTAAACGGTGTTTACGTGTGCTGCTCTGGTTCGCCAGAAGCGGCTTAGTCATACTGTCCACATGACTCGGAAGCTGTACGCCGGCACCCTCAGTCAATAAAGCGAGATGAGCGCCGCAACCCCAGAGTCGGCCACAACTGGACCTAATGGTCAGGGGTCCCTTTACCTTTATATACAGACAGATGTGCACACATAGGGCTCCCTCCATGGGGACAGGAACCCTGTGAAGGGTTGTGTGTAGGACCATTCCAGACTAGGCAACTGGGCCAGCTGGCAAGAAAAAGGGTTTTTTCTTTGTCAGTGGTACCTTGGTTTAAGAACAGTCCGGTTTAAGAACAATTTGGTTTACAAACTCTGCAAAACCAGAAATAGTGTCCCGGTTTGAGAACTTTACCTCAGTTTAAGAACAGAATCCGAATGGTGGAAGGGCACCAACGGCGGGAGGCCTCATTAGGGAAAGCACGCCTCGGTTTAAGAACGGTTTCGGTTTAAGAACTTCCGGAACGGATTAAGTTCATAAACCGAGGTACCACTGTATAACAGTAGTGCTGTTCCACAGAGCTCCACTTCTCTGCACCATTAGGGTTGCTGTTCAAAGGAAAGAACAGGGAGTTTTAAACTAGAACACTGGCACAATTGCCTAGAATCTTCCAGGCCTGGAAAACCTCCCAGATTTGCTGAGGGCAACTTGTTACTCAGGGAAGTCAATTCTCCCTCTGCATGCTTCCCAAATTGCTCTCATTTCAAATCGTTTTGCAAACTGTATATAAGAATCCACAGATATGGTATATACCAGGGGTGGCCAACTCCCAAGAGACTGCGATCTACTCACAGTTAAAAACTGGCAGTGATCTACCCCCTTTTTGGGGGGTGCAGGGCAAAAGTGTTGAGCTTTTTTTAGGGGAGCCAAAGTTATTGAGCTTCTTTGGGGGAGCCAGTGATCTACCAGTGATCTACCACAGATGTCCAGTGATCTACCAGTAGATCATGATCTACCTGTTGGACGTGCATCGTACAATATGAATTTCCTTGGAACCTTGCCAACTTTGGGATTTGGTGCATTTTATTAAGTGACGTGATGCCTAGTTATTCCATGGTAATTTGGGGTCTGCTTTTTTGTGCTTTTAGTTCCCAATATTGCAGTTTGAAAGCTAATTCTTTAACACCATCAAAGCTTATTAGGAACAAAGACTATGTAAATATTATGTATTCGTATTAGTAAATTAATCTTAATTAAATTAAATCCACTCAAGCACTGTTGTTTGCTGAGAAGCCAAATGAAACTAGCTGTTTAGACAAATGTAACAAATTTCCTCACAAAGGTTCCAGCTGCAGTCTACAGTAGCCAAGGACACAACGTCTAAACTCTAAGTATGTCTCTGAAAAGTTTTGTGTTTAAATGGTAAAATCCATTGGGGGGTTGTTAATGCACAAGATATATCAATAAATACTTTACAAGCACAATCTTTCAACAAACCACAGGCTTGGAGAAAGGGGGGGGGGAGACAGTCTGTTAAGTGGAAACATACTTATGCATTTTAAATAAAAGCACACATTCTACTCATGTAAAAACATGCTGATTCCTGGACCGTCTGCGGGCTGGATTTAGAAGGCAATTGGGCCGCATCCGGCCCCCGGGCCTTAGTTTGCCTACCCATGAGCCAACCTATATAGGAGTAGCAAAAATGCTCGCCTTTAAATAATTTATTTGTTATTACTTGTCAAGATAGGATAGTACTTTTTAATTACAGTACTGACAGTTTGGTTTCTATATAAATTTCATAGCTTCATTATCTTGCTGCCTTAATTTTTTTTTATCTTTTTCACACTTTGATCTTCAATATTTCTCATGCTTTAGTTTAACTAGGCTTTGTGGTATATCACCCTAAGCACTGGTTTGTTAACAGTAACAGTAAACATTCAGTACTTCTAAATGAGTATAATTGGGATCCTTGAATCAGTCCAGTTGGATTCCTTGACTCTACTAATCCATGTATTTTTTTTTTAATTCTAGAACTCAGCCACTGAGAAAAAGCCTGAGAAGTAGAAAGTACAACTCACTTTAATAAATGTCAGCTTAACAAAGGAAATCATTTTTCAAAGATATGTTGGTTTTATTTAATGCCACAATAAGGAGAGCACAACATATAATATTTTGGAGTGTATTTTCAGAGTAAATAGGTTGCCAAGCAATCATTTCAAATGGTGTTAGGGTTCAGTAGCAATTGAATGTGTGTGATGTTGGAGGGGGGAAGGTCATGTGTCTAAAATGCATGGTGTCAGTATTTTACAGGAGATGGTTTGTATGCTGAGAGACCTTCTTGACCTGATGCTGTCAGAACTTGGAGAACAAACACTGGGCCCTAAACACAAAGAAAATGATGAGATTGTACAGTATATAAGATAACACCGTCCTTTAATAAGGCATCCTTTTTTTTCCGTTTCAGCTGTTTTACCATATGAAATACACTGTGCTGCTAGGACAAGATGGCAGCTCTTAAATTGAAATTGTTTTCTTTCTGTGGTGGTTATAATAAATAAATGCTATTTGTACTTTACATTTCTCAAGGTATTTGCATATATGCAAAAAAGTGGTGGGAGTCAGGTCCCCTCTGGTTTTAAGGTGGCAAGGTGAAAAGGAGGACAGAATTGCTACACTTTTAATACTTTGGAAGAAGAGAGAATTTCAGACAGTGTTGCTTGTTATGTGAGCTACACCTGCTGGATTGTTCTTTCTTTCTACACAGCTGTTAAAAGTACAGGAGATCTGACCTCTTTTTTATCAGGCATTCAAGCTGGAATTGTCCCAGGTGAGGAGCGTGTGGCAGTCAAGATTTATTTGTCTCAAGTTGTATTTTTCTAAATAAGTTACCTACAGTGGTGCCTCGCAAGACGAAATTAATTCGTTCTGCGAGTTTTTTTGTCTTGCGAATTTTTCGTCTTGCGAAGCACGGTTTCCCATAGGAATGCATTGAAAATCCAAAAGGAAACAAACTTGCAAGACGTTTTCATCTTGCGAAGCAAGCCCATAGGGAAATTCGTCTTGCGAAGCAACTCAAAAAACTCTTTCGTCTTGCGAGTTTTTCGTCTTGCGAGGCATTCGTCTTGCGAGGTACCACTGTAGTTTTATACTGTAGTGTATATATAGGAACACAGTTCTCAACCTTCACTACAATGGGCATTGCTTTCAGGTGGTTATGGTTGTATCAGTGGCTGTTACATGTGTTACTCATTGTACTGAACACAAATTTTAATAGATCCTCTGGGACAGGTGGGTGATTTTCAGTGCAATTTACTTCCAGATTAGTGTATTCAGACTGTTTTTCTTCTGCGATAAATGAGAAAGCATCTATATTAGTACCTACTGGTTATTCAGACATTTGGTGGTGTCAGGCTCTCCTAAATTCTTGGATTGCTTGTTGTATTTGATTCATACCAGGTACTTCCTTTGAATTGAAAATGTAGAACAATAGCTCTTGTCTTTGTATGGGTTCCTTTTAGCTTATTTTGTGAATATGGAGTGCTGGCCCTGTTGTAATTGAAGCAGTCAGTTTGTAACAAATTAAGCATCAAAACATGCGGGCTTGAAAGTAGTTTTTGTTACGACACTTCATAAATATAATTACTATTATGACTTTCTGTCCCGTACAATATCTCTCTTCATTGTGTACACTGTATGAGCTGGGCTTTTAAAGCAAAGCCTAGAACAGACTCATTTGTTTAAGATCCCATGGGAAAATCAGGTACCGGGTGTGCCTCAGATCTACTGTTGCTTGTGCCAGTGAAAGAGGCAGATTATGTTCCCAGAAAGTAGCATAAGAAACATGGTTAGTATTCTGTATTTTGAGCCTTCCTGACAACTTTAACCAAATTTGAAAAAATAAGATATCTGATTCACACTGTAGCTACTAAGCAAAGCTTCAATTGGTCAGTTTTGGAGATGCTTGCTTTGTGGTAGTCTTATGCAAGTGGGCACCTGTTAGCCACTTCTGAGGAAATGTGGAATGAGTTTGCCCAGGGCCAGTTGAGTAGCTGTTGTTTACAAAGGAACAAGCCATTGTTGATAATCCACAGCTCAAGACAGCACTTGGTGTTCAGCAAGAGACTAGCTTCTTAGAGCTGATAAGGCAGATTTTTGCGATGTGTGGCTACTGTTTTGCAGCTTCTCCATAGCAAGATCCATATGGAGCCGGAGCTTATAAAAGGATCCAACATGCGACTGGGTTAACAAACCTTTCGCTTTTGGAAAGGATCTTGTTAAATCTAAAACATTGCTTAAAATGCATTTGCATTCTCATAGATGTTTGCTTCGAAGTCACATCATCTGTGGAAATCTGCAGCCGAATCCAAGAGATATGGAGACTAGCTGTGGAGAGATAGAGAAGTTATTTTAATATACTGGGACTTATGCTTGGTTATTTTTATATAACATTGACCAAGGACCAGGTCTCCATATTAATACCAGTTCCCCATTACTTGAATTACATAATATGGTGTAATTTGCTCCACTTTTGTTGGTAATAATGTGCCTGATCTTAACTGTATTGAGCTCATTACATTTTCAAGATGTTGTATTTGCCAATCTATACAATTCTTTGTTCTGCTGATGGTGAATTTAAACTACAGAGACCCTCATTGATTTGCTTGCTTTTCTGCTGCTCGTAAGCCATATGTATCCCAAGTGTTTTTGGCTCCCACTTTTGTGGTCAATGCCTTAGTTCAAGTTGCTTTCTCTAATTTAAGTGGTATTTGTTGCCTGAGTAAAGAGCATCAATACTGACTTGGACCCCCCCCCCCAAAAAAAAATATTTGGTGGTTAGTTTCTTTAGTTATGACATTTGCAGCATTTTAGAAAGTCATATCTGGATTATTTTATTTTATTTCTAAGGAGCATCAGTAGTTGCCAGTGATGTGCCGCTGCTCTCGTGACACCGGCATCATTGCAGTTTACCTGGACAGAGGTGGGAAAGAGCAGAGTGGCAGCAAGATTAGATCTGTGCAGATGTACTGCTAGGAGCACAGAGCTGTCTCCATTGGTACGGACATGTAGCCCCAAAATTGCTGCTGCTCTACGCCACCCCAGGCTCATCCAGGTAAACTCACGTTGGGTAGGTGCCTCTGCGGTTGTGCCCCACCACGCCGACTGCTATTGAGGAACAGCCATGATTGCACATTCATGTTACATGCACCTGTTAACTCAGAGTGACATTTGAAGCATCTGTTGAAGTGGACTGTGGTTCATGAAAACGAAAGGCCATAATAAATCAATTAGGTGCCACAGGACCGGTGGTATTTTTTGCTACAGCAGAGTCACGCTTTTACCCTTCTGGAAATGGTTACAACTCTGGTGTGATTCCTTTAATGTAATCACACTAGTGTCATACCTCATGTTATGTTAGGTTCATGTTGCGTCTTTTCGGCTTGCGAACGCGGCAAACCCGGAAGTGTATACTTCCGGGTTTTGCCGCGTGCACAGAAGCGTTCTGCGCACTTTGCGCATGCGCAGAAGCATTCTGCGTGCTTCACGCATGTGCAGAAGCGCTCTATCGCGCTGCGTGTGTGCGCAGAAGCAGCACTCTAGTTACGGACTTTTCGGGGTGCGAATGGCACCCCAAATTGGATCAAGTCTGTAACTAGAGGTACCACTGTACATCCTCAAAATATTTTGAGGATAGCAGATTTTAGGTTTTAGTCTTGATGGTTCATTCGTGTTTGTGGTATCAGTGATTGTGTTCCTATCCTTTCTTCGGGCTCTGAGTTGTTTTAAATTTACATTTATACCGACCCATTTTCACTGAAGAGCTGCTTGCTGAAACTTCAAAGCATGCAGATCTTTAGCAATTCAATCTGGAACAACATCTAGCATTATCTCATAGGGCATAGGCTGTCCTTCTGATGGGCATTCTAATACTTGTTCCTTGCTTGTTATATGCTTTTAAAATGCTGTAGCTGATTCTGTTGATTTATGATCGTGCCATGTGGGGTAATAGCTACTAAGATAATCACTTTGGCACACTTTTCTTCCAAGAAAAGCAAAGTGTGGTACTCATAAAAGATTATTGCTAATGGTCAGTGACACCTGGAGATATATTATCTATATTATTTGACAGAGCCGGCCCAGCCGTTAGGCAACATTATGTTATTCCACACCATTCCTTTCAATGCAAAGTCAATTAATTTCAATAATCAATTGTGTATTGTTTGTGGACTCCAAGCAGCACTGAAACTGAATGCTGATTGTGTTTGCTGGATTGATTTCTGTTCTGGACATGGGATGAATAAGCAAAGATTGGCAATTTCTGCTCCCATTTCCATTTTTGTCAGAATTCTCTGACATTGCTAAGTTCCAGAGGAAGAATCACAAGTACATCTTCATTTTACTAGATCTGAACAACTTTGTAAAATGTACGAACTGGCTCTTTGGCTGTTTACTCAACAGTTTAAATAGTAGTGTAGCTTCCTTTTAAAAATTCCTAATTAAATGATAATAATTCTATCCTTAGCCATCAGATATACACTTGTTCTTTTATGGCCATAAGAACATGCGATTTTAATCCATCTTCCGTACTGGTTTGGCTGCTTCATACACAATCTGCTTTATCCTGTCACTTGTACACACATGGCAGGTGCAGTTTCATTCTTCACTATTGCCAGAGCATTTGTTGCTATCAGAGTCTGTTCCTGAAAATAGCATTACTTATCTTAAATCTGTTTTTCAATTATTGGCCATGTTCTGATTTCAAATTCTTTTTCTCAGGCTTTATACTTCATATGTAAATAAAAGTCTATTCTTGCTGCCTACTTTTTCTTCTGTTATCACTGTCAGTTGCAGACAATTAAGTTGAACAATGGGAGTTTTTTGTGTTTTTTTGTAGGCATGGTTTTAATCCTACTCTATATTCTATTGCGGAAAACTTTGTTGTAATTCAGCTTCATTGCTATGTTAGTGGGGAATATATTCTAAGATTTCCTTAATTGTTTTTGTAGCCAGGCTTGGTCTCATGGTTTTTTGTTGTTTTTTCCAAGTTCTGCATTCTTTTTTTTGTGTGTGTGTCAAAGGAAGCTTCTGTCTTCTGTCTTGGGATCCAGTCATGATTGCAAGGGTAAGAGGAAGAAATTTGTTGTAGCATTTGCTGTAAGAGAAGGCTGGATGTACTGGAAAATCAGAAAGATTTAAAGCAGACACACAATTAATGGATTTAAGGCTGGCCATATAGGGTTGAAAAGACACAGAGATTGCAAAATATGTAACCTGAAATGAATCCAAATCTATCTTAGCTTTGATTCATTCCTGAATATGTGTCAAGTTGCCTTCTTCTTCGCCAGTCTCTTGCTATAACAACATTTTAGCCATGCTACTCCCTGACCCCCACGAAGGACAGGAGGAATAAAGGGGTGAACCTTTAATTTTAGCAGCACCTTGCTGCCTGTGAGGTGCTTTGAAGTCCCGATGATGGATTTAAAAGAGGATTAGACAGATACATGAAGGTTAAGGCTGTGAGTGGCTACTACCCATGATGGAAGCTATGATCTGCCTCCAGGCATAGTATGCTTATGAACACCAGTTGCTGGAAAATGCAGAAGGAGAGAGTTTCCACAGGCAACTGGTTGGCCTCTGTGCAAACAGGATACTGGATTAGATGGGCCATTGGTCTGATCCAGCAGATTCTTCTTATGTTTATGCTCTTCTCTGCATGCACCCTTTTCTGTGAGGCAGTATGTTCCCTTCGCTAGAACAGTCATCATGGCTAAACAGCCATAGACTATAACCTTCCGTATATTGTGGATGCCAAAAAATAATAATTAACCCAGTGACATTTCGAAGCCCCATATCCATTTGTTCAGTCATATTTAAAAATATGTCATAGGAGATGAGAACCATTTAGGAATAAACACTTTATAACAGTGCAAGGTTTTTCACGTGTAGCTGGATGTCAGTAATGCCTGGGAGGTGATTCAGAATAGTATTGTCAAATAGTCATTAGAGGAATAATAATTAGCAGTAGGTTACATTAATGACCGAATGTGTGGAATTAGGGATGCATTTCTAATAAAAGCAATGTAGTGAAAGGTTTTTCGGAATTATATTTTTTGCTGATGCTCTTATAAATGCAATATAAAAACAGCACAACTGCTAAATTGCATGCTTGTGTGAGAATTTCGCACAAATTTTTACATTTTATTAATTTTAGATGAAATCCGGGGACATTCCGGGGATGGAATTTGTCCGGGGACTTATTCACAAATCCGGGGACTGTCCCCGGGAAACGGGGACGTCTGATAACCCTAATGTACAGGGAGTTGCACCCTCATTAAAGCACCCAAACATACGTGCACTAGTGTCTAAGGAAGCATGTCTGCATTTGCATTCTGTGAGTTTGCTGTTGCCCAGAGTCCCAGCCTCAAGCTCAGAGTCCAGGGCTGCTCCATCATCCACAGATGTTGTCTCCTGAGCCTGACTCATCAGAGGAATTGATTGCGTCCACGCAACAATGGAACAGGGAGTACACCAGGTCAAAGTCCACAGAAAGGGGAAGGAGTGTTAGACTTTCGACCAGGAGGTTGGTCTTTTAAGATCCACAGTATTCAGCTTTGGGAATGCTGAACTGAAGAAACCCATAATGCTTTAGCTCAACTCCAGCCTTTGTTGGATAAAGTTGCTTGCTCAGAGGCATCCATGTTGTTGTTGTTGTTGTTGTTGTTGTTGCTGTTGCTGCTGTTGTTGCTACTGCTGCTGCTGCCACCAACAGCTTGCCTTGACCTCTTGCCACCATGGATGCCTGATGCAGATGGATCAGAACAGCTGAAAGAAATATGTGTTAGGTGATTATTGTGTAACATATAGAAGGTAAAATCTTCCCTTTTCCTGCTTACCTTCCTCATCCCAAACAATAGGTGACAGAGATTGCAGGAAAAATGTATCTTCTTCAAGATGCTTCTCAATGCTTCTTTTAACCTCATTACCATTGAACACATAAAGGCTGCTCTGAGAATACAGAAACCTTTTGTTTTGACACACCCTTAAAAACACACACACAATTACGGTAAACATTTTTACTCCACCTTCCACTATAAATCCTGCAAGGCAGTCTATTCAGAATGGCTGTTGTGTCCTAATTGTGAAACAAAAGCAAGATCTTGGAAGCTATAGGACACCTTATTGTGGATTCAGAATAGTTGATTTCCAGAGGAGTAGCCATTTGTTAAGTAGTAATAGCAAAGAGTCATGTGACATTTGAAAACTAATACATTTTATTATGGCAGAAGCTGTCGTGCACATTTATCCGATGCATGGATTCATGCATCTGATGTTGTGTTCTGTAGCCCACAAAAGCATATGAAGTAATTAAATGTGCCAGTCTTTAAGGTGTCACACGGCCCTTTGTTTTAACAGTAAATACATACTTTAGTGGAGGGGTAGGCAACCTAAGGCCCGTGGGCCAGATGCGGCCCAATCGCCTTCTCCATCTGGCCCGCCGACGGTCCGGGAATTAGCGTGGTTTTTACATGAGTAGAATGTGTCCTTTTCTTTAAAATGCATCTCTGGGTTATTTGTGGGGCCTGCCTGGTGTTTTTACATAAGTAGAATGTGTGCTTTTATTTAAAATGCACCGCTGGGTTATTTGTGGGGCATAGGAATTCGTTCATCCCCCCCACCCCAAAGAAATCTAGTCCAGCCCACCACATGGTCTGAGGGACGGTGGACCGGCCCACGACTGAAAAAGGTTGCTGACCCCTGCTTAAGTGACTCTTTCCATTTGAGATATACCTCATATCCCCCATTATTTGGGCTGTTACTGGAGATACCAGTTTGTTGAATAAGATGGAAAGTTTTTGTAAGATGAGAATAAAGGAAACGGGGGCTGTTGTTCATAGCATTTATAAAGACACTTCCATTGGTACCAATTTTATTTGAGTGCCCTTTTATCTACGTTGCTGAAATTAAATTATATATCCATTACTAAAATTAGAGTGAAGACTCATTGGATTACAAGTGTTTTCCCCCCCCGATCCTTGAATGAAGTACTTTCTTGAATAATTCTGTAATGGAATTAAGTGTCATGCATCTCATCTCCTGAAATGTTTTAATGAAAATGATAACTTTTGATGCTTAATGTTAAGTAATTACATAATTAAAGATGATGCACACCATGGGGATGAATGGAATATTTGGATGGCAACAGGATAAGGGCATATAATATTTTCCATATAATTCAAACATCTATGGAGCAATACTTCTTGATCCATAGCTTTTGACAAATGGATTCTTCTGTTAGACCACAAATGGCCATGTTGTTCAGATGCCTGATTTTTGTCTTCCCAACTTAAGAATGGAAGATGAAATACCAGTGGACAACAAAAGAGGTTTAAAGACACTCTCAAGGCAAATCTTTAAAAATGCAGTATAAGCCCAGATAATTGGGAAACACTGGCCTGTGAACACTCCAGTTGGAGAATAGCCTCTACCAAAGGCGTCATGGACTTTGAAGAAACATGAATTGAGGACAAAAGGGGCTAAGAGGAAGGCACATTTGGCAAATCCTCACCATGATCAACACCCACCCAGAAACCTATGTCCCCACTGTGGAAGGATATGTGGATCCAGAATTGGCCTCCACAATCACTTACGGACCCATCATTAAGATAGTGTTCATGGAAGACAATCTTACTCGGCTTCAAGTGATCGCCAAAGAAGATTATTCCAGTATAGAACATAGATTTGTTGGTGCAAATATTTATGATAGGGACCTTGTCGCCTTAGTCTTTGAGCATTGTGCTAATGCAGGGTTTGGGTGCCCAGGAAAGTTGTCTGCAGCACCTAAACTGTGGCTAATTTTAACAATGGTTTGTTGAAACAAGCCATGTTCTTAAACTATGGTTTAGCATTGACTTGTTTCAACAAACCATGGTTAAAATTAAAGCATGAATGACATGGTGAACAGTAGTTAAGCAGTAGTTAATCTAAAGTGCAAGCGAAAGCTTGTGAACTGCACTAGAGGACAATCTAAGGCTCTCCTTTTTTGTCTTGTAACACTAAACTATGCTTTAGAATTGCTTACAACTAGTAAGCTTTATCTTTTCACTGACTGAATCAATGGAGCTTGTTATTTCATGATGTTAACAGTTTATTAATTAGGACCAATACTAGGTTCCAATTGATTAAGAACTGGTGCAGGAAAATGGTTTCACACCAGCTTTTAAAAAGTTGTTTGAATTGCCAGCTCAGTTGGTTAGGGCATGGTGTTGATAACGCCAGGGTTGCAGGTTCGATCCCCGTAAGGGACAGCTGCCTATCCCTGCATTGCAGGGGATTGGACTAGATGATCCTTAGGGTCCTTTCCAACTCTCTGATTCTATGAGTAACTAACAAAGCTATAGTTAAAGTCTTTGTAAAACACTTCTTTTTTTTCAATTTGCATACAGCAAACAACACTTCTTGCCTTTCAGATGTTCAAATTTGTCATACTCAGGAAAATAGCTTTCTTTAAAAATGTCATTACAGCTTCTGTGTTCCAGAATATATAAAAGTTATTTGGAAGAAATTGATTTGAATCCATTAAGAGCAATATGATCGTTCTGAATTTTCTGTAATAGGATCCGCAGTTTAGGTCTCTTTCACCGCATTTAAATGCAGTCTTCATCCCTTGATATTTCTGGGGAAAGTGTTTGACAGCTGAATCAGATATATCTGAATTATCAGTTTATTACCTTTTCCAGATGGAAACTTTCAAGGGTAGTTGAGCCATGTCTGCTGCTTCTGTTAGAGTAAATGCTTTCAGGGAAATTGAAATAATTACCAATGTAGTAAACACATTAGTATTAGTATGTGGCAAGGACTCGTTTTCATAATTTAAGTACTCCTCCTTAACAAGAGATTAGAATATATTTGCCAATGGGACTAATGCATAGGAGAGAATGTACAAAGAAGCATATTGATGCTCCCAGCATTGGATTTCTTGCTTGCCACATATCCAAATTAGATTATTGGTGTGCCTCAGCAGAGGTTGAGGGCAGTGGGCATTGAAGGTGATGTAATTTAACAGCACTAATAATAATGGTTGTTACTGCACTAGATTTTTGGTTGTTCTGGACCCAATTGCAGATGCAGGAGTGTATCCTAACTTTTTGGGTTGGCATTAGCCCTAGGAAATAATGTCTCAGCTCAGCAGCTCATAGAACAGGCTTCCTCAACCTCAGCCCTCCAGATGTTTTGAGAGTACAATTCCCAGCATCCTTGACCACTGGTCCTGCTAGCTAAGGATCATGGGAGTTTTAGGCCAAAAACATCTGGAGGGCCGAGGTTGAGGAAGCCTGTCATGGAATGTCAGTGGCATTAAAAGGACTATTCCAGAACTCCAGCTGTTCTTCATAAGCATATTAATGTATTATCATCTTCTCGTAAGCACATGTAGTTGGAAGTTAAGTCTTCCTGACAGCAATGGGACTGATTTTCAAGTAAGTGTGACTGGTTAAAGCCTGTGGGAGCAGTTAAGGGCTACTTTGGAGGCTGCTACATGGAGCAGCTTAATCTCTGTGTAGGGGGATAGTATATATTTTGTCATACATGAATTGCAGCAAGAATATTTTTTGGTGTCACGGGTACACAAATTTGACAAGTGATACCTGCAGCAACTCCTTCAAAAAACGCTCATGCATTTTACATGATACAACACACGTTTTTCCCTTCATGGAGATTAACTGCGTCAGGAAAAGCAAGCGAAAGCAGCCCTCAATTATCACTTACACTTTTGGTGATATTTGCTGTGATCTCCTAATTTTTTCCTAAATGCATTCAGGCAATATTCTAAGTAATTCCAGGCAGGCCTGGTGTATGCATAGGTAGGGAAAAGCTTTGTTGTCTTCCAAAATATATGTAGTTTTCCCTAGTTCGAATGTTGAACAGTATGACACATATGTTCATATAGAGGACATTGAGGGGAAAGGAGTGTCATTTTTTCTCTCTGTGCTTTTGTAATTGCGCATATAAATCTAAGTTGCTGACTTGTAACAGCATGCATGCACCTCAAGAACAGGTACGGCTGCTTTTTATTGTAATCATGCTGCAACATCACCTCATTGGGCTCAGACAAACCAGACTATTCACATATGGTAATGGAACTGAAGTATATTTCCCTTCATTTGTTTATACGAATTCTTACTCTTGCAGCCTGTTTTCATGGCTGAAGTTCCTATCCCTGCTTCCCACCATACACAGATGACATGTGTCAAGAATTCTGATATAGAACATAACCCTGTACACACGCACACACGCACACACGCACACACACACACACACTTGTGTGAGAAATAATATTTAAAAGAATGCTAATTCGTGACATTCCACTTCTGTAGGGGTCATGCAACACAAACTATACCCAATTCCTCACCGGGGAGCGAACTGCTACAAACAAATGAGTTTACATTTACAGTTGCTTTACAAACTTGTCCTCTTGTTGCACTGGGATGCAGGCAAGTGAACACAGCCTGCATCTGTATTGCAGTTGTTTATACAGTGGTACCTCGTGTTAAGAACTTAATTCGTTCCGGAGGTCCATTCTTAACCTGAAACTGTTCTTAACCTGAGGTACCCCTTTAGCTAATGGGGCCTCCCGCTGCCGCTGTGCCGCCATCGCATGATTTCTGTTCTCATCCTGAAGTAAAGTTCTTAACCTGAGGTGCTATTTCTGGGTTAGTGGAGTCTGTAACCTGAAGCGTCGTAACCTGAAGCGTCTGTAACCCGAAGTATCACTGTACAGCTTTTGTCTGCTGTGTTTGGGCTGCCTAGCTGGCTACTCCTGAGCTGTCCTTGGCTTTAGTTCCTCTTAGTTCCATCTACTGCGATGAAACTACCTCTGTACCATCTGACTGAATACACCACATTTGGGCTACCCCTTGCTGAGGTTCACTCATCAGATCATTTTAAAAAAATAAAAATAAAAAATCATTATTTTTTAAAAAATATCCTGCCCTTCCTCCCAAAGGAGCCTGAGGCAGAAAACAAAAAAGCATTAAAACAACTGAAACATACTACAGTGGTACCTCTGGTTATGAACTTAATTCATTCCGGAGGTCCGTTCTTAAGCTGAAACCGTTCTTATCCTGAGGCGTGCTTTCGCTAATGGGGCCTACCACTGGGTGTGCGCCTCTGGTGCATGATTTCCGTTCACATCCTGGGACAATGTTTGCAACCAGGAGCAGCTACTTAGCGGAGCTCGTAACCTGAAGTGTTCATAACCAGAGGTACCACTGTATGCTTGTTCACACTGTGGAAAAGACCACACTTTTTGCTCCTCGTCTGCTCCTTTCTTCAGTATACCAGGGATGAAACAAACCAGACTCCTTCAAAGCCCCCCTTCAAAGATCAGGACAAGATCGTCTTTTGAGAGGGGCAATATCTTCAGAAGCCCCTCTCAAAGTGCTATATTGTACAGTGTTCTCAACGGGGCTGCTGATTGTCAGAAGCCCCATTTAAAGTGCTGCATAATATGGCACTTTGAGAAGGGCTTCTGAATTCTACAGGCAAAAAGAAGTTCTCTTGATGTCTGTACCCGCAGGTCAGACTTGGCCTGCTGGGCTAGAAATGTTTCCTGCCCCTGATTTAAAGCAATGTGCAAACCAGGCCAGCAGGAGTTTTAGACCTTATCTTTTGACCTGACCTATAAATATTTATAGCTAAGCCAGGTTAGGAAGAATCAATGGGCTACCTGCAGTGTGTTGCCAGCCTGATATGCTGGGGCCCTGGGAAAGCAGTACTGTATTGCCATCTCTTCCTCTGCTTTTCAGCCTTGATGTAGTTTGCCAGGAAGCACATCAGCACATAGCCTAAGAACATAGCTGTCAACTTACAGATTTGAAAATAAGGGACCAGCAGCCTCGAAAATAAGGGATCAGCAGCCAAAATAAGGGATCAACAATTACTTTGATAAAATACATATTTTGTTGCGTGCAAATGGCTTTAGATACCTATTAGGTCCATAAATTACCATTTAGCATATATTCAGCGCAAAAAAACAGCAATAATTTGTTGTTGACAAAGGATAGCTGGACATAGAAAGGGCCCCATTAACTTCAGTAGCTTATTTAAGGGACATCATCAATAAGGGACAGCAGCAGGACATGGCGCTGGAATAAGGGACTGTCCCGCCAAATAAGTGACGCTTGACAGCTATGCCTAAGAAGCTCCTGGTTGATCCTGACATACCCTGACCACTTATGCCAGTGCATTTGCACGGAACCGTATTGCTTTCTGGAACAGATGACACGTTCATCTGTTGGTATTTCAAGGCTTAGGATGTGAATGTTAATTTGCAAAATCTGCAGATGGGAAATGTGTGTGTGTAAATTGACATCTGCCAAGCGAATTACAATGTTCGTTCGGTAAATCCTGGCATCTCAATATTTGACTAGGTTTGGAGACATTTCTGGTATAACTCGCATGCCTTCAGTTGTGATTCAGAAGAAAGACTTGATGTGCTGTGCTCGATTTATTCTTTACTTACACATACAGAGCTTCGTGGAATTTTTATCTTTGCATAATCACTTTGAAAATGTGAGTTCTGCTGACTGCTTCATTTCATAACAACCACAATGTGCAAATAAGCAATGCAACTTTGAGAAAGGTTACTTTTAAATAACTGAAATAAATTTAATTTTTTTTTTACCTTCTGGCAATTTGCCTGCAGCATGGACTGGTTCATGTGTGCTGGTTTTCTTTGTGTTTTGTTCTATGCAAAGCCTGGTTGTTACCTAGAACCAAGGCCAAACTGCTTCTGGTTTTAGTGATAAGGGTAACCAGGAGTAGGTCCGTCCTGTGAGCCCTGCTGCAGTTCTCTGTACATTACGACTGCCAAATGTTTAGTGTGATGGGAACCAGGTGCCCAGGTGCCAAATAACTCTACTCCTGCCTGCCTGCATATTGTGCAATAGAGAATCATGCATCGTGTTAAGCAGCATCCTTTAATTATGTATTTACATGCTGTTCTTCTGAGAGCTGCCTCTTCAAATCTGACATGGCTTCCTAATGTTTTTGTAAAAGATATGCAGTCTTTGAATGTTGTAGATTGTGGACCACATTGTTGGGCAGTGTATATTTTTGCATGACACCCCAATCTCTGAGTGGCACGAGAATCCAGGGGTTCCAGGAGTTTACCCAGGGCACATACATGTTTCCTTTGGAATGAGGTACAACAGAGACTCTGGTGTCTTTATGATATATTGTTTATTTACACATATATACAATCGGAGCCTATGATGGAGGGGTTCACAGCATTCACACCCCAAGAGGGCCTTACTTCCCACTACCCACAGCCTTGGATTCAAACAGAAATTAATAATCTCTCTGGCTCTCCAGCTTGCTGCTTTTCTTCTGGCTCACATTTTCTCCACAAACTCCCTATTCTCAACTTTGCTTTTGTCTTTCTAACTATTTGTGAGTTGGAGGGGGCAGGGCTACCCATTTGCCCCTTCATTTGCTCTCTCAGTGGCCCATTACCCAGGCTATCACCTCAACAACAAAAAACAGAAACAACAAATATATTTAAAGTAGCCAAATCCCAGAGGCTGTACAGGAGGTAAAGGAATGATGAAATATTGCACAATATTTTAGAAGCCAACCAATTAATGTATTATTGTTGATAGATCTGTGAGTTCAGGGCTATTTTCATGATGGAACCTGTGTGTAGGATTAACAGAATGCGCTCTAGTACTTGAGCAATGAATACGCCCATTTCAAAACTCTTGATGCTTATTATTCCTTCTCTTGCTAAATCTTCCCAGCTTTTCCATCAGTAAGTCGAGGGCCCTGGTAAGAGTGCAGTATGGAAGTAAATAATAAAATTCTAGGCTTACAGGTTTAGCACTGAAGAATGTGTGGTGTAATGCAGCTTAAGACCTTGAGCTTGGCACTAATTTCATAAAGGCCTGCAATTATAAACATAATCCTGTTCATTCTTCCATTGACCTCCCACCCCCGGCCTTCAAAAATCAAACTCCTTTGCTAATGAAACAGAAATTCTGTATCCCAAGTACATTTGCATAGCTTCCATGCATACTGTCGGAGAAACCTATGGTGTAAACACTTTCAGGAGGAATTCCTGCTTGGAAGTCATTTAAAAAGCATTACCGTGGAGGAAAACATTATGCTGCAAGACGCTTTTGATTTAACAACTACTGTTGTGCTTCTTCTAGCCGGGTAGCGGGAAGCAGGAAATTGGGTGGAGTTCCTCCAGCGTCTTTAATTAACAAGAGCTCAAATGAAGGGAATTATTGCATGGGCCAGTTTCATCGAACTGTGCACTGATATCCCCTGTTAATTCAGAAGTTGCGTATTTTTTGTATTTAAATAATATGTATAGAAAAACCCAGTGTCCCCTCTGAAGTGCTATTAAGAATCAACAGACCTTTCTCTGCTTTGTTGGGTACTCCACAGTTGGAGGCAGCAATACTGTACTTCTGAATCCCAGTTGCTGGAAATTGCAGGAGAGGAGAGGGATCTTGTGCTTGAATCCTGCATGGGAGTTTCCCATAGGCATTTGGTTGCCCTCTGTGAAAACAGAAGGCTGGACTTGATGGGCCATTTGCCTGATCTAGCAGACTCTTCTTATGTTCTGATGTTTATAAATGGAGACTAGGCAATGATTTGAAAGAGTAATTGATCCAGACTTCTTTCATGCAAATTATTCTGTGTTGCCTCCTCCTGAAAAGTGAAACCAGGAATTGCATGGCCTTCTCAGCCCTCGCCTTTGTATTTTGTTGCTGGAAGAAGTTGTGATTGGCTCAGATTACATTGGGATGTGCTGTAGATGAGCAAAATTAATTTGAAATAAAGACCAACAAAGTCTCTCTCATGTAATTTTGTGGATAAAATTATCTGGAGCAGATCAACGATGGCTCAGAAAACTTTATATTTATTGAATTAATTTCAATCCACTTACTCTAAATTTCTTACCCCGATTTTCTTACCAGTTCAAAATACTTGCTCCTACTGGAAGGGAAAAGGAACCCTGCCCTTTTCTTCAGTAAAGACCATACTAGATGGGCAAATCATCAAAGATTAATTACACCAAACCAAAGGAAACAAACCACAAGGGAAGAGATTGTGAAGAACTCCCTATGCAGAGACTAAAAATTAAGTCAAGACAGATTGCTCTGATTTCGGTTCCTAGTTGTTTATACAACTAATGGGAGCTAGGCTGCACTAATCAGAAAATCAGCCTTTGAAGTACAAAGTTCATGCAAATGTGAGAAATGCAAATGGGCTTGGATTTAATTAAATAGGAGAAGTGGTGAGAATAGAGAAGCATTTTGTACGGATCCCATTTCCTTGCTGGCATGTATGTGTGTACATGTCTGGTAATTTGAACTGACGTGGGAATCCTTTTAAACATTTCATTAAAAATCAAGCAGCCCTACATTTTAAATGATCTTTATATATCTGAGCAAGAGCTGTAGTTTTTTTCAAAGTTTTGAAATGCATTTAAAGACTGGCATTCATCCCTCCCCCTCTCTGGCTGTACAAAGGGCTTATATACATGCTTTCCTGGCCTTAGATGTTAGCAAGTACAGCTGGCAAGGGAAGGACTCTTATTTCCGGTTTTCCTGTCATCATGCATTAGCTCCTCCTTTCCAGCAGCCCTGAGATTTGCACTAGATGAGAAAGAAAGGGGAGAAGGAGACAGGAGAACAAAGTAATTAACAGAGGAATAGGAACAGATATAAGTGTGAGAAAAGGAGAAAGGAGGCAGAGAAAAGGAGAGAGATGAGGCTGAATTTGGGCATTTCGCAAGGGTTCCTTCCCTACTTGAATGTCAAGATTTTAGCGTACGAATATCTCGCAAGATAAATGGCAGGTATGCTGTCTGCACTCCAATATGCCTACCAGAACTGAGAATCATAAGATTAGTTCCTGTTGTTGTTGTTGTTTAGTCATTTAGTCGTGCCTGACTCTTTGTGACCCCATGGACCAGAGCACGCCAGGCACTTCTGTCTTCCACTGCCTCCCGCAGTTTGGTCAAACTAATGCTGGTAGCTTCAAGAACACTGTCCAACCATCTCGTCCTCTGTCGTCCCCTTCTCCTTGTGCCTTCCATCTTTCCCAACATCAGGGTCTTTTCCAGGAGTCTTCTCTTCTCATGAGGTGGCCAAAGTATTGGAGCCTCAGCTTCAGGATCTGTCCTTCCAGTGAGCACTCAGGGCTGATTTCCTTAAGAATGGATAGGTTTGATCTTCTTGCAGTCCATGGGACTCTCAAGAGTCTCCTCCAGCACCATAATTCAAAAGCATCAATTCTTCAGCGATCAGCCTTCTTTATGGTCAAAGTCTCCCCTCCCTGTTTTATCCATTTTATTTAGCTTCAAATACATAGCAGGGACATTGTGCTTCCAAAGGTTTTACAGTACAATCAGCACAGTACAATCCATTTTGCAGTGGGTCTTGTGCATCTACCTGCTGTACCTATCCACCAGAAGTTGCTTTTTGTGCCTCAAACAGGCAGCATCCAAAGTTCCTGTGAAGCTGAGAAATAATAACAAAAAGGGAGAAAGGGAAGAAAAGGCATTTTTTTAATATAACGTATTTGAAGATTTGTAATTCAACATAGAAGGACTTACAGTGAAAGCTAAACTGAAAGGGAGGCACTTTTGATGAAGCATTTCCAAAGAATAAAAAAGCAGTCCTTTCAGTGATTTTTCTTTCCCAGGAATTGTGTTGAAAGATAATACACATATATGCTCGTTTCTGGGCAATGCTTCTTGAAGGCTGCCTCAGTGATATTAGCAAGATCATTGATTCTCTGAGACTGACCATGAGAGAGAGAAAAGAACTCTGTAATATAAAAGGGAGAAGGGGTAGAATGTCAGGGAAAGAAAGGCAGTCAACAGGATGAGGCCTTAAGCACTGCATATGCCCCCCTCAAGTAAATTGGGTGGCCGTTTAATGCAGTCCTACTTGAGAACTGCAATATTTCCATTGAATTTTCCAATTAACAACAACTTCGTTTTACGGAGCATTTGTCCATAAATATGTATCAGTCTTCAGCTGCCATTAATAAAGCAGGTAGACATGATGGACGGACGCAGATGGCGCTGTGGGTTAAACCACAGAGCCTAGGACTTGCTGATTAGAAGGTCTGCGGTTCGAATCCCCGTGACGGGGTGAGCTGCCGTTGCTTGATCCCTGCTCCTGCCAACCTAGCAGTTCGAAAGCATGGAAAAGTGCAAGTAGATAAATAGGAAGGTAAACGGAAAGGTAAAGGCGGGAAGGTAAACGGCATTTCCGTGTGCTGCTCTGGTTCGCCAGAAGCGGCTTAGTCATGCTGGCCACATGACCCGGAAGCTGTACGCCAGCTCCCTCGGCCAATAAAGCGAGATGAGCGCCGCAACCCCAAGAGTCGGCCACAGCTGGACCTAATGGTCAGGAGTCCCTTTACCTTAAGAGAAAGGATTCTTTGAATCTGTGCAAATAGCAGGGTTGAAGGTTGCATTGCCCAGGACCAGGGTCAGCAGCATGTTGCAATAAGATTACTGTATAGAGTTCAGAGTGGCAAACACACACAAGGGGTATGACCACCCTTATGTTCCAAAGTTTAAACCAGTGTTCAAGTCTAGGGAGCCAATGCATGGAAGTATAGACACTTGGTGATAGCAAGGAGATGGGGAAGACAATGAAGATACAGATTGATACTGAAAACTGAGTGTAGAACAATGCAAGAAGGCAGAAGGATTACCTGCTTGTAATGGATGGCAGATCACAAGGGGGGGGGAGATTGTGAAAGGAATTTGCAGTATAACAAAAGACTTACCTGGCTAGTCTTTTGCAAATGGATGCAAGAATTTAAAACTTGCAGCTGAGGTAGGCAAATAATTTTTTTAAAAAAGAAGTCGGCAAATGCTTTGTGTTTTCTTTACTTCTCTGTTGTCTTTGCTCAAAGTGAGATATCATTGACCTGAAGTAATACATGCAGGCTGAGTGGTATAAGTTTCATACTTTGTGCTGTTTTTAGCTATCGTTTTAAATGCAAATTTGCATATAATTATTCTTAATCCTCAAAGGAAATCTTCTCTGTATTATCATATTTTGCAGAAATTTAATTAAATGATTGCAAGTTTTTGACTCCCTGAATGAGGGAAGTTCCAGATCAACACTCTTAAAAATTATCATAAATGTATGACAGAATGTAGGTTGAAATAATAGAAAGAGCCAAATTCCATTCATTAATCACTAAATATTTAATAACAAAAAAGGTCATCTTGTTTAGCAATTAACAATGAAACTGAATACAATAGTTTGATTTTTATCAGATACCCCCTTGAAATTCTAAACAGTTGGACACACTTAACTGTGTGCGCTTTTGTTCTTGTCTTACATCAGCAATTCTGGGACAAGGATTGTCAGGAAATGGCAGAGTTCACTCCCACATCACTTGAAGTTCCCTTACACTACAAAGATTAAGTTTTCATCCTGTTTTGTTAAACAAAGAGGTAATGATTAAACACATTTCCCCCTGTGTATTTAGAATATTTGCACAGGGCCAGACTGCCCCCTGAGGACTAAGTGCTGGCCTCATTTTTCACCCTGTGAATTTTCCTGAGTCATGCATAGCTGCTGTTTGTGGGGACTTTAGAAAGACCCTGATTAGGAACAGGAATCTCTCATATATCTATCTATCTATCATCTATCTATCTATCTATCTATCTATCTATCTGTGGTATAGTGGTTAAGAGCGGTAGTCTCGTAATCTGGTGAACCGGATTCGCGTCTCCGCTCCTCCACATGCAGCTACTGGGTGACCTTGGGCCAGTCACACTTCTCTGAAGTCTCTCAGCCCCACTCACCGCACAGAGTGTTTGTCGTGGGGAGGAAGGGAAAGGAGAATGTTAACCGCTTTGAGACTCCTGAAGGGGAGTGAAAGGCGGGATATCAAATCCAAATCCAAACTCTTTTATCTATCTGTCTATCTATCTATCTATCTATCTCTCTCTCTCTCTCACACACACACACACACACACACAGACGTACGTATGTTTCCTGCTTCAAAATCATGCTTGGCATCCATTCTGCCAGAGTTCATATAATCATTCATTGGCCGAAAGCAGGTATTTTAGCTTTCTGTTTTTGCTGAAGCAAAATTCCTTTGCCTGCTCTCAGTGCACAGACAGTCCATGGAGCCGTTTGGCTGCCACTTCTGGGGCTAAGATCTCCTGACTCAGTTTTTAATGCATCAGACTCCACTGTAAAACCAAGTCAGAACCTGCCCCTGTTCTTAATTCCGAACAACCTGTCCTGTAATTACTTGCGGTAAGGACTGTGTTGTGCCCACCTCTCTGCCAGTTGCATCATTTGATGTCTCTTGCCTCACCTTGCTCCTTACAGACAGCTGGTGGCTTCAGTCAACCTTGCCTTCTTTAAATTGCTTTGGCTGTGCCTCCCTCTACCTGCAGTTGCATTGCCCTCCCTACGGGTCGAGCAAAGAGATATAGGGCTGGTGTACACCTAGGCCAGGGGTCGGCAAGGTTTATCCTGCCTGGGCTGGATCGGTCCTGCGGAGATCCCTCTGTGGGCCGGATTGTGAGTGCACCCACCCACAATTTTTGGCATCGGCATCTGCATCTGCGCAGACACGATTTTCGACGTCTGCGCAAGCAAGTCCCCGTGCCGGTTTAGCACAGCGCACGAGCAAGCAACTTGGTTCAGGGGCGGCTCGTGGGCTGGTCAAATGACCTCTGCGGGCCACTTCTGGCCCATGGGCCTTAGGTTGCTGACCCCTGCTGACCCCTGACCTAGGCATTACTTGATTACTCTATTTGATGACTGGCAGCCAAATCTATGAACAGATTGCACTGAAAGGCATTGGGTTTTAAGCAATATAGAAGTTCTGTCTGTCACGTGAAAGCTCTGTCCGATGGGCCAGTCACACATGCAAGGCATCACTTGAAATTTATTTATTATTGCATTCTAGCTCGCCCTTCCTCCCAAAGGAGGCCAGGGCTGCAAAAAGCAAACCAGTAAAACAATACAATTACAAAATAAAACATGCTTAAAAATGATTAAGAATATGTATAAAAAACACATTAAGAACATCTAACACCATTAAATGAAAAAGAAAAAAACAGCCACATGCCATTACAGCTAATAATTTCAAGGTTACCAAAAACAGCATCTTTCAGGCATTTTTTTTTAATATTAAAAAAATCACCTGAATGCTAATAATGACAGAAAGGAGACCATTCCACTAATAGGGAGCCACCACCAAGAAGGCCCTGCCGCAGGTAATTGCTAACCAGGCCTCCCCTCCTGATCATCAAGGCCAAGATGGCTGATATTGGGGAAGATTCTCTTTCAGGTATTTGGGTCCCAAGCTATTCATGGTTTTTTGTGCTAGTACTAACAGCTTGAATTGGGCCTAGTAGCTCACTGGCAGCCAGTGGGGCGCTTTCAGAACTAGTAACACATGGTCCCATCAGGCTGCCCCACTTCCCAGTCTAGCAATTGTACTCTGCACTAGCTGCAGCTTCCAAGCCATTGCCAAGGCCAATCCCACACAAAGTGCATTGCAGTAGTCCAGGCTGGGGATGAGGACAAGTAACCAGTTGATGGACATCTGCGTGCATGACTCAGCCCTTAAGACTTCGCCACCTCCCGGTTCTTGGGCTAATGCCCAAATTGCAAATGACATTAAATGTGTGCTTACATTTAACTGGGAGCTGTGCTTCTACTCCTAGCTATCTCCTTTCATTGTTCCATCTGTTTCTACTTCATCCACTATAGTTCCCCACTGGCCCTGGCAGCACCTTCCTTCTCTCCCTCCAGTTTCTTCTCACCCTGCAATGCATTTTCCTCCCTCTGCCCCTGCTCACCATTTAACAGCCACATCTCCTCTACTTCGATCCCAGCCCCTCCTCTCTCTCTCTCTCTCTCTCTCTCTCTCTCTCTCACACACACACACACATATATACACACACACTGCACAGGGGAAAGCAATGACCATAGATGTAGTCTAGACTAGAGAACAAGAATAGCTCATACTGTCTGGAAGAATGCATGAAATTGGGAAAGTTTCGGATACAGGTCATTCCCAGTGCTACTGGGAGATGCAAAGGATTGCTCTCAGGATATTTTGCATGTCCTTTTTTTTACACACTTTACACTTACGTATCACTAATTCTAGTGGTAATCAAGCAGGTCTGTAGGAATCACATCAATGAAGCTGGCAAAGATGTGGGAGAAAAGGAAATTGAAGATTTTGAGACCATGTAGTAGTTTTCCATGTGAGTCTCAGGAAACAACATTCATTCTTCTGTGAACAGCTTTTGCATAGCCAGTACCATTATTAGACTATCAGGCTAGGATTGAGGAGCCACATTTCTTCTTGGTTGACCTTGGTTCAGTTACTATCTCTCAACCTAACCTACCTCCCAGGGTTTTTGTGAGGATGAGATGGGTGGGATTAACTATATATAATGATTTGGACTACAGTGGCACCTCAGATTACAGACGTTTCAGGTTACAGACTCCGCTAACCTAGAAATAGTACCTCAGGTTAAGAACTTTGTTTCAGGATGAGAACAGAAATCTCGTGGTGGGAGGCCCCATTAGCTAAAGTGGTACCTCAGTGTCAGGGAACTGACATCGGAGCCAGAGGCAGAGGGAAGGCTCTCAAATGATGCTGGAGAAGGGCCCAGCAGGGAGAGAGGCAGCTCCGCAGATGGGGAAGCAAATCAGCGCAACACCAGGGATAAGGAGGGGCTGATGGGGGAATCGGCGAGAGGGCTCCCAGACTCTTCACCGGACACCAGCGGGGAGAGCACGGGTCCCCCGCTACCCACGCCCACCCTGCGCAGAAGACTTCCGCGCAGAGAGAGTAGGAGGAGACTGGGTGTCAAACAACTTTTATGTTGGAAAAGATTTAAGAAACGCCCACTGACGGATTCTGCTAGCGACTGAGGCAGCCACGAAGTGAAGGGCTGCCCAGACTGAAAGGTTTAGTAAGGCAACAAAGCCTGGAGAGGCGGCAACTTATGCACGAGCAACCCATACACATTACACTCAGGTTAAGAGCAGTTTCAGGTTAAAGAATGGACCTCCAGAACTAATTAAGTTCTTAACCCAAGGTACCACTGTACTTGGAGAAAAAGTGGGATATAAATTCAGTTAACAGCAGCAGTAGTACAACCAAACTTACAGAACTAGGTCAGGATCTATAAATTTCTGAATGATATGGTTAGGACAATTTGTCTTGAACTTTTTATTTCCATTCTTAACTGTTAATAAAATGTTGTGAGCGAGGATTATAATAGACTCACTTCAGAATTCCCCCATGAGTTTCCTGTACAAGCAGCACTTACATTCAAGTCTATTATTTGTTCTTTAATGTCTGCATTAGGGAAGCATAATACGACTGCACTAATTGTGAGATCAGAAGTGCAGAGTGAGTACAAGCGAATTGTAGAAGAATTTATGCAGTACACACTGCAGCGCAGTAATTAGATTTCTTTATATTATGCAGCCTGTGCTTTTTAATTTACTTTGTACATGACTGTTTCCTTTTGTTAAGCAAGCTTCGGCTAAAATAAACGGAAGAGTGTCAAGCTTTCAAATGGAAGGCAAATATTTTAGGAAAACGTGGCAGCAAAACATTACCGGGATGTTCTAGCTAAGGCCTGCTTTTGCGGTTCTGAAACTACTTGAGCCACACACACCTTGCAGTTCTTCATTTTCTTACTGTGCACCTACCCGAGGCAGTTCATTTCCCGTTTATACTGATTTCTGATTACCCATTACCGTCACACACACACACACACACACACACACACACACGGCATGTTTCTTTTCAGCCTCTGTGTTAATCAGGTTTATGGAAATCATGTTTGGAAAGGATTGCCCAGTACATTTCATTTTTGTTTGAACTACGCAGTGTTATTTAGTCAGAGGGTGCATTTTTATTCTTCTTATTTGTCTCCTAGAATTAAAGCAATGCCTTTTAACAGAGAGAGGAATGTGGAAGCTGTAATATGTTTCAACAAGCACCACCCATAAGCCTCCTCTAAAATAATGAGAGTTAACGAGTAAAAGCACTGTGGCACATCAGTTGATCTGGCTGGAGAAAAGACTATGCAATTTTACATTGCTGCCTAAATGGGTGATGCTAGAAATCCATATAGGAGTAGGGTGTGGTGATTTCTTTAAAAAATGAAAAGGTACCCCGATCTGTAGAGCACAACATCTTTGGCTTAGGGCTCATCCACACTTTTGACCCATGCTTTCTAGGTCTGCACTTCCCCAGTCTGTGTCTGAAAACTAACTTTCTTTTGTCGCTTTCTCCAGGAAAACCTGCTCTTTAATGCCGAATTGGAAGAAACAGCAATTCGAGTTTTCTGCAGATTGCCAAGAACATTAAAGAGCAGATTTCCATAGGGAAAGCATGGGGTGGAGAAGCTCACTTGGACATGGGAAGAGTGCAGACCTGTGCCTCGGAAGCTCGGATTAGTTTGGATGATACTAAATGAGCAAAATATGCAATGAAGCCTTTATCTTCTTAAGCATGCTGATGAAGAGCTCGGATTTCGTAAATGCAGTGAGACATTGCTAACCAAAGTCACCTATGTCTGAGAGTACTAAACAGTATTGAACTGAGCCAACATAGTATTGAACCCTCATTACAACTGCTGCTCAGAGGTGACTTTGCCTGTGTTTCCTGTTTGGCTGCTAAATTCTAATATTATACTAGGAGTGATCTTAGCAACCAGTTTTCCGGTTCTAAACTGTTTAGGAGCTTTGGTGCTAATTACGAGCCCTTTGATTTGGGTTAAGAAACAGATCTCAAGTCAGTGAAGCTGGCGTAATAACAGAGTTACATGGTCCCAAAAAACTGCTCCCCATCAAACTCTAGCTGCAGCATTTTGTATCAGCAGATACCCTTCAAAAGCCCTCCTGTTCCAGGAATGTGTGATTTAGCACATACACTTAAGCTGTGACCAGCACTCCTGACCTCAGTTTCTACCTGGCTCTCTAGGAGCAACACTGGGTCCAGGAGGACTCCCAGCATGCAAACCCGATTCTTCCAACATACTGCAACCCCGTCTGTAACTTAGGGGTCATCCAGACTCCTGCTTCTCCTGATTTCCCCCAGGAAAACCTCAACTTTACCGCTGAATTGAAGCAAATATCAATTTGGGTTTCCTCCAGATTGCTCTGATTCAGTGCTAAAGAGCAGTTTTTTTCAGGGAAAACAGTGGGGCAAACAGAAAACTAGCTTGGATCTGTGCTTTCTAAGCATAGACAAGCAGATGTGGGGATGAGGCCATACTGTAATCGTCACCCAGAACCTGTAGCCGTTCTAACCAGGAGTACAGTAATACCTTGGTTGTCGAACGCCCTGGAACTTGAACGTTTTGGCTCCTGAATGCCACAAGCTCGGAAGTGATTGTTCCGGTATGTGAACGTTCTTTTGGAACCCGAACGTCCAATGGGGCTTCCGCAGCTTCTGATTGGCTGCAGGAGCTTCCTGCAGCCAATCAGAAGCCGCGATTTGGTTTTCAAATGTTTTGAAAGTCGAAGAGACTTCCGGAATGGATTCTGTTTGACAGTCGCACCTTGGACTTGGTCCTGAGTGGCAAGCTCCTCCTACAGAGCAACTAGCAGGCTTATTGGGTCCCTGGGTCACCTGACCTCTGCTTTGCTGGAAACTGCCATTTTGCCCCCTGGTCATTTGCAGTGGTGGCATTAAAGAGCAGAGACCAGGCAATCCTTCCCTAATGAATTTCCACAGTTTTCAAGACCACTGGTGCTGTACACCATATATCTGTGGAAGTGTACATAGTAAGCTGCTTGCTGTCTAGTCCTTGCCCTTCTGATACAGGTTTCATAGGAACAGTTGCCAAAGTGCAGGTTTCTAAATGAGTGCAGAATTTAATAAAGTATAGCAAAGCAAGAAAACGCTTTTCCTCCCTGTTTCCCCAGGGAATAAAAGTGTCCGGAAAAGACAGGATCTCTGTACATACATCAAGCAGCCAGTTCTATTGGGATAGTCTGAAACTGCCCTTGAGGAAAATGTCCTCATTGCTATCTAAAACATATTTATTTCACTTAAACACATTAGTGAGGAGTGCATAAATTAAAAGACCCCGTGCATTATTGCATCATTCAGTCTACTGCAACGCTGACAGTTTGGATTGCACTATGAAGCAGTGGTTGTGTATCAGACCATTTTCTGTACATGTGACCTTTAGTTTTGAAAAGGTCATATTTTATTTCTCATATTTCAATGTTTAAAGCATGGTGTGTAGCATTTAGTAATATTGAAAGGTTTGATGCTATCTAGAGCTTACATTCAGCTGAGATTATTAGTTTGGTTACAAGTAAGAAAGCAATTTATTCCGTTACATCAGTTGGGAAGGAATTAAATGCTGTGAAAATAACAGGTGCTTTTGGAATTTCTGGTTCCAGTGCATTTCATGTTTTTGTCTAATATGCAAATGACATCATCGGCAGAGCAAGAAACCACATATTCACTTTAAGGCTGTGATCCTCTCTACCCATTTGAGAACTCATTCGGCTTTCCTTCTGAGTAGACATGCATAGGATTAGACAGTATTAGTTGGCGGAGAATCCTGCATTTTCTCCCAAACTAATTTCTGTTGTATTTCTGGTAGAATACATGGAAAGAATTATGAGTGTTGACCTTTTAAAATACTTCAGCGTAGAGAGAGCATGTCAGTGGTCTGTACGTAAGGCCTACTGCATAATCATACTTCAAAATAATGTCTTTTCCCTGAAAGGTCATCAGATACATTTATCAAAAGATGGTGATAATGACTTGTTTTTGATAGAATTTCAAAACCATTTGAATAATGAATAGAAGTAGAAATTGCCTAATGATGCCATCACTTGATCCATTCCATAGCCAATGATAAAAGAATGGGCAGTTAGGCGTCTTTATTCCCACCGAAGTTCTTTTCTATTATTGGAATCAGGAAATGATTCTTTATGTCTTCCCTCTGGGGCATTGGATTGCAATAGCGACTAAGTGCCAAAAGCTGATCCATGCTGAGTTCAGCATATGGCATCAGCAGTTGCGCAGATAATTTAGCCCTTTGCAGCACAGCTGAAAGTCAGCTTGCATGAGCTGTTGAAAACCAGCAGCTGCCAGGGGCTCAAAGAGTAGCTGTAGTTATAAGCCAGTTTGATGTACCAGCCTAGAACACTTCACTGTGAAGTCAATTCCACCCTGGCAATACTGCCCTGCGTCAGATATCGTGATCTACATTTATTGAAGCAGCTCTTTGAATGGGGGTTATTGGCCTCCTTTAAGATAGAGAACAGGAAAAGAGAAGTCTCGCTAATTCATAAAGGGGAGGTTTTTCATTACCATGTTGACGTGGTTAGAGGTAGAAGCGAACTATGAAAAGCTTGCTAATGCTGTTGGGATGAATTTAGTCAAACATTTCTCAAACATGATTTTTATTTATAGTATTCAGCAAAGTCCATCATCACCTTGGCGCAATACTTGGACAGCTGAACAATACTTTGGGGGCATATTGACTGTGACTAAGCCAGTGTGTTGTAAATGGTTAGAGTATTGGGAAACCCAAGTTCAAATCTCAACTTGGTCATGAAGCTCACTGGACGATCTTGGGTCCCTCCCTCCCTCTTTCTCAGTCTTACCAACCTCACGTGGCTGTTGTGAGGTTAAAATGGAGGGGTGTACTTTGAACTTTTTGAAGAAAAGGTGGTATATAAACACAGTAAATAAAATAAAATATTTTTTTTAAATTGCCCTTGTTCCTGGTTCCACTAGTTAGTCTAAACATGTTCAATGGATAAGCCTTTGTCTAGAGCAGAGCTTTCCAAACTGCGTCGCGACACGTTAGTGTGTCGGCTGCAGTGTGTAGGTATGTCGTGGAAACACTCCCCGCACTCCTTCTGGGGCGGGAAAGGGGTTAGTTTAACCCCTGATTTGCTAGCAAAACTGAATTACCATGTCGCCAGATGATGCATGTCTTAAAAGTGGGTCACCAACATGAAAAGTTTGGAAAGATTTGGGTCTAGAGATTTGCTTTAAAACATTGAAAAGCCAAATTGTTATGAGAGTGACGCAACTAAACATGCTGCCTTTGGGCAGATTATAAAATGTTTGTAGCCATTAAAAGGTATAAAATGTATCACCAGGTCTATTTAGCTATGATGCTATCTGTATACCACTGTCTTCATTCAGGATCAAGAGGACATCCTGAAATGATTTAGAAGTTCCCTTCAGTGGAACAATAGGAGGTAGGAACCTCTTAAAAAGGAGGAGACTTCCTCCTCCTAGCTCAACTGTTTCCTGCCACACACTAGGAGGTTTTGGTCAACTGACAATTACAAAAGGAAAGAGGGGAACGTAAGGGGCACACAGACTTTCCTCTTCCTCCTACTCCCATCTTTAGCCTTGATTAGGTAGTCAGGAAATACATTTTGCTTGCGCTGACCTCTTGTCCACAGCTGGAAAATGGAGCCATGGAAAAAGGTAGCCATGTCAGCCCATTATAGAGGGGAAAACATTTATTGTAGCCAAAATGTTACAAAAGCGACTCAAGCTATTGAGTTCTCCAGAAGTTTTCATTAGGCAAGACATTAAATAGAGCAATATGGTCCTATGCATTTGCAAGCATACTTCCAATAAACCCCACTGAAATCAGTAGGGCTTGCTTCTGAGTTAAATATGCATAAGATGGCACTGTTAGTTGAAAAAATATTTCCAAGATACTTGTAGACTTTTATGAGTAATTAAAATCGTTTCTGAGATTTTTTTTATGATGTACAAAAGCTTAGCTGTACAAATTTTCATGCTATTTCACGAGGAAATGATCAGAGTTTCTTTAGCTGTTATTGCTGTTTTCTAGAATTTAATAAAAATTGTAACTTGGTTGACATATTTTCCAGAATGTGATTTGTTTGATGGCAGTGCTTTTTAAATTCAAACAGAAGGCTGTTTAATATTTGGAATATTAATTATTTTGCAAGAACAGCACTCCTAGGGAGATAATTAGCAGAACTCCGGAATTAGGACATGCCTTAGAGACATCCTGTAAAATAACTGCAACTCTTCAAGAAAATGTGCTAGGCTTTGGGGGAAGCCAAAAATTATAAGTTTTGCAAGTCCGTTAAAAAAAAAAAAGCACATTACTGAAGGATGTAAATGTTAACACCAACTTATTATGCCTACTAACCTATCTTGAGGGTTTTCAGGCTGATGATAAGACTCTCATACAACCGGTAACACAGTTTTAGGAACAGTTAAAACCTGAGCCCAAAGATGCTGTTTATATGTTTCATAGGGGTAAAGGGACCCCTGACGATTAGGTCCAGTCGTGGCTGACTCTGGGGTTGCGGCACTCATCTCGCTCTATAGGCCAAGGGAGCCGACGTACAGCTTCCGGGTCATGTGGCCAGCATGACTAAGCCGCTTCTGGCGAAGCAGAGCAGCGCACGGAAATGCCGTTTACCTTCCCACCGGAGCGGTACCTATTTATCTACTTGCACTTTGACGTGCTTTCGAACTGCTAGGTTGGCAGGAGCAGGGACCGAGCAATGGGAGCTCACCCCGTCGTGGGGATTCGAACCGCGACCTTCTGATCGGCAAACCCTAGGCTCTGTGGTTTAACCCACAGCGCCACCTGCGTCCCTATATGTTTCATAACTAAGCTTAAATAAAATAAGTCAGCAAAACGCTCAGCACAGATATAACAGTGTGATCCCATGCATTTGTACCCAGAGGTAAGTTCCATGGCATTCAGTGGGGCTTTATTCTAGGATCTAGGTAAATGTCTTAGCAGGGATAGGGAACCTCAGTTCTGGAATCTGAATGCCCTGCTTTCCAACCCGGTAGGCTTTCCACAGGCAACACCCCTCATTTGGTACAGCTGAAACGTAGCTATATTATACAGATGGAAGAGCCCCATCCTCTTCTGCCCATTTTTTCTCTTCCAACAGAATGGTCCCCAGCTCTCAGAAAGCTAGCTATGAAAGATTCACCATTCCTGTGCTATAGGATGGTAACCTGAATGTTTCTCTTTGAAGGTTCTGCCTTTTGTAGCAAATTTAACATAGAGCTTAATTTTCAGCCTTTGTTTTCATTGCAGTCACTGAGATGCGCTTATAGGTTACATTTCAGGACTAAAGAGACGGAGAGATTTGCTTTGGCTTCTGTTGAATCAGGGTATACAATATAAGTTACTAGACACACTGTTACACATTTCTAGCAGTTTTTGCATCATGCCGAAAAAACATAGGCGGTAGGAAGCACCAGCTAAACAAGAGCCCAGAAACCCCAAACTCTAGTAAAGGTTAGCACAAAGGCGGATGTCTATGGTAATTATATGTTCCAAAATGCCAGCAGATGCCAAGTCCATGTTGTCGTTGCCTCTAAAACACTCAGCTCTGTTTCTCTGTATCAATTGAGTCGGGTGAGGCTGTGCACATCCTGGACTCAGTGTTTGGCTGGATGTGGACCAATAAGTTGAAGCTGAATCCTGACGAGACAGCGGTCATGTGGGAGGGCCATAACCAGGACCAGGAATTGGGTAGGTTTTCTTTTCTGGAAGTCCTTTTGAACCAACAGGTATGTAGTCTGGGGCTCCTGGGAGTGCCCCTAGATACATTAGTGTCTCTGGAGGTTCCAGTGTCCTCTATGGTATATGCCTGGTACACCAGGTTTGTCCATCCCTGGACATATAGAGCCTTGCCACTGTGGCCCATGTGCTGGTAACCTGAAGATTGGATACCTATAATATACTCTATACCCTTGAAGTTGGTTTGTGGCAAGTAGAATGCTATGACAAGCTTTCCTATCGGGTAGCGTACCACGAGCACATAACCATTTTTCACTGGCTGCCAATATGCTACTGAGCCTGCTTCGTAGTTGTATTGGTTTATAAAGTCCTGTTGAACTTGAACCCCGGATATCTAAGAGTACACTCGATTTCATGTAGACCTGCCCAGTTGCTAAGATCTGCCAGGGAGGCATGCCTGGCTGTGCTGCTTCTCACTGGTGGCAGCCCAGATTTGGAATTCCCACCCCTCTGAGATATGAATGGCACCAATTCTGTTGAACTTTTGGTACCAGCTGAAGACTTGGTAATTCACCCAGCCCTTTGTTAGTTAGAGTTTCGTGGCAATGCGGATGTGTGTGTTTTTCTTTTGCTTGGTTATAATTTATCTGCCTTTTATTCTTTTGTGATTGTATATGAATGTGCATTTTAACGAGTGGGTAAGACTTGTTAAATTAATTAATTAAGCATATGAATTAATCCTCAGCTTCTAATGTCTTTTGTTACACTCACATCTGGCTACTGGCTTGTTTGGGAGCAGTTTTATTTTACTCCTGACAGGTCTTTCCAGTGTCTGGCTCTGATGTTTCTGGCTGCTGAGAGTAGGTGAGTTATGAGCTCTTTATGTGAGTGGGCATTATTATCTTGGAAGATGTTCAGTGGGGCCAATTCTGGGGTGGCTTATAATACTTGCTTAGTTATTTTGCATATTTCCTATATGACTGATGTCCAGAAGAGTTGGATTTTGGGACATTCCACCACATGTGGCGGTATGTGCCTGTGGAGGTGCAGCTTCTCTAGCATTTTGGTGAGGCTTCTGGGCATATCAGCACTAGCTTCCATGGTATTAGGTACCATCTGTAAGTGAGTTTCAGGGTGAGTTTTTTTCTTTTAGCTGAGATGGATTTAAGGGAGGATAGACCACATTCCAGTCCATTGGGTGGGGTTAATTCCATAACCTATGTTGTCCTCCCATTGTTTTTTGATTATGTCGAGGGGGTTTGTCAGATTTTGTAGCAGTATTTTGTATATTGTGGATACCATCCCCTTGCCGTGTCCGTTTGTTGTTAGGAGGAGGTTTTCTGAGGTTGTCAAGGGCCTAGTTACTGCTTTGAATTGCTATGATATTAGAGTCCATATTGTTAGTTCCGCATTTTGCTGAGGCTTGGGAGTAGATTTGTTTGAGGGTTTGTAAGAAGTTGGGACCAAATTTCATGTTTTTTAGTACTGCTAATAGGTAATTCCATTCTAGGCAATCTAAAGCTTTGAGGTTGTATAGGGACTTAATTGTCAGTGGGAGGTTAGTTTCCATGCTGTGTTCAATCAGATTCAGTAGTTTCCTGATGGGGTCTGTTATATTGCGGCCAGGGACAAAACAAGTCTGGTCTGGGGCTATTAGTTTGCGTAGGAATTTTTTTTTAGGCAACTAGCCAAGATTAATGTGAATATCTTGTAGTCCTGGTTTATTAATGAGATCGGGTGGTATGATTCTACTTTGAGGCTGTCTTTGAGTGGTTTTGGAATAGAGACTATTTTGGAGGAGGTCCAGGTTTTAGGAATGGGCCCCCCTTTTTTGATGTTGTTAAATAGGCAGGTCATGTAGGGCGTCAGGGGTTCTTTGAATTGCTTTTTGAATTCTGCTGTAAAGCCTTCTGGGCCTGGGGCTTTGAGTCGTTTCAGGTTTATGAGGACAGTATCTATTTCCTCCAGTGTAATAGGACTGTCCATGAATCTTCTTCATCAGTTAAGGTTGGCATGGTTAGTCCTACTAGGAGTTTTTTAATTTCCTCCCCTGGTGGGTTGTGGGAAGTGTATAGGTTGGAGTAAAATTCCACAAATTCTGAGGTTATTTGTATGGAGGAGAATGTTATGTTGCTGTATTTTTTGGTGATGCAGTGTATTCTTGTTTTGAGTGATTTTTTTCCTACACCTGTTTGCCAATAGTCTAGAGTTTTTCACTCCATACTTATAGAAGTGTTGTTTTGAGTATAGAATGTTGATCATTGTATGGCTGATTTCTCATGAGTTGAGTTCCCTCCTTTTTTTGTCTTTTAGCTCCTGTTTGTTTGTAGCGTGCTGAATATGGCAGCCTAGCTTCTTTTCTCCAAGTTGAATGCATTTCATTATATTTGCAAATTGCTAGTGAATAAAACTGCTGTACATTTAGGTAAGATTGAGTGTAAGAGTTATTCAGGTCAGGGTTTTCCAAAGCTGTGCATTTCTTTTCTCAGTCAGTTATAGGAACAGGATTGGATCACCTCATTTACCCTTGACTGGTGGGAGAAGTGAACATGTTCCCAGTGACACAGATGATAAAATGACATGTGTCAGGCACAATTGATTGAGCGAAAGCAGTGATTTGGATTTTGCTAAAGGTTAATAAGTTTTCAGGGAACATATCAGCTTCCCTTAGGCAAATAAATGGACATTTGTTAACTTATGACTACGTTGCAGAAACTGGAACCGTTCCTGCAACAGTGTTTCTAATTGAAATATTCCCTGTGATCATTTTCGGTCAGTTTGCTACTAGGGCACTCTAAAAATGTGAAAGCATGGAGTTTCCTGGAAATTATACAATAGTGGTATTCGTGGTTCCACATTTACTTTTGAAGCCTGTAGATTTGGCTCTAATTTCTAATTGATAGGTAGATTGAACCATGTGTAAACTGTGTAAGGTATGCTTAAACAAATTCTAACATATGCTCCAATTCTCGGGATGATTCAGTACAGATTCTGTACATCTGAATGTGAACATTGGGAGAGAAGTTGTGTTCAATTTAGAATACTTTTCAGGAATTCTTCCTTTTTAATTCAAACCACATTTCATACAGTAAATAAGAGCAAAGTTTACTAAATGTAATCGTTTTCTTCCATATAATATTTTGAGATTTTGTGAAATCCTAATCACAAGATTAAGCAGGAATTTTTATATCATTTTACGATAAGCTCAGAGCCCATTAGGATGCAGATTCCTCATATCTTCCTGTGGGATTATCAGACACAACAATATAATTTGTTCATAAACTTTTTTTATTAAATTAACTCATATATTAAAATGAAGTAATAGAATAAGATATATTATAATTCTGATCTTTGCATTAAAAACTATTAGCAGCATGTATATGCTATAGAGACTGGTTGCTCTTAGCTGTGAAAAATCAGCCGTGCTTGACAATGAATTATGAAAATATTTTCATAGCATTTCCTGCTCAGTGGTTTGTCAATTTCAATTGTCACAAAGTTGATACTTTTGGGGGGAAGGTTAGCACAATAATTTCAAAGTGTTACGGAGTTTGGTTTTCCTCTTTCTGTCCTATGGTTGAGTGGTGCCAAATGTTTGGAGGCTAACATGTTTGGCACAAAAACAGAAGCTTTGGTATGAAAACAAGGGGGAAGAAGATCTCTATTCATGCAAGCTCATTGTTCACTGCCCCAGTTGGCTACTACTTGGGTGCATCTTTGTCTTTATACAAATGATGTCATGCACATAGCCAATCAGATTTGACCACATTGCTGTGTCACTGTAACAACAAAGATGCATTGGAAAAAAATATGACCTAAAGTACCGGCTGTTCAGGACTGGAAGTACATTCGTCGTGAAGTTCTAAACACAAGTTACTACAGAAGTGTCACTGCCTGGATTTGATATATGAGAGCACTTTTGCTATGCGCATACTCCCACCCCAAAAGGAAAACCCACTTTAGAAGTACAAAACATCCACAAATCTTCCCCTGTTAAATTTGTTTCATGTAAGCCAGTGATGGCCAAACTTGGCCCTCCAGCTGTTTGGGGACTACAACTCCCATGATCCCTAGCTAACAGGAGCAGTGGTCAGAGATGATGGGAATTTTAGTCTCAAAACATCTGGAGGGCCGAGTTTGGCCATCACTGATGTAAACTGTTCTGCCTGATATTTTATGTGGCCAGACAATTACCAAACAGAATAAAGAAAGGATATAATTTAGAGAATACAATATTAAGATATAACCAAAAAGCAGGGGAAACTATTATGCAACAAACCAGAAGAGGAAGTTGAGGGTAGTTGTAGTGGGGAGGGGATTATTTGGTTTTGTGTTTATATTCGAGATGATGCTATTGTGATGAAGATAAACATGTAAAAATCAATAAAAACTATTTTAAAAAAGAAGTACAAAACATCCATGAACCTTCCCCTGTTCAATTTGTTTCATGTAAGCTGTTCTGCCTGATACTTTATGCAGTCAGATGTGTAGACTTTTTACAATTTGAGATAGCGCTCTTCAGAAAACATTGCTACAGTAAGGTGGAGCGTGGTTGTTTGAATAAATGCTCATACTTTATTTAAGCCAAGGGTTGCCAAAGAGAAATTGCTGTGGGCACCCACACCCTGCAACCAGGCACTGGCAGCAACCTATTTTATCAACTACAGCAGATCGTTTCTTTCAGTTCTATTTTCTGCAGTGGGAGGTGCCAGGGACAGCTGCACATTCCTGCAGTGCAAGGGGGTTGGGCTAGATGATCCTCAGGGTCCCTTCCAACTCTACAATTCTATAATAAATAAATAATAATAAAATTTTATTTATATCCCGCCCTCCCCAGCCGAAGCCGGGCTCAGAGCGGCTAACAACAATAAAATGATACACATTTTCAAATCATTTCATTATAAAATTAATTCCAGTCAGATTAATGGCAACCAATTGGGCTAGAGTTCTGTGAGGATTGCCAAAGGAGGGAGTCAGGCTGTGCCCTGGCCAAAGGCCTGTTGGAACAGCTCTGTCTTACAGGCCCTGCGGGATTTGACATCTTTCCCGCAGGGCCCTAGTCTCTTGTGACAGAGCGTTCCACCAGATTGGAGCCACAGCCGAAAAAGCCCTGGCTCTGGTTGAGGCCGGCCTAACCTTTCTGTGGCCCAGGACCTTCAAGATGTTTTTGTTTGAAGACCGTAAGTTCCTCTGTGGGACATACCAGGAGAGGCGGTCCCGTAGGTACGAGGGTCCTAGGCCGTATAGGAATCTATTATGTATATAGGGCATAAATAAGACACTGGGAGGGGATCATTGCCCACACTAAATAAATACTGTTTCTGGGAAGTTCTAGAAAATAAATAGAAACAGAATCGAATAGGGTGGTCCTGAAACGAAGTGTTGCATCGTAGAGTCCTCCCAGTTCCTCTCTTTTCCATTTTCCATTTCAATCCCCCAGGAGCTTTTCAGTATTCTATAGCCACTGGGCATGCTGAGTCCTCCTTTGGATATTTTGGGGTTTCTTCCATTTCTTTGGTTCCCACCACCACCACCATTATTTTTGTACTTCTGCAAACCTTTGTGTCTCCCCAAGTCTGCTGGTACTTGCCGCTTTCGAATGGGTGGTGCATTTTGGCTACCCAAGCGAGACAGCATGAGCATCAGAAATAGACGGAGTGATGAATAAAGCCTCTTAGTGTGCATGGATGTTTGCCAAGGTCCTCGGCCACTGACAGGCTTGGATCTCAGGCATTCCAGGAGCTGGGCTGGAGTCAGGACCTTGAGCAGCTGCATCCTTGTGGAAAGCCATTGGACTCCTTGGACTCGAGTCATTTTACTGGCTCTTTGCCTTGCTGCATCCCAATCCGCTATGATTTGTGCCCTTTCCTATCCCTATATAAATTTTCCCTTCCTGCTAGCCGACTTTTGGCAGCAAAGCATTTTACTGTATTCAGGTCACGATAATTTCCTCACTTCACCCTGCCTATTTTTCCGGGTTCCTTGGCTCTAATAACTCTCTCATTCCCTTTCTTCGCTCTCCATACTTGCCTGAACCACATTTTTGCTCTCTGGTCCATGGTTTCTCCTTCTCCTTTGGTCAGGTTATCATATCGTTTATTCCATTTTAAAATTGTCCTTCCGCCAAGGTTCTCAGTTGGCCCAGAAACTGGCTTGCTGAAAAGCAACTATCTCCCCAAAATCAAGATCCTACTTCTCCCTCCCTCAAAGACTTTGGCTCCACTAGGGCATGATAAGAAGATTCTTGTCCCGTCGTTCTTCAGTCCACCTGGGACCAAAAGATCCCAGGGGGAGCAAGATATATCAGCAGAAGTAATAAAGTTATTGGGCCTATAGGCTGTTCAAGTAGTGATTTTATATTCCCTCTATAATTATTAATTATAGCGTTCTCCATTTTGTACTCCAGTGGGATGCAGCTTGACTTTTTCCAAGGATGTTTCAAGAATGTTCCTTTCATCTGATGTTATTTACCCTTTGGAAAAGTTTGAACACCTTTCTGAAATGATACTTCAAATACTAGTAATCAAACAAACGAAGAGTAGCAAATGCATACCCCAAACAATCTTCAGACATAATAGCAACTCTCTCTCTCTCACTGGTGATTTAAGATAGTAAAATGTATGCATACATGAGAGAGCCTAACACAAACAAAAGGATTAAAGCAGTTGCCATTTTTAATGTATTGCACTGATTGTCCCGATAAGACTGGGATAGTAAACACCAGTAATTGGTAAGTGGTTCAGTACACAGCGTAAAGCAAACAATTCACTTATGATTTAATTGTTCAGAATATAATTGCCTTTCAAAGCAAATGCCACTGTATGCTAATTCAGAGCATTTTGAAGTGGATGGGAAATAATAAGCAGGTATCTATGGACATCTCTGTGCTTTTTTTTTCTTTTCCCTTTAATACTTTATCTGAAACCATTCCACGCACATACACATAGTAATCAGGACTGTGCGTATGCTGGTGTTTGCAGTGCTAAACATCATGAAGTGTGAAGGTGAACAGTCGGAGACACATGGTGGATGCATGCCAATGAGCGACAGACCAGCAATGTTAAAATTAGACAGCTTCAACAAGGATGCATATGCATACCCATACATTCATAAATTTGATAATACTAATACAACTACTACTACTACTACTAATAATAATAATAAATTTATTATTTATACCCCTACCACCTGGCTGGGTTTCCCCAGCCACTCCCAACAGAATATTAAAAACACAATAAAACATCAAACATTAAAAACCTCCCTAAACAGGGCTGCCTTCAGTTGCCTTCTAAAAGTCAGATAGTTGTTTATTTCCTTGACATCTGATGGGAGGGAAGGCGCCACTACCGAGAAGGCCCTCTGCCTGGTTCCCTGTAACCTCACTTCTCTCAGTGAGGAAACCACCAGAAGGCCCTCAGCACTGGACCCCAGTGTCCGGGCTGAACGATGGGGGTGGAGACGCTCCTTCAGATCTACAGGGCCAAAGCTGTTTAGGACTTTAAAGGTCAGCACCAACACTTTGAATTGTGCTTGGAAACATACTGGGAGCCAATGTAGGTCTTTCAGGACCAGCGTTACATGGTCTCGGCCGCCACTCCCAGTCACCAGCCTAGCTGCCACATTCTGGATTAGTTGTAGTTTTTGGGTCACCTTCAAAGGTAGCCCCACATAGAGCGCATTGCAATAGTCCAAGCGTGTGTCATTTACATACCACTTGCACTCAGCATTCACACATGCTGCACATTTATCAAACCTTATAGCTTATTTGTGCTTCCTCTGAAGTAAGTTCAGGTTCCAAGTAAGAGAGTGTCAGATGCCCCCCTTTGTCTGATGTGTTCATTACTACTGAGCATTGTGGTACAGCCTACTCTTGGCATCAATGGCAGCGACATGGAGCAGTTTTCAGTGCTGCCCTTCATTCTAAGTATTCTCAAGGCTGCTTACGATAATAAAAATAATATATCACAACAAGATAGTAACAGAATTAAGCTGTGTCATTTGTCTCTATTCCCATCTTAGTATCAGCTGTCTATGTGCAGTTCTGTTTTTTGCTTTACAGAAAGTTTATTCGTGTCGCAGTTGCAAATCTTCACAAACATAGCTTTCCAATAGTCTGCATTAGTCTTGATATTCTGTTGCAGCAGAATATGAAAATACAGATAAAACTCTTCCAGCCATTTGCTCATCAAACCAGCCCTTTTTTTTATTAGTTTCCCACATGTTTACTTTAATATGAATGTGAGAGTCTCATAAAATTCCGTCTTCCTTTTAATGCTCATTAGCTTAAAAAGGCTACCTCTTTCGGCTTCATAATAAGATTGTACTTGGCTTGTTTCCTGAAGTAAGATTGCAAATGAAAGTGTAGCATAGTAATCACGCAGTAGTACTGCAACGGAAAACAAGTGTTTTACTTCTACAGTGTGTCAGCGCATTTGTCTTTACATACCGGTACATACAGTATTATCCCAAGGATTATCTAGTTACTATGATCAAAGCTGATGTTAATAAGATAATTTAATAAGCATCCAACGGCACAGACTTGGGTATTGGGAGAGGGGGGGAAAAGTCATTTCTGGCCATCCGTCCTTACTTTGAAGGATAGATGCAGCAAAAGGAATTAAACATTGCTGTGAAACAGCTTATTTGTATAGAAAGAAGCCATAATGATAAACGTAAGATCAGTTGAATGAACAGTAGCAACACCAGATGCAATCAAGCTTGCAGTGTATAGCATTTAGAATTATTGATGAAATATGGTTAACTCTGCATTTATTTTAAGTATATCCATTTTGCAAATTAATGATACATCCCAATATTAGGGAAACAGAATTATGTTAGACATGGACTATAAGAAATGTAGAAAGCCTCAGCCAGAGCGGTCTAGTGTTAAAGTGATTGTTTTGAGAGTTAAGTGGTTGGAGAATTGTGTGGAGGAGTAGATGATAAATGTATCTATATATTGCTAGAGTTTATTGCCTCAAATGCATAGTCTCATTTTTAAAAGCACACTGCAGTTAATCACTTGCACGGCATACCGACTGTGTATTTAGGTATATATAATGCACAAATATGTGTGAGCTCAGGAAATGTGCTTGGATTTTTCATTACCATAAGTAGCATAGGAATAGAAAACATCAGATTGTTTTAATTAACCTGCATATTGTTTCTAGATTAATGATACAGTCTACTCGGTCATTGTATTTATCATTATAATGATACACGTTGCAGAAGCAGCCTATACGATGCCATAGCAGAAATAAATGGCCACCTTTGCTGAACTGGGTGCTTATGCATGAGTGCAAATGTGAGCAGCTACAGAAGTTTAAATGTTCTTCCAATCCGCATTCCGTGGCCTCTCCCACCTTCCCCCTGATGTCTATGACCTTGGGTTCATGGACAGGATGTGGTCATCAAAACAAGGCATGCTCATCCACTATTGGTACAATACTGTAGGTATTGGTATTTTGCCTGTGACTTCCTTTCTGCTCCATATATGTCGACTCACATATTCCGAATAATAACAGAGTCAATAGGTAAAATAAAGTGTTTGGTGTTTGTCTACAAAGGTAGTTGTACTTCACAGGTATATCGTGGAGTATGCCCTGGTTAAAAAACCCCCAAATGATTTCAGGATTTGTGGCCAACAGGGAGCCCTCACAACAACCTGCATCATTACATTGTGAGAAGGGGCACTGCTACTACCTGCTGTGTATTGGAGGGTTGTTCAGCCAGTACACAGTTTCCCCTATTTTGCAGGGTAGTTTCTCTGTATCCATGGGCCTTCATGCTCTCCACCCCGTTCCTTTCCTTGGACGCATGAGAGAAATGGACGGAGGAGGTGTAGGTTTCATACTCTGACGCACGGGATCCTCTCCCAGTTAAATTTCTTATTACAGGGAACCAGGCAGAGGGCCTTCTCGGTAGTGGCACCCGCCCTGTGGAACGCCCTCCCACCAGATGTCAAAGAGAACAACAACTACCAGACTTTTAGAAGACATCTGAAGGCAGCTCTGTTTAGGGAAGCTTTTAATGTTTGATGCATTACTGTATTTTAATATTTTGTTGAAAGATGGGCAGGGTATAAATAATAAATTATTATTATTATCTGTGACAGGGTACCTACACAACTCCTATGAAATGACAAATATTGCAGGGAGGGGATATCTTATATTGCGCTAAATTCAATGGTAACATCTAGTTCTCATCAGTTCTGTATAGGAGTTACATGCTGAAAGGTTCACTGAGCTTTTGGTTGACTTGTTTTTTCTTTTGTCCCTATTTTAGATGCCGAAGAGTATCAGCCCCCAATATGGAAATCATACCGTGAGTATCAGAAACCGGAATTTGGGGGTGGGAGGAGGGCAGGGGACCTAACATGGGAGACTTTGGAAGGGCATTGTGCATGATTTGAGGAACCTAAAGGAAATGACCATTGATAAGAGGAACCATGGGAGCAGATGCTTAAGTTCCAAGTCAAATTTATCTTTTTTAAAATAACAGTTTTAGTAAGGTTAAAAGCTATCTAGAGAAGGCGTGGAAGAATCATCAGTGGGTTTTAAGAAAGGCATCTGTAAGGGATTTCTATGTATAGGGTTGCCTGCCTTGTGGCATGAAAGTAGAATAGAGCAACAATCTTATATACACTTATCTGAGAATAAGTCCCATTGCATCCAGGTGGACATGTTTAGGATTGCATTGCACATGGTCGTTGGGATTTCTTCTTGCTCCACATTCGCTAACCACCTGCCAAAGCCAAGAAGCATCAGTTTTGGAATAGCTGCTTTGAAATGGGTGGGGTGACCTGTCTAAGCCACTGCCATCACGTAGGTGCTTATTAACTGGACATAAAAGTCAGAGAAACAGAAATGGAACCAACAGATGCGACAAAGAGTGTGTTGATTGACTAAAGGTGCAGCACAAAATCCCTGGCGCAGGAGTGCAGGCAGAGAAAAAAAAGAGAGATTTACTCCAAGGGCAGGTCCTGGCATGATTCTAGGAACAGCCCTTAAAAGCTCGTTTTATTGTTCTTGCTAACACAACAGTCTGTCATTAGAGACTTAGGAGATCACATGGTGTATATGTTTTAATTATATGTACTGCTGAAACAGAAAAAGGATGCTGCCAATCTGTTGTCAAGAATTTATTGTGTGTGTGTAAGCCTCATTCATTTTACCATGTGGCAAGGCAAAAACTGCAGTGGACCTTCATGTTGAAAGTGTTGCCTTTTTCTTAACTTTGGTTGTAGTTGGACCATTAATTCAAGACAAGTTTCTGGGAACCTGGTTGTTGTTTTCTCCCCACTTCCAAAGGAATATTGAATAGGATGCCAATCATATATTTAGTGCTGGAGAAAGCCACATTCAAAATGAAGAATTTGAAAGCATGGAATATATAGGATAAGTTTTCAAAGACTGAATCCAGATGCCATGCCTGTCAGCTTTAGAGCTTGTTGGATTTGCCTCTAATCTACAAATAATATTGTCACCCACACATGCTACCCTTGACCCCTAGTTCAGATGCCATGTTGTTTTTACTTTATTTCTCATGTACAGTGACATTGCGAACACAGATTGTTGGGCTGGAGACCAGTCTGAGAGCAGACTGAGAGTAGATTGTAAAGCACCATTGGTCTCAAATTGGGAACTCTGGCAGCTAGACACAACTGTCTTAAGCTCTAAGCCACTGTTACCACTGGGCTGCTATCTGCTGTGATGGTTGTTGTTGTTTTATGTTGCTCTTCCTCCAGAGGAACCCAGGACAGCAAACATGGCAGTACGAAAAAAAGTACAATTGAAACATATGAAATCAGTTAGACACCAACAATGCTGTTAGCCACAAGGAATTACAGAGACTTACCCTTCCATAATGGTCAGGTGACTCAGAGGACCAGTCAGTTGCATTTCACCTGATCCTATAAATCCTCAAGACTCTGACCCGGAGATGGCTCAGTTCCCTGAGACTCACTTTGTAATACAGTGGTACCTTGGATTACAAACACCTCGGGTTACAAACACTTTGGGTTACAGACTCTGCTAACCCGGAAGTAGTACCTCGGGTTAAGAACTTTACCTCAGGATGAGAACAAAAATCACACGCCAGTGGCACAGCTGCAGCAGGAGGCCCCATTAGCTAAAGTGGTACCTCAGGTTAAGAACAGTTCCAGGTTAAGAACGGACCTCCAGAACGAATTGAGTTCGTAACCAGAGGTACCATTGTAGTTCTTTCTGAATGTTATCTGGGGGCTCACAGAAGTCACAACCACTCAGTATGCCTTTCTCCTTCCCTTTCCTTGAAACTAACCTTCCAGAAGCAACAGATAGGGGGAGAGGCATGAAGGAAGGGGTTGCTTTTTAAAAAACTTAAATTAGATGCAAAGCTTTATCCACAAGGAGTTCCTAGCTGAAATACCATGCAGAATTGTAGAATTGTAAAAGTTGGAAGGGACCATGGAGGTCTTCTCGTCCAAGCCTTTGCTTCATGCAAGAACTGTAGTGGAGGATGCAATTATTGCATTCTTGGCTGACAGATGCGCAACCTCTGCTTAATATTTCCACAGAAAGAGCCCACCACTTTGCAAGTGTTGCTCGGACAATCAGCTGTTACCATTAAGAGGTTAATTTAATTTTAATGTTTCCCTGAAATCTGCTTCCATGCAATATTCACTCAGTAGTTCTAGTCCTGACCACCCTCCAAAGACTCATTCATTCATTCATTCATTCACTCTCTACCTTTTCCCTTGGCAGGGACTCAAGGCAGCTTGCAGATAAAATAAGAACAGCTAAAAAAAAACCTAGGTTTTTTAAAAATTAAGCACTACACATATCTTTATCTCTCTCTATAGCTATCTATACACACACACACATGTTCTATTAAAAGCATACAGACAATCACAACAAAAACAGTACAGCAACAGCCCTCTCATTAAAACAGTCAGTTTCAAAAAGCCTGTTGGAACAGGAAAATATTCATCTGCCAGTGAAAAGACAAGAGGGGGACCAGTCTAGCTTCTCTAGGAATGGAGTTCCAAAGTCTGGGAGCAGCTGCCAAGGAGGCCTTCTCCCATGTCCCTACCAAGCGGGCCTATATGGGTGGTGGGACCAGGCAGCTTTGTATGAGGGAATGCAATCCTTCAATTAGCCATATGGGAGTAACAGAGAACCAGCCAGCTTTTGACACTTGAGATGTACCTTTCTAGGGCCCGCCTTATTTCTTTAATTTCAGTAGCGCTTTGCACTATTTTTAACATTGTGTTTTAATGGTTGTAACCTGCCCAGGGACCTCAGGGTGGGTAATAAATTGCAGCAACCACCACCACCACCACCTTTTATGCATAACAGCCTTTCAGGTATTTGAATGCTATCATGTCTCCCCATAATCTGTTCTTTCCAGGCTAAACGTCCCCAGATCTTTGAACTGTTCCACCTAAGATTTAGTTCCTCCATCCTGGTTGCCCTTCTCTGGGCCCATCCCACTTTGTCTATGTTCTTCCTGGTGCGATTGGTGCCCAGAATTGGGCTCAGTACTCCAGATGCGGCTTGACGAATGCAAATAGAGAGGAACTATTGTTTTCCATGATCCGGGCACCATGCTTCTGCTAACGTAGCCTGAGATTGCATTAGTTTGTTTAGCAGCCACATTGCACTGCTGGCTTGTGATGTTGTGTGCTGGTGCCAAGCCAGGTCTCTCCCACCCTATACTAGTGCCTTTCGAGTTTTTGTGCCTACATGCAGGACTTCTGCCAAGTCTCCAAATGCCTTGGAAAGTGATGAAACTGGTAAGCTACATTTTCAGGATTCTTTGCACTGAGCTTCTTCTCAGTAAGGCATCTGTGTTGCACATTTCTTACATTGCTCTGCGTGACGGTCATGGCCCATCAATCTTCTGACACCATGTGTTGTATTCTGCCATTTATATAGGAACTCACTACAAGCTGAGCTAGTGGTAGAACAAAATCGATTTTCGAAGTGGCTTGAGAGCCTGCATAGGGTAGTGACAAACTTCCCCGGTCATACCTCAGAGCCAGCTCTCCAGATACTGCCCCCTGCATCATAGCTGTTTCTCGTAAAGGGACCACAGGCCAGATATTTAGTTGGCCATGCATACAATTTACCAAGGAGCAACCCTCTTTTTTGCATCTCCCCTTCCTTGGGTGTTGTTGCCGTTCAAGCTAAAGGGGAATGGTTCAGTTTGTAATGTCCTGAGATTATGGTGCCCCTAGCCATAATGCGAAGTCATTTATTGTTTCCGTAGTGACAGGTGGTCATTTCCAAACTCAGCAACATCAGTCTGAGTGACTTGGCTTTTATCGGATGACCAAGCTGGTATCAGGCTGCTTCTACCTGCTTGCTAGATTTCCTTTCTTTAAAGCAACGGCTATCATGTGAATGGGTATAGCAGCATGTTGTGCACTGCATGTTTGCGTCAGTGTGCCCTATCAGAGGCTTGCTACACATTGAACATGCATTATAAAAGGGAGTTTAAAATGGTGACAAAAGATGCGCATAGCCCTTCCCTGTTCTGTGGCTCTTTGTGAAGGGCCTTTTCCCCATTGGGATTCAAATCACTTGAACCCCATTGGTGTGTGAAAATTCACTACCAGGACAATTTGGAGCAGAGGAATGATGAGCAAGGGAAGAGTAACACATTCCCTTTCACTTGCTTCACTGCTCCAAATCTTATTCTCCTAAAACTGTTTGGTTTTTTAATGACATCTGGGTTCTTCTGTACACGTGTTTGCATTCAATGAGTTGTTTGGCCCTCAGGCTAGCCAAAAGACTTGACTGCAGCGTACAGCAATAACACACCTCATGCTGATCATTTCCTGTTTTTGACTCACTTAATTAGGGATGTGCAAGCTCCCTCCAGTTCGATTCATAATTGGCTTGGTTTTTCAAAGCATTCTCAGAAAACGCCTGGAGAAAGTTCAGGGTTTTCTCAAGAGTTAGCTCTTGGGAATAGTGCTTGGGAGACTTAAACCTGCTGTTGCTGTTCCCCTCTTCTCAAACAGGGACACGTGTGGCGTTGTGGTCTAAACCACTGAGCCTGTTTGTGCTTGCCGATCAGAAGGTCGGTGGTTCGAACCCACAGAGCTCCCGTTGCTCTGTCCCAGCTTCTGCCAACCTAGCAATTTGAAAGCATATCAGCGCAAGTAGATAAATAGGTATCGCTGCGGCAGGAAGGTAAACGGCGTTGTGCCAGAAGTGGTTTAGTCATGCTGGTCACATGACCCAGAAAACTGTCTGCAGACAGACGCCACTCCCTTGGCCACTCCCTTGGCTTGAGATGAGTGCCATAACCCCATAGTCACCTTTGACTGGACTTAACTGTCCAGAGGTCCTTTGCCTTTTACCTCTTCTCAAACATACCTTGAAAGGAAAGCTGTGGTTGCACTGAAGGCTGGTGACAGTGTTCATTTCATCCTACCATTCCCAAACTTTCAACAGTAGTGGAGTACCCTACAGTCCATTGAACCAAATGAAATTGTACAATTACCAGGTTTCCCAGCAACAATGGTTGCTTTAAAATCAAGCCTTCGCTGCCATTAGGCTTTCCCAATGCTATCCTCTTACCTGCATAAGTTAAGGTGATGCCATGCCAAGTCCATTGTAAGCCATGCCTGAAAGTCTGGAGTGATTTATGCTCTGCTCATACTTAGCTGAAGATAAGAACCGCCAGCTTGGCTATTCTGAACCACCACCACCCCAGTTATGAAATTCAATGCAATTACTAGAAAATTGACCTTTTCCACTTGTAACTAAACCCTACAGCTCACTTCTATTGCATTGTGCTATGGTTTGCTGCTTAAGGGCATGTGCTTATGAGCTTGAAATCTCTAGTTCAAATCATGATTCATACAGTCATTAGATGCCAGACTTGCAATACAGTGTTAGTGAAACACTTCAGGAATTTAATGGGGAAACATATAAATGCTAAGCATGCATCTGTCTCTGTTGCCATGATGCTGACCACAAACATTTGTAAGTTTTAGTCTGCTCCTACTGGATCAGAAGTTGACTACAAATATGGTAATATGCTTGTATACAGAATGCCCACATTTGAAATAAATTGTAGACTTGTCTGGGCTGCAGAGAAAGCTACCCCTTTTCTCACTTGTATATTCCCTGAAGACCTGCTTCTTCCATAATGCTTAAAAATCTTTGCTGACTAAAGTAATTTTCTAATGTATTTCATTTACTTGCCTTATTACTGACCAGCTCACTTACTGACATAAGATCGTTAGAGCAGAAGCTGTAAATAGCTCTGGGAGAGCAAGGGGGGAAAGAGCTGAAAAGTGAGCGAAGGATGTAGGGAGAAGAATACAGGGTTGTAAAAGTATTAAACTGCTTTTAGAATACGTGTCTTGTTATCGCTATAGGCAACTAGTATGTATTAGTAGTACAATACGGTAATAGAATATACTATTGTACGCCTTTCCGCACCAATATTCCTTATTCTGTATGTGTATTAGAATACTGATGGAACTAAGCTGAAAAAGGGGTTGTTGGGGTGTGTGTCTCTGTCTTTTTCTTTTTTTAAGTACAGGACATGTATATTTTAATACATTTTACTTCCTTTAGTTTTACCTGCTTCCTACATGTTAGGTCCATATAGTTAAAGCTATGGTTTTCCCAGTAGTGATGTATGGAAGTGAGAGCTGAACCATAAAGAAGGCTGATCGCCAAAGAATTGATGCTTTTGAATTATGGTGCTGGAGGAGACTCTTGAGAGACCCATGGACTGCAAGAAGACCAAACCTATCCATTCTTAAGGAAATCAGCCCTGAGTGCTCAGTGGAAGGACAGATCGTGAAGCTGAGGCTCCAATACTTTGGCCACCTCATGAGAAGAGAAGACTCCCTGGAAAAGACCCTGATGTTGGGAAAGATGGAGGGCACAAGGAGAAGGGGACGACAGAGGACAAGATGGCTGGACAGTGTTCTCGAAGCTACCAGCATGAGTTTGACCAAACTACCGGGAGGCAATGGAAGACAGGAATGCCTGGCGTACTCTGGTCCATGGGGTCACAAAGAGTCGGACACGACTGAACGACTAAACAACAACAACAAACATGTTAGGAACATAGGAAGCTGCTTTATACTGAGTCCGATCATCGGTCCATGTAGTCCAATAATGTCTTCTCTGGCTGGCAGTGGCTCTGCAGGGTTTAAGGCAGTAGACATTTGCAGCCCTAACTGGACATGATGGGAATTGAATGAAGAACCTTCTCTATGTATGCAAAGCAGATACTCTACCCCCGATCCACCCCGTCCTTCCGCTGTTTTATTTAAGTTTTACCTGCAGCCAAGCATTTTTGTCTCAAGTGGTGAACTGCCGACTGGAAAGAAAGCAAAAGAATGTGGCAAGGCAGGGCCTTCAAAGAGACTTGCACAGGGCAACGTACAGCTGCTACTTCTCATGGAGCAGATGTTTATTTTGTGCGTCCCACTGTGTGGCCTATTGCAGTCCCTGCACAAACTGGTTTCGCAGGATTTTGTGGCACATCAAAGCTGCATCGTGGAAAATTTCGCAGAAGTACAGTCACATCCATTTGCAAGAGTACATTTGGGTAATGTTGTGGGTGCTAGTTGGATAGTGCCCATTACAAATAAATGAGAAGATAGAAAGGTGTCCACATATGAAATTGTATAGACCAGAAGCAGCCTGATCTAATCAATTTAACATCACTTTCGAATTCCACAGAATTAGGTGGAATAGCTGCAGTTAGGAAGACTAGGCAAACTTGACTCCCAGCAGTAAGCTATACCCTTTTTGATTAACCATTATTCTTTTTAAGATTATCAGAGATAGTAAAGGTAAAGGGACCCCTGACCATTAGGTCCAGTCGTGACCGACTCTGGGGTTGCGGCACTCATCTCGCTTTATTGGCCAAGGGAGCCGGCGTACAGCTTCTGGGTCATGTGGCCAGCATGACTAAGCCGCTTCTGGCGAACCAGAGCAGCTCACGGAAACGCCGTTTACCTTCTCACTAGAGCAGTACCTATTTATCTACTTGTACTTTGACGTGCTTTTGAACTGCTAGGTTGGCAGGAGCAGGGACCGAGCAACGGGAGCTCACCCTGTCGCGGGGATTTGAACCGCTGACCTTCTGATCGGCAAGCCCTAGGCTCAGTGGTTTAACCCACAGCGCCACCCGCGCTAATGCAACAGGAATGGCACATCACTTCTTTCTTCAGGTCTCACCAGCCACGTTCTCCCTGCACCTGGGCTCACAAATAATATACAAGTACATACACACCTAGGACAGTTGGATTAGTCAAAAAACAGTGTTTTGAATGTGTTATAAACATGCAACACCAGACGACGCTGGAGAGCAAAAAGAATTTCTATGCAATTTTCCATAGCGGTTTTTTTCCTTTTGTTATAATGATTTAATTTCTGACTTATTTACAACGGGGTTTTTTCCTGTGTGTAGATCCACCCCTAGTCATTAATATGAACCCTGCCATGGGCATTTAAAGGCAATGCCACATGATGTGGTGTGTTCAGCACAACGGAAGCCTTGCAAGCCAACACCTCACAAGTTTCCGCTATGGCAAGCAGAAGTCTACATATATAATTTTGGTCAATAGATTAGTTGGAATGGATGGTGCTAGTACCAATAGCAAATCTAAAATGTGTAGCAATTTTTAAAGATAGGCTTACGTTTCTCTGTCTAATTTCCACATTTCCATGTGTAGAAAAGATGTGCATAAAAACAGAAATCACTCCCATTTGGGGAAACTCATTTGTCATATTGTTGTCACATGCATGGCTATTTTCACTTGAGGAGCAGCCTCACGGGAAGAACTTCTGCTAGTTTTATGCAAAAGTAGCTGTACAGAGCACTGATTGACTAGACGCGGGTGGCGCTCTGGTCTAAACTGCTGAGCCTCTTGGGCTTGCCGATCAGAAGGTCGGCAGTTTGAATCTGCATGACGGGGTGAACTCCCATTGCTCTGTCACAGCTCCTGCCAACCCAGCAGTTTGAAAGCATGCCAGTGCAAGTAGATAAATAGGTACCAGTGCAGCGGGAAGGTAAGCAGCGTTTTCGTGCACTCTGCCTTCCGTCACGGTGTTCCGTTGCGCCAGAAGCCGTTTAGTCATGCTGGCCACATGACCCGGAAAGCTGTCTATGGACAAACGCCAGCTCCCTCGGCCTGAAAGCGAGATGAGCGCTGGAACCCCATAGTCGCCTTTGACTGGACTTAACTGGGTCCTTTACCTTTTTACCTAGATGCCTGAGAATTCACAGAGCACCCTCTCCCTCTTCTCCAAGAAGTTTTAAAATCTTAAACCAGGCATTATAATTTCTGTTATTTTAAATGGATAATTGAACTAACAACACATGAACCAACCAACCAAAAAGTAGGCAGCCTTCTAGACAACAGAGGTGAGGAGGAAAACTGATGAGAATATCAAGATTCACTGTGGAGGAAGGTACCTGTGTCCTCTCTATGAATTCTAAATGCGATACTCTATAATACCCCTTGCAAGTCAGCTATTTCCCCTTCATTTGAATTTAGTTTGAAGCATCTTCTTTAAGCCTATCTAAGCAAATGTTAGTATTCATTGCAGCCTTCTAATTACAAACGTGTTTTTTATGTTTGACAGTGTATCAGTTACAACAGGAAGCACCTCGTCCCAAGAGAATAATTTGTCCTCGAGAGGTCAGTTTCAAGTTTCTCTTCATCTTCTTTAATTGAATGGTCAGCAGCATGCTGATACTGTTGGTCTTCACATTTTATGTGTGCAGGATGTGATCTCTATATTGTCACCCACACAAAAGATTAAAAAATGCTCTCTTTTAAAAAAATTATAAGGTAAACATTATAAAAACACCAGTCGGTGTTTGTTATAAATTCTAAGCTTTAAGTGATTAATATTATTAAGATGTTTTCAGTACTATTTTTGTGTTCATCAAAGTGTTGTGTATCTTTGTATTTATTTCTGCCATAAATGAAGCGTGATTTCCTACCCCACCACAGCAAATCTTCCACTAGCTTCACAAACCCTGTTTGTCATCTGAAAATATTCATTTTGACAAATGTTTTAGAATAGTGTAGATAGAATATTGAATTAATAGCATGTAGTCTAAAGCACAAAGACAGTATGTAATAATAGATAAGGCCGTGCATTTACTGGCTGTCTCCCAGTTTGGTTTCCTGAAGTTTCTAACAGAGTGCTTTGTTTCTGACCAGTTTTATTCTCATGATGGTGTACTAGGTATGGCTCACCCTAATTGCACAACATCTGAGATGAAGCTGCTGATCTTGGTTTTGTCTTGGCAGAATAAGCACCTCATTAAAGAGGTGCTTCCTTCCCTAGGATGTTCCCGGTGATGTCTGTATAGGCCTTATGAAGGTCACCGGAAATGTTCCTGATTGAAGACACAGATCTGCTGTAACTATCAGAGGTGCTAACTGAGAAACGCACATTTCAAGTGGATAAGCAGCTCTGTCTGATGCTTCAGTAGCTCTGAGCAGAGAGGACTCCCTAGTCTTCCTCCTGAAATAGACCTGTCCCAGTCAATGCATCTCCTGCAGAGCAAATCTGCCGGTTGGAAAGAACAGTTTCCAGCATCAAGCAGGAGCCCTTCCCAGTAGCAGATCTGTTCAGGAATAAGCTCCTCAGTTGTCAGGCTTAAAAGCAATTCTTTTGTTTTCTGCAGGTGGGAAGGGCACACCCACTGCAGCAGAGTTCTCCAGGAGAAGGGAGGGAGAGATCCTTTCTCTTTCTCCTGGGAAGAAGCTGTTTGGTTCGAATGTGCTTGAAGCTCCTCTAGTTGTCTCTTTAGTATGATAATGATTTTTAGTAGTTTTTAAGGACATGTTTCTTCACGTTTGCTAGCAAGCAAGAATAGCCAGAAGCAATACTGTTAAGCAGAGTCGCCTTTGCACAGTATACTCAGTGCATTTCCATGTGTGCCTTGAGACTTGCTGGTGTACCTTAAGTTGTGATGAGTGAGGTCATTGTGGCTCATACTGAGATTGACTCAGAAATAAAGCAGCCTGTAATGTTTTGGAACAGGCTAGATGAATGAGGCTTGGGGAAAAAACTGGGAAGTTGTCTCTGGCTTGGGTTTTCATCTTGTTCTTCTATATACTTGGTAATTCTATCTTCAATAACGCTTTCCAACAATTCTCCCTGAAATGATGCAGAGACGTCTTTCCCATAGGGCTTAGTGGTGCGTCGCGCCAGGGCGCCGGCCTCTCAGGGGTGCCCCAGCGAGTGGGGGAGCTTTGCTGGTGGCCTCCCCTTTCCCTGCACACCCGCCAGCTGCACCCCGCCAACTATATGGCTGGCGGGCATGCAGCGTCCTTCCCAAGCCTCCGCGAGAGGAGAGCGATCCCCGCAGAGGCTTAGGATGGAAGCTGCACCCTGCCATACATATGGCTAGCAGACGCGCAGCTTCCCTCCCAAGCCTCTGCTGGGATTGCTTTCCCGCAGCGGCATGGGGGGGGGGAGTTGCGCCCCCCCCCATGGCTGGCAGTTTGCAGCTTCGTCCCCCCCCCATCCATGGTAATTTGGGGGTGCTGGGTGGATATTTGCACCCCGGTGTCGCATCTGCTAAAGACGGCCCTGAAATGATGTTAAGCTAACCAGCCTGTGATTTCTTAGATACACTCAGATCCATTTTTTAAAATTGGTGTTAAACACCTCCCTCCCCAAAAGAAACAAAGATAACACAATGAGATTAAACTATTATTATCCTACCACCCAATTCTATAAATGTTACTTTTTACACATTTCATAATGATTGAAGGAATGGAGCATTGTAGATGACTCTTGGAACAAATTCCCCCCTGTATAAACTCCCATTACAGAATAGCTTAATGTTCGTGCAGCTTATTGGTTTGGCATAATGCTAAATCGGTGTTGGAAGTCTCTCTCTGCTGGAGATTTTCAGAAATTGCTAACAATTATTCAACAAAACAGTGTTCACTACAATGGCAAATTTGAATAAACTGTCCCTGGTGCATACAAAGCATGCACTTCCTAAACCGGACTATTATGCAGAGAAATATGTCAGCTAATTACTTTGCTCATTGTTCTTAATTCTAATTACAGTTTTAGAAAACACTATTGCTAGTAAAGATAGTAAAATATGTGATAGCTTGGGGAAAAGCAAAACATTTTACCATCCTCTGCTCTTAATTCTGTACGAAATGGGAATGGGATTTTTATTCATAAGTGCCCGTTTATTTTTCAGCTGGATGTAATATGCAGAAATCTTCAAAGTATAAATAAATACAAGTAGTAATGTATGAAGGGGTTTAACATATGTAAATGTGAAATGTTCCTCTGTTTTCTGCTTAGATTTTCCTGAAAGCCTAGCTGTAAAACAAGAGCTTGAAGATTACTATGGTATCTTTTTGGCTTGTAATATTCTCACTGTGGTGCTAAAGCATCCAGGAATTCCTTTAGTTCACGTAAAATTCAGTAAAAGATAATATAAAATATTGGATTTTGACCTGGGAAGCATAAATCTAAATAAGAGATTCAGCCATCGATGTTTTGTTCCCCAGTTGTTCACATCTAAGGATGGAATATTTATTCGTGGATTTAAATGGATAATACATGATTTGATGTGAAATGGTCCTGAATCATTCTATGTCCTCAAGTAATGTTTTACATAAGAGACGTACAGGCAAAGCAAATCTCAGTTGGCATTTGGTTTGTGCTGTCTGTCCAGAATGACATTTGAAAGCAGGAGTTCTAGAACACGTTGAGGAAGTATGTATATACATGTCCTCATTTTCACAGGACTTCACCCTTCAAATAAGCAATAGTCACGAAGCAGCATTCCTAAACCTATAGTAGTTAAGGTTCTTTGTACTTGACCCAGTAATTCAAGAAGGAAATACTAAGTTGAAGATTCCAAACAGAGTGAAAGGCTTTAGCTACTGATGTCATGAGCCCTGCAGAACCTTTGGGATCAGGTGTGGATTGGCAGGTGCTCAGGAGAAGGAGGAGGAAACAGAGGGGGAGCTAAACAGTGAGAACTGTCATGGTCCCTGAGTGATGGGGCTGGTCGGACAAAGTTGGTGTGGGAATGAGCTGCCTGCAGAATAACCCAAGGAAGTTCTAATGGGATAGATACCAAACCAAATCAGAGTCATGGGGACTTGAGGAGCTGCTTGGGAAGGAGGATCATGGAACACACCCAGTGGGGGATGGATGGTCCCTTCAACCCATGTCATCTCCCCATCAGTCTCCCAGGCGCCCGCACAGCCTTTCCTCCAAGATCACCAAGGCCCACCTTCAACTCAGTCACTCTGAATGTAGTGCCAACTCTGGAGTTGCCGTTTCTGGCTCCCTAGCTCTTCAGAGGAGGTGGCCGCCCAGCCTGTCCCATCTGCTCCCCAACCTCTGTTGCTGAGGTCATGAAGAAGACACCAGCACAGGCATGAACAGACAGGGAAGACCCACCCTTCTCAGAGGAGTGCCTGCTTGCATGCCCAGTTTCAGGAACAGCCTCATTTGCCATCCTAAGTTGTGCCTGCCCCATTCCCATATAACAAGGTTGTAGGGGGCGTGTCGCTGGTTGGGTCAATGTCTTAGCTTGTCTAGCCATGTGTAGCACCTATGATGTCTTTGAACTCTGCCTGTGTACTGTACTGATCTGAGAATTAAAGATTTTGGTAGATACTGCAATTTGAGTTCGCGTTCTTCCTCCAGTGAGAGCCAGGACAGGAACCTAGACTGGAGGTGGGGGACTCTCTCCTTTCTGCCCTGACTTCAGCTACCTCTGAAGGGATGCTGGTTCTCCTTCCCCCAGCTTTTCTGCAGAACACAGAGCCTCAGCAGAGGCTGAGAAGGACTTGGAGGGGCGGGAGGAGGCAGAACCGGAGGTGGCAGAGACTGAACAGGAGCCCAAACAGAAGGGTACAAGCTTGTGATCTAGAACCAGACACCACCTTCACAGTTGGGAGCAAACTCCCCACCAAGGAGAGTGTGTTTGCAGTTCCCAACATTTGCAAAGTGAGTGAGTCTTGTGAGTTAGTGCACCCCACCTTTTATGTAAAAGATTGGCCGGTGGGGTGTGGGAACAGGTTGGGGCATCTTAGCTGCTTACATCTCTTTCAAAACTTCTTGACCTGCTCTTGTCCCTCGTATGCTAAGCATCTCAGAAAAGGGAGAAGGGTGACATCATAAACCGGATGATGTCATGCAAAGTATAAAACAATAGCATGTATCCTAAGTGTCTCAGACTGGAGAAGGATGACATCATAAAGCAGATTGTGTCCAGTGAGTCAATCTCAAATGTTTTCCAACTAGATAAATGACTTAATTAAATATGTATATTTAGGCACTGATGCCAGGAAAGGAAATCTGTTCAGGATGAAATAGTCTGTTCCCCAGGGATGGTTTGTCCACCTGGCAACTGAATAAGAGACTTTTCCAAAGGAAAGGAAAGGAAATGTAGTCCTAATTTTGTAAATGTGGAGCAGGTGGATTTGTATTTGGATATACAGTCTGGCCTGGAGGAAGTAAAGTTGAGGGGAAAATAGAAGACAACAGATATGGAGGCAATTTAACCTAGTTTTAGATTTAATCAGTTTTAGATTCCATTTTAGATAAACCCTGGCTTGCCAGGGCATCTGAGCCTTAGGAACTGCCATTAATTTTAACTATTCGTAATCGCAAGATAGGGTCACGGGTGGCGCTGTGGGTTAAACCACAGAGCCTAGGACTTGCTGATCAGAAGGTCGGCGGTTCGAATCCCCACAACGGGGTGAGCTCCCGTTGCTCGGTCCCTGCTCCTGCCAACCTAGCAGTTCGAAAGCACATCAAAGTGCAAGTAGATGAATAGGTACCGCTCTGGCGGGAAGGTAAACGGCGTTTCCGTACGCTGCTCTGGTTCGCCAGAAGTGGCGTAGTCATGCTGGCCACATGACCCGGAAGCTGTACGCCGGCTCTCTCGGCCAATAAAGCGAGATGAGTGCTGCAACCCCAGAGTCGGCCACGACTGGACCTAATGGTCAGGGGTCCCTTTACCTTTAATCATAAGATGCTCAAGGTAATTCATCTGGTTCTTCCACGCCACTTTATCTTCACAACAATCCCAGGACTTAGGTGAGACCGGTAGAGCAACTGGCCCAGTTGAGTCTCAGGGCTGAGTAGCAAAGGGAATCCAATGTCTCCTCACTCTTAGTCCAACAAACAAACCATTACACCCAACTCAGCCTCATGTGAAGTATGACTTCTTGAAAGCAGCAAAGAGCCACATCTGAACATTTTCCTGCTACTTCCCTTACTAAAAAGTAACATAAGAAGTGATCCTTCATGAATTATTCCCAAATGTTTTGACCCTACAAACAGATCAGCCAGCGATCGACTGAGAGCTATTAAAGTAGCTCTGAAATCTATGACTTTTTTTGCTGTTGTTGCTGACAGCAGTCCTACACACAATGAAGTCATGCTTGAAACCCAGTGGCCTCCTTTGTGAATCCAGATCCTTATCGACTGTTTGCTGAACTTCTACAGATTTGTCTATCTTTGTTATGTCCCTATTGGCTAGCTGTCTCACTTGCCTGTGTTGTTAGCAGATTCTCCTGTAAGATATGGTAGAATCTGCCGGTTGAACAGTTGTTAATTCTTTAGAAGGTGAGCCTACAGATCAAATCGATTTGCGTTTCCCTCACATCTTACCAAGTACATGTCATTGACATTTTATTTCTGTATACAGTGGTACCTCTGGTTACGTACTTAATTCATTCCGGAGGTCCGTTCTTAACCTGAAACTGTTATTAACCTGAAGCACCACTTTAGCTAATGGGGCCTCCCGCCGTCGCCGCACGATTTCTATTCTCATCCTGAAGCAAAGTTCTAGCCCGAGATACTATTTCTGGGTTAGCGGAGTCTGTGACCTGAAGCGTATGTAACCTGAAGCATATGTAACCCGAGGTACCACTGTATCTGAAATAATTGTCATTTATATCCTCTCTATTTAATTATCTTGTTTTGTTCCTTCGTTGTTGAATGGGCTTGACATGTTTGCTATCCACTATTCTTTAAGGTGGATTTCTAGACTTTGGTAACATTCCTTCACATGCCACCATTGGATATAGCCTAATCTGATCAAAATACTACATTTAGGCTTTTACTCTCACCATGACTAATGTGCTAAAGGGCATTGTATGCAAATGTTTATCTTCTGGACTTTGAACGTCTTACTAATGCACTTTTCAGATTTTCCCATCATTAACAGATTAGATGATTAGGCAACATGGTTGGGTGGGGGTGCACAAAGATAATTACAGAGGCTGTCTGGTTGTAAATTGATCTTTAGATACTGGTGATTGGTAAATGCAACTCTAGCTACTCCCAGTTACAAAATCCTAGATAAAATCTTCAGTGTAATCTGCAACCTATACTCCCCCCCCCCCACGAAAAAAGTCCATAGTGGTCCTGGGGAAAGAATACACATCTATAAAACTTTATTAGCATTTGGAAATGCAGTCAAAGTCCTTTTTCTTTGCTTCTCATCTTGACAGATACCTTATTCTGGAGATTAGAAAGAAAACTGGATGCATTTCCCTTTAAATTGTATGAATTCTTCTACAACTGAAGCAGTGCCACCATTTTCAATGCCCCCTTTTACATTTTTTTTTAAACTTACAGCAGCATTTTCATTTAAAAGCTGGTTTAATTCAAAAATAATAAGAAGTCAGTAGGGTGATCTCACACATCAGCTTGAATGCAGATTATTTGAGAGAAGAAATTGTATTTAGGGCATATATTTATCCCACAGTCATTGGTCATAATGCTTTTCTGTGAAGTTTCTGCTATACAGTGGCATGTTTTTACAGTAACATTTTTACTGTGCTTACTAGAGATCACTATAGCAGACGTTCCAAAGAGGAGGAATTGCAGTTCAAGGTCACTGCAATCTTACACCTGGCGTATATGTTTTGTTGACTCATTAAGAGTGCATACCTTGATTCTAAATGTATTTTACTTACAAGAAAATGCCACTAGTTTCGACAGAACTCTTCTTTTTAAGATTACATTGGTTAGAGCCTCAAACAACATCCAGTAAGTCTTCAATGCATGTCTACCATGCATTATCATAACAGAAATTGATCCAGAAATTCTTCCATCCTTCAGAGCAGTACTGTGTATAGTGTTGCACATTTCTGCCACAGTTTGTCATTGTGGGTGGACTTGCTTGGAGTCACACATTCATTTTGAGATGCCTTGTGGGATATAGTTTTCTCTAATCTTAGCTATGTCACTGTGTTCAGAAGCTGTCATATCTGTATGAACTATGATCTTGAAGTCAGAGAGATGGGCCATGCCTGAAACCTCATAAAACGTTATTTTTGAGAAAGGCATTTTCATGAAGCTGTTTGACATTTTACACTTGGGTTGTGGTGACGCTAGAATGCTGCTCTGGGCTCCTTGGAGAAATGTTGAGATAAAAATATAGTAAGTAAATAGACACTAGGCATTGCAAAGAGATTCCTCTGCTGAGGATTTGGGGTTTCAGAAAATTTTCTAGTATGATATCACAAGGAGGGTGGAATGCATCAAAGGATATGTAAGAGATAAGTTAGATTCTTTCACTGTATCATCAGGAGTTTTGGTTTTGGCAATTGCTGACAGATATTTATGAGGTTTCCAGCTAAGCACTGTATACTGAGCTCTCAAGGGACAAAATTTGTACTAACCAGCAGCAAGCAACATTTGAGTTTGTCTGTGTTATATGTTGTTACTATTATTTATTAAACGGATTAGTTGCCTTTTTTGCCAGTGCAATCCGAAGTGACTTACAACAATAAATAATAAACATTTAAAAAAGACAAAGAATAGAAAAATCTGAAATGCTTTCATACTTTTAAAGGCAGGAACAGAACACCCTGGTGGTTAAAGGAGACTACAGATAATTAAAAGACAAAGGCCTAGCAGAAAATAAATGTTTTTGCTGGTGCCTAAAGATACGTACCACAGAGCCTAGGGCTTGCCGATCAGAAGGTCGGCAGTTCAAATCCCTGTGACGGGGTGAGCTCCCGTTGCTCGGTCCCAGCTCCTGCCAACCTAGCAGTTCAAAATCACGTCAAAGTGCAAGTAGATAAATAGGTACCGCTCTGGCGGGAAGGTAAATGGCGTTTCCATGCGCTGCTCTGGTTCTCCTGAAGCGGCCTAGTCATGCCGGCCACGTGACCCGGAAGCTGTACACCAGTTCCCTCGGCCAGTAAAGTCTGCGACTGGACCTAACGGTCAGGGGTCCCTTTAAAGATATGTAACGATGGCGCCAGGTGAGCTTCCCTGGGGAGAGCATTCCACAAATGGGGAAGCACCACTGAAAAAAGGCCCATTCTCATCTTGCTACCCTGCGGACCTCTTGGGAAGGTGGGGCCCACAGAGAAGGATCTTAGATGGCAGTCACAGGGTCTGGGACAGTTCATGTGGGGAGAGGCAGTCCTTGAGGCCCAGAGCTGCCTAAAGCTTTATAGGTCAAAACCACCACTTTGAACTGGGCCTTGAAGCTAACTGGTAGCCAGTGTAGTTGAGTCAGGGTTGGTGTTAATTTACTCAAACTGTCTTGCATTCTGGCTGCCAAATTCTGCACCAGCTGCAATTTCCAAACCATCTCCAAAGGTAGTCCCATGTATAACACATTGCAGTATTCTAACCTAGAGTTTACCAGAGCATAGACAACAGAAGTTAGGCTAGCTGTGTCCAGATAGGGGTGTAACTGATGGAAAGCGTTCGGCACCACTGAGGACATTTGACCCTAGGAATTTTTGTGGTCAGCCACAATAGCTGGAACATGTTACCAATGAAAAATCTAGGCAGACAAGTAGGAATAACCGTAAACAAGCTGGAAACCAAGCCCCAGATTAGTTCTGTTTGGATATAGTGTGTGTGAATACCAAAGACAATAGCATTGCAAATAGGCAGTGTAACATGCATTGTTAGAAACAGGTTAACTTGCAGTGCATTCATATTCTCTGCCTTGTGTAATTAGGTATCCTGAGACTTGCAAGACATTGATCACCAGCCCAAGGACTCTGCTGTGTAGTAGTAATAATTTTACTATTTGTAACAGGTTACACCTGACTTGGTTGCCCAATAAACATTACAGGGCCTTTCCTTCTTTCTTTCTTTCTTTCTTTCTTTCTTTCTTTCTTTCTTTCTTTCTCTCTCTCTCTTCATTTTGAAGCATTGCAATAAAGATTAAAACATTAAAATGAAAGGTTTAAAGCCTATCTTTATGGATCCAGCCATAATTCAGTATTGTTTATTGAAAGACTGCCAGTGAAAAGCACATTAGTAATGACTATTTAAATCAGAGGCACCTGTTAATATTCCAGCACTATGCTCCAAATATTAGATGAACATTGAACAAAAACATAGTGCATCAAACTTTGTAAGTAACTGCCCCCTGCTGGCCTGGCATTTGTTTGTGTATAATTGCCAGATTAAAATTTTCAGCATTACGTGTAGCATTTAAAATGAATCCTTTGTGCTCTATTAGATAAAGGATGCCATCCTCCCGGCTTCCTGCTCGGCAGGCAACACTTCTTTCACCCTAAAACACTTTTTTAAAGTTGTGACCTGCAGTATTTGTGGTTGGGCAAATATTGATGATATTATTGTTTCACCAGCTTAATTTTTTATTGTTGCTTCTATTAATGTATATCTAACTGTGTTGTCTCTCCCCCCCCCCATTTAGGTGGAGAACAGACCGAAATACTACGGACGAGAGTATGTATTAAATGATTTGTAGGAAAATAACTTTTAAATGATTTGTAGGAAAATAACTTTTTAAGTAATAATTTGATGCACGACACTGTGCAATTTAAAATTGCTACAAAGAGATCATTTAATGTTAATGAAGAGATCATTTAACTCAGTGTTATTTCTCCATTTCTTTCCACGTACTTACTCAGTTTTTCTTGACTTCCCAGACTCTTCGTTTGCATGCATATGAATTGTCTTTTCAGGTGGTACCTATAGTGTATATACATTTCAGTATGTATTTTGCAGTAGAGCAATTCTAACCCAGCCCTGGGAACAACTGGAGAAGTGGAGCCACTGCTGTTGGTCAGGAAAGAAGGTGGCGGGGATCTTTTTGCTTTGGTTGTTTGTTTAAAAGGAAAGACCAGCTGGGTAAAGCCAGAGGCCCATCTAGTCCAGCATCCTATTCTCATGGTGGCCAGCAGTAGCAGCACTCTCCCAGCTTGTGATTTCCAACAGCTGGGATTCAGAGGTCTACTTCCTGCAACAGGAGAACAAGGCCATCGTGAGTCATAGCCTTTGACAGCCTTATCGTCCTTGGTAAGGTGCAGTAGAGTGGGCCACCTGTCAATGGGCCAGCTTAAAATCCAGGGAATCCTTGGCCTGTTCTTCTCCACCCCATTTTGGAAACTTGTGCTGGCTGTGAACGGCAGCTTCCATTAATACAAGTACAGCAAGGGCTTCTGTAGCAGTGGACCCACCCGCCGCCAGCAGAGCCAGGGAGAAGGACTCTTCCACCCAGTCTTCTTCATTTATTTTGTAAATCTTAACTTAGGTCTCCTTTTCAGAATCATAGAGTTGGAAGGGACCACATGGATCATCTAGTCCAGCTCCCTGCAATGCCCAGTGTGGGGCTCGAACCCAGAACCTTGAGATTAAGAGCTCTACAGACTGAGCTATATGATCCAGTCTGAATCTGGTGTTGTCTATTCCGAACTTTAAAATGCTGGAAAGTGTAATGCTGGTGGTCAGCAAAAGAGGTTTAAAGACTCTCTCAAGGCAAATCTAATAAAATGTAGTATAAACACCGACAACTGGGAAACACTCGCCTGCAAGTGCTCCAGCTGGAGAACAGCCTTTACCAAAGGTGTCATGGACTTTGAAGACACTTGAACACAGGATGAAAGGGAGAAACGTGCTAAGAGGAAGGCACGTTTGGCAAACCCTCAACGTGATCAACTCCCGCCCGGAACCCTATGTCTCCAGTGTGGAAGGACATATGGATCCAGAATTGGCCTCCACAGTCACCTACGGACACACTATTAAGACCATGTTCATGGAAGACTATCTTACTCGGCCACGAGTGATCGCCAAAGAAGAAGTAGTCATATAAAATTGATCCAAAGGCAGAAGAGCTGGGAGTAGAGGCAGAGAGCTTGCAAAATGTTACAGATTACTAAAACCAGGCCCTGCTAAACCCCTGGTTCCAATATTTATTTATTTAAAATATTTATATCCTGCCTTTCTAAGACAACAGCCTTTTAAGGAGGCTTTTAACAGCAGCGGAACAGCTGTAGGAAAATCCCAAAGCAATAATTAAAATGCAGCGCAAATAAATCAGTTGTGTATCACCACCACGGACAGCAGAATTCACCAAAAGCAGCCTGAGCAAATGAATGGAAAGTTTGTGGGCGCAATTTTAATCTCGATTGCAGCATTCTTTGCTATTAGTTCCTCCCAAGATGTTCCCCCTGGCATCAGTTTGTTGTACATATAGAGGGACACAACCCTGTCATGAACTATTTTGTAGTGACTTTTATGTGTCCTCCTTCTGTGTTTTAACACTGAGTTCCTGTGGCCTTTCTCCCATTCAGAGTTATTCTCTAACCTGATGGCTTTCTGTTCCATCAGGTTTCATGGGATCATTTCTCGCGAGCAAGCCGATGAATTGCTTGGAGGTGTAGAAGGAGCATATATTCTCAGAGAGAGCCAGCGGCAGCCTGGATGCTATACCCTAGCTCTCAGGTGAGCTTTGCTGCTTCTGTTTGCAAATTTTAAGAAGTGTTTGTTGGCCATTGGGAACCTGAAGGAATCGTGGTTATAACAACTATATGCAAAACAGTATACTTTTAAAAATGGTATGATGTACGGTAGTCTGTAACGTCTTAGATATTACGATCCATTAAACTTTAAAGCATATTTTTTTGCAGACTCAATAGTTGATTTTATGCACTTTTTGTGATAATAATAATTTATTATTTATACCCTGCCCATCTGGCTGGGTTTCCCCAGCTACTCTGGGCAGCTCCCAGCAGAATTAAAAGCACAAGAAAACATCAAACATAAAAAAAACTTCCCTAAACAGGGCTGCCTTCAGATGTTTTCTAAAAGTCAGATGGTTGTTTATTTCCTTGACATCTGATGGGAGGGCGTTCCACAGGGCGGGTGCCACTACCAAGAAGGCCCTCTTCCTGGTTTCCTGTAACCTCACTTCTCGCAGTGAGAGAACTGCCAGAAGACCTTCGGAGCTGGACCTCAGTGTCCGGGCAGAACGATGGGGGTGGAGACGCTCCTTCAGGTATACTGGGCCGAGGCCGTTCAGGGCTTTAAAGGTCAGCACCAACACTTTGAATTGTGTTCGGAAATGTACTGGGAGCCAATGTAGGTCTTTCAGAACTGGTGTTATGTGTTCTCGGCCGCCACTCCCAGTCACCAGTCTAGATGCATCCAAAGGCCAGTAACAGCCACAGAGTACCCCCCAAATAATTCACATTATATCAACACCATCACCAGTTAGAACTAAAATTATACCAGTTATAACAACAACAACAACAACAATTTATTATTTATACCCCGCCCATCTGGCTGGGTTTCCCCAGCCACTCCAGGAAGCTTCCAACAGAATATTAAAATACAGTAGTCTATTAAACATTAAAAGCTTCCCTAAACAGGGCTGCCTTCAGGTGTCTTCTAAAAGTCTGGTAGTTGTTTTCTCTTTGACATCTGGTGGGAGGGCGTTCCACAGGGCAGGTGCCACTACCGAGAAGGCCCTCTGCCTGGTTTCCTGTAACTTGGCTTCTTGCAGCGAGGGAACCGCCGTGAATTGTATTTAACCATGATTTAAGAGTATATTGGGTACAGAAAACGTAGAGCGGCTAACCTGTGACACTCTGGAGCTGATTAAGTTATCTACCCCTAGTGCAAATGAAGAAGGCTGCCTTATTATGCTATGAGCACTGCATTTGCACATAAGGGGGTCGCAGGCTATCTTGAGTCTCTCATCAACTTCACTTACTGATTTCTAAACCCTATTTAAGCAATAAAGTGAATTGTACGCCACAGATTGTACAAGACTTTCTATCACCTCGTCCCCTGTGATGAGCAAGGTTCCCCCTGGTAACTTCAGACATAGCTAAGTGCCACATTGGCTCTGATTTGAGCTGATATTAAAGACACATAGCTGGTTTTGATTCTTGTGTAAGAGGACACCCTGCTATACCTTAGTTTACTAATGCAGTGTTGTGACTGTTTAACCACAGTTAAGAACAGCAGGAAAAGAGCAGAAGGGAAGCAGGGATTGCATTAGTCCAAAGTTCTCTTCTGAGTGCAGTTGGGGATGTTCTGCACCGGTCTATAACACATGTTCATGCAGCCCTGGCACAAACCTGTTTCATCTGAATATATACTGGTTCCTTGAGTCTGTACTCCGTCCTCCAGCTTTATAGCTAATGAGGAACATGGCCTTTTTATAGCCTGCATCATCTGAGAAATCAATGTTTTTAGTGTTCAAACACTAATGCAACAACTTCATTTTGTTTTAATGCAGGTTTGGCAATCAGACCTTAAACTACAGGCTTTTTTACGATGGAAAGCACTTTGTAGGGGAAAAGAGGTTTGAGTCAATACATGATTTGGTAACAGACGGCTTGATAACGCTGTACATAGAAACCAAGGCTTCTGAATATATTTCAAAAATGACGACAAATCCTATCTATGAACACATTGGATATGCCACTTTGCTTAGAGAAAAAGTATCCCGGAGACTGAGTAGATCAAAAACTGAATCGAGGAAAGCTAGTGTAACCACATGTGAAGAAAACGCACCAGTTGAAAAGGTAAGGTGATTCATAAGGAAATCAATCCATATATAGATCTGCCTTTAAAAAATGCATCTGGGGCACTCAGTCATCAACTAACTTTTAGTCAAAGTAAACCCACTGAAATGAATGGACCTCAGTCATGGCCGTTAATTTCAGTGGGCCTACTCTGAGTAAATGTTAGTTGGCTACAACCCAATGTATTTGTTTATATGTTAACATTTGAGGTGCAAGCAGAAAGCTGAAATCAGATCTATGAAATTATTCTGTTCCTCCATTGGGAATGAACTCCAGATGATTGCATGCCCTGCCTACAATAGCTTCCCGTTGTAACAACAACAACAACAACAACAACAACAATTGTATACCACTTTTCCTCCCTAGATCTCAGGGTGGTTCCTTTCTGCACTTAAGAAATATGTGTCCAGGTAGCATCTCCCAGATAAAATAAGTGGAAAAAAGCACCTGAGCACATACAAATATTTAAATTCAAATGAGAAGCTAGGTCTCTTGAGCTCAGCATTGTATACATCAATAAGCAGTACCTCTCCAGGGTTTAAGGCATAATTCCCCCTCTCCCAGTCTTACCTGGAGATGCTGGTGATTGTAACCTCCCCACCTGGTTTGCAGTATCTGTCTAAAAGAGAATGTAGCCTTGCTATTGATTCCTGAATGTAAGAATTTGTGCTGATTGCCTGTTCACCAGATCTCAAGTTTGTTAGCCTTTAACACAAAGTTCAAATCTCTGCTTTACTATTTTGGTGAATGGGCCTGATTTTGGGGGCGTGGCTTTTCTTTCTTTCCATCTTTGCTTTCAAAGTTGTTTTTGTAGTAGCTGAGCAAACAAGTAGTAGTTAACATAAAGCAATTCATGGAGAAATGCAGCTGAAATCAGCTTGAAATGTGTGACAAATGATGAATATTCTTATAAGAGGTTGTGTGTTCCCGCAGATTGAAAAATATTTCAAATGAAACCTCTTTTCTGGTGTAAGTGCTTTTGAAGGTTATTTAATACATAATTCACGTAATGTGTTTGCATCACAATCAAGATTATGTTGTTGACCGGCGTCTGAAAAGCAGTGCCTGACTGCTGGAGGATATAATTTATAGTTTTTATTTATGATACTGTTTCAGTCCCATAAGGACATTTCTAAAGACATTCTCTGTTCAAGACAGCAAACGTCTTAAGTTGAACTGGCTTTCGTTTCTAGTGCAAATGACCAAGGAAGACATAAGCAGAGTGAAATACACAAGAAAGCTTTATTTAATAATATTTAGAGCAACTGACATTTCAGGCTTTTGGAAACAGTAACACAAATTAAACTCAATTAACTATAAATTACTATTATTTAAGAGACACGTTCCCAGAATAGAAAAGCACCTTACAAGGCTGTGATGAGCTGTTTTTTGGATTTTATATCAGCATAGTTCAAAATCTGAGAGCTTCACTGTCAGAAAAAGGAAGGAATCATAGAATTGCAGAGTTGGAAGGGACCAAGAGGGTCATCTAGTCCAACCCCCTGCAATGCAGAAATCTTTATGGCCCAAAATTTCAAGTTGTCACACTTCTGACAATCAGATCACTGTAGTTTTAAACCCTGGCCAATGGATCCATGTGCATACCCTTACGCTATGCATGTGCTGCTTCATGCAACAATATTTGCATGCTCACCTGCTGAATACATTGTGCCACCCATTATTTCAGGTATGGAGAAAAGAGGGGGGAAACTTAAGTTCAGATTCTACCACGCCATCTGCAAAAACTTTCCAACAGACGATTTTGTGAGAACTGGTGGTACAGGACATAAACAAATTAAGCCACTGCACACCACCCTTTATACAACACTGGGTGTTGGAGACGGTCGTTGATTAGTGTGGCATAGGGGCACTAGTTTGTAATTTGAGGAAATAGTTTTCTATCCCAAAGAAACATTTCCTCCTAACTGATATGAAATAGGTTTCCTGCTATCAATATTCCTCCAGTCTTTTAAGTCAACACTACTATTCTGCTTATAAACAGAATAAATTTATGAGTGGAACTTGGGAAGCAGGTTTGGGTTGTTGGTTTTCCTTGTATTCGTTGTTCCATCTCCCAGTCTCCAAGCCGTGGTCCCTGAAATGTGTTAAGAAAAATGCTGCAGGAAGTACCGGTAAATGTATTGTTGATAGCCGTAGCAAAAAAAAATTTTTCTCATTGGAGTACTTTGCATTACATTCCAGAAAAATCTAATTTGTGATGGTTGGCAAAGACCATTATTAGTATGGGAGAAAGGATTTTATCTATGCTGTATAGAACCATAACATGTTGTGACTGAAGCAGGGCAGGGGACATAAGCTATTTTGGCAGAGCAACTGCTACCCCTCAGAACCTCTTAGAAACATCCCTGCTTTTAAGATACGGTATAGAATCATAGAATTGTAGGGTTGGAAAATACCCGGAGGGTAATCTAGTTCAACTCCCTGCACTGCAGGAATCTTGACTAGATCATACATGACAGGTGGCTATCCAACCTCTGCTTAAAAACCTCCAAGGAAGGAGAGTCCACCACATCTTGTGGAAGTCTGTTCCACTGTCAAACAGCTCTTACTGTCAGCAAGTTCTTCCTGATGTTTCATCGGGATCTCCTTTCTTATAAGTTGAATCCAACGGTTCAGGTTCTAGCCGCTGGAGCAGGAGAAAACAAGATGGCTCCATCCTCCATGTGGCAGCCCTTTAGATATTTGAAAATGGCTAAAGGAGAGAATGTCAACAGGAGAATGCTAGGTATGCAATTAACTCATCAGTTAAAATCAGCATGACTTAAATTTTGGATTTGGCGCTTTTAGAAAACCAGAATGAGGCAAATGGGCATGACTATTTTTGTGTATACAGTGGTACCTCTGGTTACAAATGCTTCTGGTTACAAATGCCTCAGGTTACAAGCTCCGCTAACTGGGAAGTAGCTGCTCCTGGTTGCGAACTTTGCCCCAGGATGCGAATGGAAATTGCGTGCCGGACATGTGCCCGCAACGGGAGGCCCCATTAGCGAAAGCGCGCCTCAGGATAAGAACGGTTTCAGCCTAAGAACGGACCTCCGGAACGAATTAAGTTCATAACCAGAGGTACCACTGTACTTGGTAAAATTGATTATATTTACATAATAGTATCTGGAAGTTGCTTAAATAACTTTTACTCCCATTTTGGAGTAGGTAAAATAAAGTTTGTTGGTTTGTTTCAGTTATCTGCCCAGATAGTTTAGAATTCTCAACAAAAAGACATCTTTAAAAACGTACTGAAGGAATTAACGCTTTAATGTTGCCCTGAAAAAAGGGCTTGCAAACATTTCAAACATAGTTTAAACTTCTGCAGTGATTAGGAGAGGTTAAGTCGGTTTTTTTGAAAAAAAGAAAGAAAATGAAACATCACCTTTTATTGATAGCATTTCAGAAGCCAAGAAACTACTGCAGAGGGCATTAATTTCCCTGATAGGTTTGTTAAACCATTTGTGGGATGTAGTTATTCTTCCCTGCACGAAAGGTTGACAACAGAAATCATTGAATGGCTCAGTCATTCCTGAGACTTTCCCCCTTCGGGCAGGTCAGCGGAAGGTTGTTACAATGCCACTAACTAGGAAGAGAATGCATAACTTGGAACTGCCTGAGGAATCTGTCCACTCTCATAATACAGTTTCCAGGAAGTTATAATTAGTAGTACTGTGCCAGACCCCATAAGAAAAATGAAACGCATATTCCAAATTAGTTGCTTTTCTTTGGGTCTTTTTCATCCAAATAATTATATAGGTCAGAAATCATCATCATAAAAGAAAAATATTTATCTGTCATTATCCCTCAAACTAAAAAAAATAGGCATTCCACTCTTGCTGTATTAAAAATAGGCAATAAATGAATGTATAAATGCATGAATGTTCATGCAGCACTTTTTTAAAAAAACCAGGTGAATAGCCACTTTAAGAATGGGGGGGCGGCGGCTGCACCATTGTTCAGTTTTCTCATATGAAGGCCTGTCATTGCACAGCATTTGCCTATTGCTTTTATATTAAGTCTGCTTCATCCAAAGGTCTTCTAGCTTCCTCCAGTAAAACAGGTTGCTAGTATACAACACACATCTGAAGGGTTTTGTCTGTTTCTTTTGAATTGAGCATGTGATTCGAACTTGGAAATTATCCCGCATTCCCAGAAAAGTGAATACTTGCCAGTCTTTTTTTGTGTGTGCAAAAATTGACATAATACATCATCATAGCAAGTATAATTCATAGACTCCTGGTGAATCAGCAACACCTTCATTGGGGCTCAAGGGCATGCTGTTGAACTCCCCCGCCGCCGCTGACGCCGCCTCTAATAAGGTCTAGCTATTCTGTCTTTAAACAAACACTGCATTTACCTTACCAATAAAGTACAGTCGTACCTTGGAAGTCTAACGGAATCCATTCCGGAAGTCCTTTGAACTTCCGAAACCAAAGCACGGCTTCTGATTGGCTTCAGGCAGCTCCTGCAGCCAATCGGAAGCCGCGCCGGACGTTTGGCTTCCGAAAATTGATCGAAAACCGGAACACTCACTTCTGGTTTTTGATCATTTGGGAGCCGATTTGTTCAGGAGCCACAGCGTTTGAGATCCAAGGTACGACTGTAAAAGCAGAATGTGAAATGTAGTCCCAAAGTAGGAATGCTGGAATAATCCTACCAGTAAAACAACAGCTTTATTGTCTGTAGGTACTTAAAGCAATTTTTGTTAGTATTTTGTATTTTTTGGCGTTTTATGCTTTAGTATATCTCTGTACGTTGTTGTGCATCGACTTGATATTTTATATTATTCAGTGGTTTATAATGTTATATATATATAAATGAATAAAGCTCTGAGGAGCTATAGAGCCATATTTATTCATTTTTTTAAAATGCCATTCTGTTTTCCCATGCTCTGTGGCACATTCAAATATTGATCATAACATTTGGTCCATTCTTAGTCATTAAAAACGAGCTTAGAAGTGGACATGCTATGAAACTGTGGCTAAATTGCATCAGCAGTACATGTATTTAAAGTGTAGCCGAAGCTCGAGCTGTAAAAATTGCATGTGGAACAGCTACTGAAAACTTCATAAACAATTTCCCGTTAAAGATGATACAGTGGGACATCCATTTCCTGCCCAGATTTCTTCCTTTGTGCAATCACTGGAAAATAGAAGGCAGCTCTGTAGGCACAAATCTATATTTGATTATCTCACCGTGTTTTCTGAGACGGAGAATGTAACAGTGCAATAATCTTTCACCTATCATTGTGTCCAAGTCGCCCAGTGTGCTTTTCAAATACAGGACTTGTAATTCTATGTAAATTGATGTAGCTTCCTTTCCACAAGCAGAAGGTTTTGAGTTATGCAGTTCAAAGAAGCCCTCTTTTGCACTCAGTTTTACTTTTTGAAAACATTTTCTTCCATGCAACCTTCATTCAAAGATGCTGATTAGTTACTTGAACAAGTTGGCATATAGAGCACTTAATGGCTTTGGATCAGTTTACTTGAGGGATTGCCTTGCCTCATATATGCATTGTTTTACCAGTTTGTCAAAGTTACAAAGTGCCATATATTGCTTGTTCTATATATGTGAGGAGCTGATATTTTTATGTGGCATCATCACCTTAATGCATTGGAACACCCTATTGACACTAGACATGTGTCCTCATCATTGCTGTTTTTCTAGAAAAAGACCTGCTGGAACTCACCACGAACGCCTCCCTTGTTCTCTTATCATGGCAATGGCTCCCACTAGAGAGGTGCCAGAACTGAGTTCTGGCAAGTTCCAGCTGGAAAAAAAAGCCCTGGTTCTCATTATAATTAGATGCCTGCTGGAAACTTTTTTATTTCAACAAGTCTCCCCAGACATATAATTTAGTTATGTATATTCATTTTTTTAAATTTTTTGCTGATTGTATGTATGTTTTCTTGATAATTATTTTATACTTGCTGCTTAGAGATTTTTCTGATTAAGTGATCTATGGTTTTTCATATCTGTACTAAGGCTATTGACTCAGTCATAACATGTAACCTTTTTATTTAAAAGGCTAGGTAAAAATAGGTAGCTACCTTAACTCATAAACTGCCTTGTTACTGAATCCTTGAGGAAGGAATCAAGTAAGGCTTACATTTCATAAAAGTGGGGGTGATTTATTGGCGGAGCTACATGTTTCAAACACTAGATGGCAGCTTTACTTAAGAGTTTTTATGGTTTTTGTTTTTAACTTTTTTTAAAAAAAAGATACAGTAGCTTCATGTGCTTTTCTGGTTTGTTTATTTATTTAGTGTGTTTATCCTGCCTTTTGGGATAAAACTCTCCCTAGCATCAAAGAAGTACATCTCAAACAGCAAAACGAGACCAGTGCCCCCATGTTAACTTCAGAAATAAAGCAGAAAACAATATGTGGTTTATTGCAAGGTCACATGATTCAGGATCAACCCTCTGAGAAATTTGTCTACATATACCCTTGCCCTGTTTAGTCTTCAATATGGATGCAAATTAATATTACATGTTTACATTTACATATTTAAATGTCTGTGAAGGGTACATTTATCTGGCAAAGCTTTAACCTGAGCAGTGTATGCAAGCAGGAGGAAATATTATTTCTGGGAATTATTGCTGTAGAAACCTTTCCAAATTTTTTGCATACATTGTTCGTTACATAAACTTCTTGGACAACAGGCTTGTTTTAAAAGCATTGGTGTTTTAAAAGGGCTTGTTAAATAGTAAGCACATTCTCTTTAAAAAATATATCCTAAATTGACCTGTTTACTGAGGGTGCTTAATATATTAAATGGGCCATTCAGATATTGCAAGTGGGTTGTTTCCAAGTTTTAAAGAAATACTTACCAGGTTTTTCCTATTTGGAAATACCCCAATTCTATGAAAGAGGGCAAAATAACCACCTTAATGTTAAGACAGAATTTTTAGACAAGATAGTATTGTCACACAAAATGGACTAATGTACACACCCTAGTTTTACAGGGCGCCACTTTCCCATCTCCCCCTTTTCACCGGCAGTTGCAGCCTAATTCTATGCATGTTTACTCGAAAGCAAATCTCACCCAGCTCAGTGGGGTTTAGCCCTCAGGTCAGTTGTGCATAGGATCACAGCCTGAAAGCCATTTCCGGTACAACATTTAGCAAGCGCGGCGTGGCTCCTGGATCGATTCCTGTGAGACCTGTGTGCCCTTACTGCTAGATAAAAATGATCCTGTGAGCTGAGGCCTGATTCCTGGAAGAGTGCAGTATTTGAAGATCTGTCTGTGCGCAGCAGGGATTCATGACCCAATTGGACAAAACATGTTCACTGTCTATAGCATGACCCATTTCAGTAGCAGACCTGAGGCTGATAAATATTTTTTTTTTCCTAATCAAAACCTTAAAGACGAGTGCTGGAGGCCCTCAGATTTGCTAAGCCGGTTCTTAATGGCAGTCGGTAATTGAATAGAAAAGCAGGGCTTGTAAGCAATCATCCGACCCTCTCCATTCTCCTTTTTGTGTGTGTGTGTGTGCTTTTACTGTTGCTGCCTCTCTATCAGCAACAACATGTGCCTCTGAAAGTGGCTGTCAGCCTTCCAATCCCATCTGCCAAGCTGTCTGTTGCCAGGCTTCCTCTTCAGCTCCCAGGTTGCTGCGTCCTGTCTTGTTTTGCTGTTTACACGCAACCCCCCGGCTCTCTTCAGAGTCACCTCTCAAACCTCAAGTTGTATTTCCTGCCCAGATACGGGTGATCATTATGAAGTCGTCGCCCTTGGATTTTCAGCTGAATCAGGGAACTTTTCCGCTAGGTTTATTTAAAAAAAACCAGGGTGGATAGCGGATACGATCTCGTACAGTCGGTATTCTGTATGAGTTTTTGCATTTTTATTCTACATCTCTCATTGATTCTGGAACTTTGTGTAGCTCTTTCCCATCTGTTTTTAAACAGGGTATTATAGCTTACTAATTCGCTTCCAGGGTTAGGAGATGGTCATTTTAAAAATAACACGTGCATCTTTACATGTGCATCAAACTACCATGTGAAGTATTTTGTATAGGCTTTGTTTATTATGTGGATGTGACACTGTTTCTGTTATTACTTCCAATGCTGCGAAGAAAGGCGTTGTTGCCCCATTTTACAAAGCAGTGAATTGAAACGGAGAGTTTCTGGCTTTCCAGGGTAAAAATCTAGTCATTCAAACAAGGCGTTGAATGTCACTTCCTTATACATAGGAACTGGATCCTGTTTGAGTCATTTGAAGCAGGCTTCAGATAATGCCGGCTACAAAAGTGTTGACAAAATAATTTCTTTGTCATCAAACGTTATGATCATTTTTTTTTCAGGTGCCCTGTGTGGCACCTTTCATTAGGGTGCTATCATAGAAAAGTAATGTAAATACCCTGAAAAGATATATAGGACTATATGTATTTTTTTAAAGAATCAAAGTGGGGGTAGGGGTATAAATTAGCTTCCATGTACGCTAACCCTAACACCAGGCCCAGGGCCTTTGTTCACCCCTGGCATTCTCCTCAGGCAGCGCCACTCACTCCTCATGCTTTACACCATCTTTGATGGTGATTTTGGTCTGGCCAGAATGTTTTTTTGAACTTTGATAATACCTTTAGTTTTTCTGCACAGAGGATAAAGGAGAGAGAGAGATTGAGAGAGAGAGAGAGAGAGAGAGAGAGAGAGAGAGAGAGAACTAGCCTATTGCGCAAAAGCAACATTTGCGTGGCGAGGTCCCCAGGGCCACCCCAATAACTCACACATCACACAGAATTTTTTGTTTAAGATTTTTGGCATAATTTTGGCCACAACTTTATTAAAATACAAATTTGTGAGTGGTTGCTTAGGCATTGGTTGCGACTATCTGCCCCCACCATGGGGGACAGACTGACATTCCGCACGATGCGAAAGTCAGAATAGGGGGTAGCGACGGAGCAGGGAACCTGCCCTCACCCCAAATGCAACCAGGAGCTCATTGCTATGGCCCGAGCCCCCTTGACAGAGTGGACAAGCAATAGTTAGCCCCCAGTTCCTTTAACGGAATCCCTTGCAGCAGCAGCATTAGAGGGGCAGGCACTCAACCTACCAAGGGCAGGCACTCAACCACTGCCCTTCAACCAACCAAACCATAAACCAATGCCTAACCACAACCTTACAAGTTGTGACGATTTGCTAAGCAGTAGGCAAAAACCAAAGGGCCCCAGCCAATCAGCCAGATGGACAAAATTCCTACCGGGCCCCTGCCCCAAGAGCAGATGACCGCATGACAGGCATAGCAAGGTCAAAGCAAACAACCCTAATTCTAGGGGGGGGGGGAGAGACGGGCAATCGGATGCACAGTCGAAAAGAGGAAGCCCTAGCCTCGTGCAAGGAGTTTTAGCATTTCTGGCTGTCAATCAACAAATGGCAACATTAACTTCTTCCCAACAACAAGGGAAGCCCCAATCGCATCAGTGGCCAATGATCAATTAGCCCGCCCCCAACTTTGGAGTGTCCTGGCGGCCACCACCGCAACACGTGCTCTCCATGAAGGAGAACACACTTTATATTGATTGCTCCACCCATGTTTCTCTCTGCCCACCTACCCACCGGTGGCATGGGTCTCCCAGAAGGGAATGCAGCCTTCTGATAAATGTTCCCCACCCCAAGATTAAAAAAGGACCCCTGGACGGTTAAGTCCGGTCAAAGGCGATTATGGGGTTGCAGCGCTCATCTACTTTTAGGCCGAGGGAGCTGGCGTTTGTCCACAGACAGCTTTCTGGGCCATGTCCAGCAGGATTAAACCACTTCTGGTGCAACGGGACACCATGACAGAAACTGGAGCGCACGGAAAGGCCATTTGCCTTCCCACCACAGTGGTACATATTTATCTACTTGTACTAGTGTGCTTTCGAAGTGCTAGGTTGGCAGGAGCTGGGACAGAGCAATGGGAGCTCACCCTGTCGCGGGTGGCCCTCAGCGCTGGACCTCAGTGTCCGGGCTGAACAATGGAGGTAGAGACGCTCCTTTGGGTATACTGGGCCAAGGCTGTTTAGGGCTTTAAAGGTTGTGCTCAGAAACGTTAGAGAGCTGGACTAGAACTAAACAGGTTCAAATTCCTACTCAGCCACGAAGCTCACTGGGTGACCTTGCACCAGTCACCACCTCTCAGCTAACCTACTTTAGAGTGGTTGTGAGGAAAAATTTCTCCCTGCCTGAGCTCTATGGAGGAAGGGCAGGGCTTTAAAATGCAATAATAAACTTAAGAACCTTTATGTACTTTAATGAATAAAATAACCCCAGCTATGTCTACCTGTCGGTTTAGAACTCAGCTACCCAGTCGCACGAGCAGAAGCTAGCACAAGGACTCCTGCTTGTGCAAAAGGGCTTTCCCCATCTAGTTCTTCCTTCCATGCACCCCCATGGAGCCCCCCCCCAAATCCTCTCTGGACTGTCAGGAGAACTGCCAGAACAGCACACGGGAGGAGATAAGAGATGATTCCATTGGGCCCATCAATTGACGGAATGATCTTCTTAGCACGACATAGAATTCCAACCCCAGTTTGTGCTTTATGCTCAGGAAGTACCACTGAAAACACTTTACATAGCCCTTGGTTTTAACTTGTGACAATACTGAATTGATCACGTTAGGAGAAAGCCGTAAGCCTTCGCTGCCCCTGCCCCCACTTCTCTGCAGGCGCAGGTTTCCTAGTTTGTCTTATGCCGCTGCACTGTTGAAAGTGATTATTTTCCCAGCTGGCCTGGAAAGCTGCAACAAAGAAAGAACCGCAAGAGGGAAGGATTTGAATTGTGACAGTGGAGTAACATCTGCTCTCTCTTTCATGGCCCTCTCCACTTTGAAATCATAATGCCTGCTCATTGCATTCACATGGCTTGTGTGCTTTTAATGATATAGATGTATGAAAAGAGATTGGAAGATCTCCAGCTGTTAACAATGACTCTGGGGTTTTTTTTAAAAAAAACAAACACTTTGGGGTAGAAGCAAAGCAGGCATCTCCCTTTGATTTCATATTAATCTGATTAATACACTTTCCTAATTCCATGTGTTCTTTGATGTATATTGCAAGGAAGCTGAGTGGCCATAGAACCAAGCCAAGAATGGTATTTTTAGCATAGAGTTCCCTTGTAGAGTAGACTAGATCAAACTGTGCACATTTATAATCTGGGCTAGTACAATTTACAATTAGACAAGTATTTACAGAATTACAGCGTTTTTTAAATTTGGTTTTGGTTTTGGTTTGCATTTTTCATGCACCTTTAGTTTCCTTTCTTATTTTCTCCCACTTTATCTTGTTTAACTGAAACATTTTCCATTTAAAAAATTAAAATTAAGAAATGACTGCTGCTGGTAGACAGGCATTTGTAGTAGTGCTTGATATGTAAGCAATTCCCGCCCACCCCCCACAAAAGAAATAACAGTGAAGGCTTGCTAAGGATATGGGGGGGGGGTGGAGCTTCCCCAAGAAGCTTGTGGACAGCCTAGCACAGGAATAACTGCTTGTAAATTCAGTGGGACTTGCTATGTATTGCTGGGCAATGTTTTGCAGCTTCAATTAGGAACTTGGAATGATGTTTAAACAATAGGTAAAGGTAAAGGGACCCCTGACCATTAGGTCCAGTTGTGGCCGACTCTCGGGTTGCGGCGCTCAGCTCACTTTATTGGCCGAGGGAGCCGGCGTACAGCTTCCGGGTCATGTGGCCAGCATGACTAAGCCGCTTCTGGCGAACCAGAGCAGCGCATGGAAATGCCGTTTACCGTACCTTCCCACTGGAGCAGTACCTATTTATCTACTTGCACTTTGATGTGCTTTTGAACTGCTAGGTTGGCAGGAGCAGGGACCGAACAACTGGAGCTCACCCCGTTGCGGAGATTCAAACCGCCGACCTTCTGATCGGCAAGTCCTAGGCTCTGTGGTTTAACCCACAGTGCCACCCGTGTCCCGTTTAAACAATAATGAGTCCTAAATTAATGCAAGGGAGATTACACTTCTGGTCCAGAAATGCAATTACTTTTTTCCATAGCAGCAGGATCTTCCTCTCAGTGTTTTCATTGGATATGTAATGAATCAGTCTTGTAGGCTGACATATGATTCCCAGAATGTCAAGAAGAAGGCATGATGTGCACTTCTTCATCACAGGGCCATACTCAGTAGCATGAAAAGACCCGACACAATATTGCTGCCAAAGCAGACCCAAATGGGTCAGCTGTAACAGTCAGAACTGCCCTGCACACAGCACTACTTGAAAAGATGTGGATGGCTTATCAGCAATTCATTTAAGTCAAAGGCGACTATGGGGTTGTGGCCCTCATCTCACTTTCAGGCCGAGGAAGCCGGCATTTGTCCACAGACAACTTTCTGTGTCATGTGGCCAGCATGACTAAACCGCTTCTGGCGCAACGGAACGACGGAAACAAGAGCGCACGGAAACGCCGTTTACCTTCCCACCGCAGCGGTACCTATTTATCTGCTTGCACTGCCGTGCTTTCAAACTGCTAGGTAGGAGTTGAGACAAAGGAGCTGAGACAAAGCAATGGGAGCTCACCCCGTTGCGGGATTCGAACCGCCGACCTTCTGACCGGCAAGCCCAAGAGGCTCAGTGGTTTAGACCACAGCGCCACCCGCGTCCCAGCAGTTCACTTACACAACATCCGAAGGGCTGGTCAGGCAAGTAAGGTAAACCCAGTAGCCCAAGCTTGCTGGCCGTTCTTAAGCGAGCAGGTTGTACATGCTCATTCTGACAGGTCAGAGGGCATTACTCTATTGCACTTGCAAGGAATTCTTCTGTTGTAGTGGCGCAACCCACTGCTAGTGCTACAGCTGCTAAAGTAGCTGTGTGGGATTGGCTTGCATAGGGTTGGCACTTGTTTATCAAATGCTTCAAAAAATGGTCTGCTTGTTACAGATTCATATGCAAAGAACATAACAGTTTTACTGCAGCAGTTAAGAGAAAGAGTCATGCGTTCATGTAATCGCTATCACTTTTTGTAAAAAACCAATTCACTTAGACAGAATTAAGTATTTGAGGTGAGATATGTGTGTGTGTGTGTGTGTGTGTATATGTGTATATATATATATCCTCTTTCCCTCATAACATTCTCTGTGAAGTTGAAAAGTCTGCCACTGCTGCTCTGAGGCATACTATTCCCCGCCCCTGCGTGCAACATGTAATTATATATGAAATATGGTAATCTCAATTGTTTCTTTCTATTAAAGAAAAGGCAATGAAAGTATTTGAACTTCTTTTTTATATATATAAAAAAGCCCACTGTATTTTTCATGAGCTATTTGCATGTCATTACTCCATTTATTGTTCAGTTAATAATGATCTTTTTGAAGTAGAAAACGCATACTAACAAATATTGCACCAATTTTACAATAGCCCGTGTGAGACCATGGGGCATTTTGGATTAGCTATGCATCATGGGTAATCCAGGTTTATCTTTTTGTTGTTGTGGTGAGTTGGCAGTTCATTGTGCTTTAAAATACTTCTCTTGGTCTTAATTTCATTTTTTGCTTTATCTTAATTTAGTTGCTGAAAATAGATGACAAAAGCTTTTATGGAATTAGGGCTGGCAACTGAAGAGAGATCTGTCCAAATGGCTGACAGGTCTTTAGGTTCCAATACATTAAGAAAGGAGGCGTGAACAGAAAGGATTTGAATCCCGCACTTGAGTACAAATTCACACAATAACCACAGTCTGAATCTTTGTTTTATTATTTTTATCCTCGTGGCCTTTTTATTCTCTTACAATACAATATGAGCCATTGAATGAACACGGACCCTATAATGTTCATTTACATAACATATTTTCATTTTACCGCTAGCGAAAATTGCTGTGTAGCACATTGGTATGTCACACTGATTTCCACCCTTAATTGTTCGCTCACAAAGCAGCCGCTCAAGTCATTTATCCTCTTAATACAGCAGCTGAAAGCCAGACAGCAGTACAACCTGGTTCAAAGTCCATTGAAGTCAACTGAGAGGTTCCTTTTAATTTCACTGGGCTTTGTGTCAGCTCTTCAATTCTGCATACAATTCTGTGACCAAAGCAAACTGCCCGAGATTTGAAAAGGCTTGCAGTGTTTACTATTTATAAGTAAATATACATTGCACTAAATCCTGTTGTACAGCAGCTGCATCAGTAAAGAGTCCGGAGCTCTCAGAATAGCGTTTTCCCTGTATACAATATTGTAAGAAGAAATAGAATCATGCTGCAGTTCACATGGCTGCCAATAGGCGGCCCTGCCAACAGCAGCATGGCAACACAACAGCAGGCAGCAGGTGAGTGGGCAGGCGGCATGGGTAATTGCCTAGACAAGTTGCAATGGACCAGCCAGGACAGCAACCACGCCACTTTGCTACTGCTGCACACCTGTTGCAGACAACGCTAAGGAGAAAGATGGTGACAACAAAGCAAGACCATCTCTGGGGAGTGCCCTGGCAGGCAGGCAGTCTTGGGGTGAGGAGGAGGAGGAGAGGAGGTGACTGTCAGGAGCTTGTCCTACACTCGAGTAGGACCCTGGCAGAGACACATGCCCGACTGGCATGTTCTCTCCCTCCTGGTTGATTGTTCGGGAGCTTCAAAAGCTTTCTTCAGCCCGAACAACAACAAATGCCAACAGACATCGGCACACTTAGAGATCTGTAGAGTGTACGCAGTTTGCGTAACAGAACCCTAGCAGCTCAACATTTTGGCTAATCTACTTTATTTACTTTATAAAGACACACGGAGCACTGCAACATGGCTCCCTCTCTCTGTTGCATCAGACAGCAAAGAGAAAGAACGAAGGACAATAGTCCCACTTCATGAAACACAGTAACACAGACATCCTGTTTCCGTCACTTCCCACTTTGTGGAGACAAAACATATACCGTCATGTGATAGCAACAATCCCATGACTGCAGTCATGGAGCAGGAATTCTAACAGTGACCAGAGGCAGGTGGGCAGGTGGACTGGCACAGGATGGCCTTTGCAAGCCTTCCTGCTCTCGCCTTATCGCTACCTCTGGTTGCTTCCGGAGATGGGGCACCAGCAATGGGGCTGGCACAGCAAGTGGGTCAGGTGGGTGGCCGAAGCAAGCCTTTCCATGCCCCTTTGTCTTCACTTCATCTGCTGCCAGAAGAAAGGATGCATTTTCAAATACACACTTCCTTCTGTTGGTAGCACAGGAAGTGGAAGGGGAAAAAGATGTTCTTCTCTTTCTTCTCCATCACTAGTGGCAACCGCAATGGGGAAGATACTGGGATTGGGGGGGGGAGTGGGATTTTGAGCCGAACTGTGAGGGGGTGGGGATGGGCAACAAGATGTGGGAGGCAGCCTGGGATGGTGGGGCTGAGGGACCTGTGAGCAGGGCTGGCCCAATACATTTTGGCACTTGAGGCAAACCATAAAATGGTGCTCACCAGATCAGGAACAGGGTGGTGTGAAGATCTACATTGGGAACAAGGAGGGGAATCAAATCAACCTGACCCTTGGTGGAAGTGGGAGACAAAGGCTGTCAGGAGGAGGGGAAACGGACTTGAATCATGCGATGTATAGAAGTAGAGCTCTTACAAAATATTTGTTTTTCCCCAGTTGACCCTTTACAGCTCACAATGATAAGTTATTCATGCAATAAGTGCCTGTTGAAAAACACTAATACAGTGATACCTCGGGTTAAGTACTTAATTCATTCCGGAGGTCCGTTCTTAACCTGAAACTGTTCTTAACCTGAAGCACCACTTTAGCTAATGGGGCCTCCTGCTGCCGCCGCACCACTGGAGCACAATTTCTGTTCTCATCCTGAAGCAAAGTTCTTAACCCGAGGTACTATTTCTGGGTTAGCGGAGTCTGTAACCTGAAGTGTATGTAACCCGAGATACCACTGTAATCCTAGATTTCCCCCCTGGTTCCATTAATCTGTGGGAGAATGCAGTATTTTTGATAGAACGGACTCAAATGACTTGTGTTTAGACCTTAATCTACATGGACCATTCATTGCATAACGTTATCACAGCAGACAGAAAATGTTTCGGATCAGACTGTCTGATGAATGAGGTAATGCTGAAATTGGCAGACTTCAGTAATTCGGTTTGATTTCTGTCTTGATGTTTCCGGAGCGCTCATCTCTCTCTCTTTTGGCTTTCTTTCTTTATGACTTCATTAACCTGCTGCTTCTTGGGATGATGGTACTTCAAACTTCTTTCCCTTTTATAGCTCATAATTTAGCTGTTTCATTCCAGCTTATCTTTACTGTTTATGGTCCTTTCCCTTTTCACATGCAGCCAAGCTTGAGATATTCTGGTGACATAATGACAGAACACAGGAAACTGGTTTGGCAAAAAGGGCTGGCCAAGCCAATGGCTGATCACTTTTTAAATTATAGTCTCTGGGGAAAGAATAGCTTCTCAGATTCAACCATTTGAAAATATACATGTTTTAAAATAACAAGGTTTCCCTGCATGGAAAAGTCTTTGTAATGTGTGTAAAACAAGCACATGAAACAGAAATTATATACCATATTTTTCGCTCCATTGGACGCACCGGACCATAGGAAGCACCGGACCATAGGAGGGGGAGAACAGGGGAAAAAAATTTTTTCTTGTTCTCCCCCTCTAAAACAAGGTGCGTTCAAGGTACATTCACCAGAGCTTGTGGGGCTGGCGGTGGGGGGAAGCGCTGCTTTCCCCCACCGCCAGCCTCAAAGATCCCTGAAGCCTTTGGAGCGCAGCGCCCCACTGCCCTGCAGAGGTTTGCGCGCAGCCGTCCCCAAGCTAGAGCAGCGAGGCGGAGCGCTCCGCAGTGCTCCGTCTTCCTGTTCTGGCTTTGGGCTTAGCGGCGCAGCCTGCATTCGCTCTATAGGATGCACACACATTTCCCCTTAATTTTTGGAGGGGGAAATGTGCGTCCTATAGAACGAAAAATACAGTACATTTGCCATATAAAGTTATTATGGGTGAAAGAGTATTGGCCTTACTGATATTTATCTTTGCAAACTTGACCTTAAAAAAACCAAACTCTTACATATTCACTGCTTTCTGGCATTGCATGCCTGCTATTTTGCTCCAAGCCACACATGGCAGCAGTGAGAAGCCTGCCCTTTTTCTTTTCACAGTGTCTGTGAAAGTTTAAAATTTACACGAGGCGCATACCTTATACCAGCCATCTATTTATTCATCTATTGTCTCCTCTTGATGGCCAGCAGCTCTCTGGAGTCTCAAGCCCTTAGGAACCTCCAGGTTGGATTACTGCAAAATCTCTTATGTGGATCTCCACTAACGCAGGGATGTATAGCTGGGAGTAATAATTTTGGATACGATTTTCAGTATCCCTATCAAGCTAGACATGTATGCTGGCTGTACATCTGATCTTAATTTGCATCTTGATCGTGTGATCAATTTATGAAAGCCAGTAATTACATTCTCCAGGAAAAGTGTGGTGACAACAGTCAGCATTCTCACACTCCAATGGTAAAAAAAACCCTTTCCGCATTCTGAAATAGTATGAAGTTTTATGTAAACATAAAAAGGATACCTTTGTCAAGGAAGGCTGAGACTGTCACAGCTTCTGGAAACCCATGATACCGACAAATTTAGGAAATTTGTGACAAATACAAAAGATTACTCTTCTTTGGAATTTGAATGTCCGCATCATGAAAACTACATGGAGGGGTATTTTTTGACAGCAATCTAATGCTTCTGAAGAGTTGGCCCATTCCCTCCATCATTAGCCTTCCTAAATTATGCATTTATGAAAAAGCCTCACATTAGTTATTATCACTTTCCCCTTAAATCATTTATATTTTGGCTGCTAAAGTATATTAATTATTAAAAACACATTACTTCTCTTCATTTATACTCTTATTCCATGGCATTTCATTATTCAAGGGTGTGGGTTTCTTTGTTTGTTTGTTTCAGCTACAAAATTAACTGCATAAGAGTTGTTACAGCAAAAAGGGTAAAGTAAAGGAATCCAAAGTAGAAACCGAGCAATCACATGTAAACTTTTGCCAGTATTTTGTGGCAGCCAGGGCCATAATTGAAGTGACTGCTTTGTTTGAAAGCAAAAATTGATTTTGATTTAGCCGGCTGGCCACAAAAGCAAAATCTTCTTGTATCAGAGAGTCTTTACTGAAATGTTAGCAGTGAAGCCTTTTTTTTAAAAAAAATAAAAAAATTGCAAAGTATATACATCAATACCAAGCCATACATAAGGAATAATATAAATAAAAATAAAGAGGAAAAGGGAAAAAAATGCGAAGAAAAGTAGACAGTAAAAGAATAAAATATCAATACAATAAACACTATTTTACAAAATAGTAATAGACTTCCATCATTCTCACAACACTTCCTGTCACATTTCATATTTTATCTGTATTTCAGAATTATTTTCATATTATTATATTATATTATATTATATTATATTATATTATATTATATTATATTACATTACATTACATTACATTACATTACATTACATTACATTACATTATATATGTTTCCCCTTTTCCATTCGCGAGGTCATTCTAGACACAGCCAAATTTTTACATTAGAACCTTGTCTTTCTAAATAATTATTCAAGCACTTCCATTCCTTCTTGACTGTATTAATTGGCTTTAGTCTTCTTATATCCGTCAATTTGGCCAATTCCAAATATTCACATAATTTACATAACCATTCCTCTTTGGTCAGTACCTGGTTATCTTGTCTTAGTGCACATCTAGAAAAATCAGATAAATAATTTTCTAGCCTGAGGTGAAACTGCACTATGGAACAATTTTAACATTTGCCAGTAAAGGAAGATAACACTGAACAAGGATATGCGTCTCACTGTCAGACTGCCAATTTAGCAGCTGATGCAATTGAACCTAGCAAACAATCTGGAAAAAAGTGATATAATTGAACCTGCTGAGCTATTCTTTTGAGACTCAGTGGGCAGTCTGAGAGAATCATATTGGAAGTGTTCATGAAAAAATATCTGTAGAAGCTCACTTTGGGCCATAAGTATGAGTTTGAATCGATATTTAAAGAAACATGCTCATACTCTCATCTCTGTTGGAAGTGCCTTCGTTTCAGTGGTACCAATTCGCATGACAGGGAACTAAACCGATCTGGTCCCCTTTTTGTACTTCCTTACCATTTCCCCTCTTCCCTTCCCAGGACAAGAGAAGGTCTTTCTTTTGGCTTGTGCCCAATTTATGCAGCTTCAGAAACTCAACTTCAGATAATCTGTCTGATACCATCGAGACACCAGCACCTGAAAGGAAAATCTCTGCTTTCCATCTCAACACGGAAGATGCTACAAGGAATCACAGCAAAGGGCCAAATGAGGGTCCCTGGGCTAAAATTTGCAAAGCTTTCAAAATTTAGGGGTTAGGCTTCAGGTTTGTCACCGCAGGTTCACCAGGGGGGGGCGTGTTATCAGAGTAATAATCCAAAAAACATTTAGGAATGAAGATAACAAAAATCCTGGATATCTTTTATACAGATAGGTATAGATGAATAAGTTTCATTTTGCCAAAACTGCATTGCTGAAGATCAGTCAGTTCCAGAAGCAATTCTAGAAAAGTATCTGCACCTTTTAGTTTTCATGTAAAATAATAGAGTTCCTATGTCCCAGTACAGTTGTACTTTGGAAGTTGAACGGAATCCATTCCGGAAGTCCCTTCAACTTCCAAAACGTTTGGAAACCAAAGGGTGGCTTCTGGTTGGCTGTAGGAGCTTCCTGCAGCCAATCAGAAGCCGCTGAAGCCCCATCGGATGTTTGGGTCCCAAAGAACATTCACAAACCAGAACACTCACTTCCGGGTTTGCGGCGTTCGGGAGCCAAAACATTCGGGTACCAAGAAGTTTGGGATCCAAGGTATGACTGTATCTCTTTTACATACTGAGTTGAGTGAATGTACCTTCCCATCCCAAACATTGGTGTACCTATTCCTCCTCCAAGGCCACTGGATGTCTAAATACAGGCATAAACTTTCCATAGGGTGTATGTTCATGCAACCAATACCCCAGATAAGATTGAGGAATGGGCTGAGCCTATACGTATTGATATTTTGCAAACACCTATAGCCTATTTAAATGTTCACCCTGCCTGTCAAAGTGGGACCCCCCCCATATTGAAATGGGAAATTTTTTTTTGCAATCCTTACCCAAGAATAAAGGTTGATCCAGTAGCAGGAAATTTAAGCACTTATTCTGATGAAAGATATTGCAATCTGTGCTTCACAAAATCAAAAAACTTCCAAATGCATTTTTCAAGTATCTTTTCAAGCCCTATGCTAAAATGCATGGGGCTTGGTCAGCACAGTTAATCCCTTTCTCGCTCCCTCATTGAATAAAGAAGAAGGCAGCTGCTGCGACAAGAAAATATGTCTTTCGTGTAAGAGAAGGCTTTTAAAATGTCATTTCATTACTGAAATATTAAGTGTTACGCTTGCACAGGGCTTCACTTTTTTTATTAAAAAAACCCCCCATGAATGCTGGTCAATAATATGCTCTAAACGTCCAATGGAGGTGGAAAGCGAACAGCTGTTCTGTATTGATTTCCCCTTCCCCATTTCTCCGCTGAATGACTAGAACATCAGTACAGCAGAGCCATTTCATTCGCTGCAGGAGGCCTATCAAAGAACGAGCCGGCATAAATTAGGTGGAAGATTCCCAATCTAGCAGTCTTCATTTATAAACAAAATGCCCCGGGTGGAATAGATATAGTGTGGAATAAATTGTGTTCGAAACCTCTTTTGTTGTGGGCACAGTTCACTGCAAGGCTGTGTGTTTCTCCCTTCTCGAGCAGCAGAAGTCTTCAAATTGGTACTGAACAAATAATCCAGAACCCTAACTCTGGTCATATTCCTTTGGTTTCCTTTAGTTTAAAATGGGGACCACAATTCAGATAAAGTTGCATAAGTAAAGCTGGATGCCACTGAATACAGCTGGGCCTACTTCTGAGTAGACACGTTGAAATCCTTGATTTTAATGGAAAGGATAAACATATGCAGGTACATCTCATTTTACATAGGCGTTATGTTCCTGGCTATCATGCAAAGCCGGGACAGCCCTGTGGAACCATCTCTACTTGCCTGAGAGGGTGCTGAGCAGGCCTTGCCCCCCACACAAAGTGGGGAGCTGTTTAAGCCTCCCACCTTGCTTATCAGACTCTGGGAAGGTCATGTGGGGCTTCTGGAAGGCCCAGCAAGGATCTTGAGAGATGTCACAGGAGCCTCTCCAGAGACCTCGCATGACCCCAGTAAGAAAGGCCAGGGGGCTTAAAAAGCTATTTCAGCAGCAGGAAAACACAGTGTAAAAAGATCTTTAAAAGCCCGCCGCATTGCTTTTCCGGATCTGGGATGGTGGCATAAGGGCTCCCACAAGATCTCGCAAGATCTTGGATAGCCCTTCCAGCAGGATGAGGTTCTTGCTCTCCCCCTTTTTTTGTGTTTAATTTTCTGCAATCCACATAAAGCTGTCGCCCCACACGTAAAATCAGCATGCTGGGTTAACACAATTCAGAATTATTTTATGTTGTTATTATGTGGAGATTATACACAGCCATAGTTAAGGGTTTAATGGTTAATTCTATAACCTTAAGGAATGCTTTCCGTGTGTGTGTGTGTGTGTGTGTGTGTGTGTGTGTGTGTGTTAGTAAAAGTGCCTTCGCTCAAGAAGAGGAAAGAGAAGCTCTCTCCCTTGTATTTACAAATCTTTTACACTTTTCTGCGCCATGCATTCATTGAAGTGTGGAGCAGGTCTTTCCCCTGCTACCCATTTACGCATGTTCTGCTGAACATGAGAAAAGGGCCCCTACACATGTGCAGCTGTGCACATGTAGGAACCTTTTCTTATGCTGGGGCAGTGATGGCTGGTAGGACGGAAGACACAGAGACCAAACAGCAGGTGGAGCCAATGACAGACAGAGCTAACTAATTCTAGTTTGACCCCCAGCTAAGTTCCACAGTAGCTGCGCTCAGTCTAAGGAAGAGGAATTGGGCAGCCAGTGCCAGCCCCTGAACTGGTTGCAATTTAGATGGCAGGCAGGGGCTGATGGACGTTGGTAGGGCATTGCCCTGCTTGCCGTAATGGACTAGTCTCCACTGGCTTGGGGGCATAGAGTGTGGGTTCAGTTTTCCCATTTTCCACACTTCCTCTTAATGCTTAGATTGCAAGTCTCGTTTTGCCACCTGAGGCAAAACAGGAACATGCCGTCCTCACTGAAGCCTCCCTTACCTGGGTTGTGCAGCGGAGGTCATGAAGCAGTGGCAGCAGCGCTGTCTTCCATCGAGATCTTGCTGGCGTCGGAGTCCGCCGGGCGCCGCCTCTTGGGCTTCTGCCGCCCAAGGTAGCTGGCTCATCCTGCCTCATGGATGGGCCGGCCCTGTTAGAATGCACTGAATGGAAAGGGCTAGAGTCATTCAGGTATCCAGCGACAAGACTTTTTGTTTTACTAGCAGTCACACCACTATCGAAGACTTCCATTGGCCCTTCACTCACATTATCTCAGTCAGTAGAGCACAAGACTCTTGATTGTGGGTTGTGGGTTCGAGCCTCACGTTGGGTGAAAGATTCCTACATGGCAGGAGATTTGACAAGATGACCCTCCTGGTTCCTTCCAACTCTATGATCTGTGGGCAGTGGATGGAGGTCTTGCTATGCTTAGGTATGGCTTAGAAGCTTGGATGGGAATTCACTTCATGGTTTTTAAGGGCATGTTCTAGTGGTGGTGTAGTGGTTAGAGCATCAGACTAGAACTTGGGAGACCAGGGTTCAGATTCCCATTTGGCTACTAAGCTCACTGGGTGACCCTGGGCCAGTCACTGCCTCTCAGCCTAACCAACCTCACAGGGTTGTTGTGGGGATTAAATGAGGAGGGGGAGAATCATTTACACCTGTGTTGCGGGGTGGGTGGGATGTATATGATATATATAAATAATAATACTAAGTTATTTAGCAGCGGCAGGCCTCCGGTTGTACTAGCACAAGGGTAGCCATTGTTGGACTCCATCTCCTTTCAGCCCCAGTCAGCCTGCCCCAGTATTCAGGGATGATGGAAATTTTGTCCATCCGCATCTATCATTTATCACATTGGGTATCCCTCTTGTAACAGCAATTGCAGGGAGTGGGCCCTCATTAAATCATTTTGGATTTTTAAAAATTGCTTGGAGGTGAAGAGAGTAATAGTAAAAGTTTTAAAGAAATGATGGATAGAAGTAAAGCCACCTAAAATATGCTGGCAAATAAGATTCTACTCTGCAAATCAGCTGGAGGAAAACAAGAAAGGAAAATGAGTTGCTATTGTTGTCAAGATTTCACTGTCTCAGAGACTGTCCAAAACCAGGTGGTTGGACCAACTGTAGGTTTGTGTATGATGGGGATGTTTTGAATTTAAATACCATTCCCATAAGCCAGGAGCCACAGTCTGTTCAGCCTTACACAGGATTATACACACATCACATTTGCATGTTGTGAAAACCATGAGAAAATAAATTGGTTGGGAAATGTTATACCCTACTTTAATGCTGCTGGTGGTATATTTCTAAGCAACGCCTGTGTTGATTCAGTACTTTCCTCACTTCGGTGTTTGTAAGTCTTGCTTTTAAGTGGTGAAAATAAATCGTCTTGCTTTATTAGGTTCTTAAAAATTATTTTTATTCATCCTTTTATCACAGTGGCTTTCAGAAGAGTCACCCGCACTTCTCGTGGAGATGCATATGGAAAATTAGATGTAACTACTACCTTCCATTTCAGGTTGGAATCGTGTATTGAGGTGAAGAGAAATCGGCGTACCTTAATGCTCAGTTTCTAAGCTGCTTCCGAGTACAGATTGTTCTCTGAATTGGGCCCTCCTTACATTGCATTTTATGGTTCTCTATTGTATATTGGCTTTAATATGTTGTTCACCACTCTGGGGGTGTAGGGTACAGATCCAGAATCCAGGACCGCATAATAGTGCCCCTTTGTAGAAAAAGACCACATACCAGGCATGAAATGCCAATTGCAGTCATACCTTGGAAGTCGAACGGAATCCGTTCCAGAAGTCTGTTCGACTTCCAAAACATTCGGAAATCAAAGTGTGGCTTTTGATTGGCTGCAGGAAGCTCCTGCAGCCAATCGGAAGCTGCAGAAGCTCCGTTAGACATTCGGGTTCCAAAGAACGTTCGCAAACCGGAACACTCACTTCCGGGTTTGTGGCGTTCAGGAGTCAAAACATTCAACTTGCAAGGCGTTCAGGATCCAAGGTACGACTGTACTGTGCCTCCTTAGGAAACAGATCAGACTGATTCCAGCCACCTCTTTCCCTTTAATCACCACTCACTATCCAACTAATATGCCTTCATAAACCAAAGTGCAAGGGTGATGACATTTTCTGCACTGTTTGGGAAATCGAGCGATTCCTGTGTACGCACAGAACTCAGTACATACCGATGCTCCCTGCTCCCTTCAGTGTCAGGGTGCTTGGTTTATCTATTTCAAAATCTGAACTTTTGATGTGAAAGTGCTGTACGGCCTTTGCTCATGCCTGTTCATTAGCAGACCCATTATGCATATGGGGAAATTGAGCTGAGAGATAATACAGGACTGGAGAAGGAGTAAAGTAGACCTCGCTATGTTCAAATTCCAAGCTAACTAATAGAGTTGCAGCCAAACAAGCTCCAGTTAATAACAAATAGGATTGAAAAAAGTTGGGCTGTCTTTGATATTATCCAGGTCCCGAAAGGACTCTTGATTTACACTTTTCTGCTTCGCTGACTATGGAAATTTCAGCACTTCTTTGAACCTGGAACATAAATTTCCAGTGCATTGTTTTGTATTAAATGAGTGAGCTGATCACTTTGTTTGTCCCTGTTTGATCTCTAAGGCTCTTTTGAGCCGATTTTCTTTTAAGCGCTCGTCTGACTCGGCAAAACCTGGCCTCTAAGAAGATGTACCCTTCCATCTGGAACCCTTTTTTCCCCTTGAAAGGCAACGTTTACTGCCCTCTTGGGTGTAAAGCAGCTCAGATCTTTTGAGCTTTGCATAAGGCCCATTTCATTAGCCCAATGGGGTGGGGGAACACCATAACAACTGTTGATTTCAGGAAAGTAGTCAGTGTGATCTTTCCTCATTTCAAATAAAGCAAAGCTGCTGACTTGGCACTTTTTGCCATTTCAATTCTTACATTTCTTTTAAAAAATCTGATCTCAGAGGTATGTGCAAAAATGTTATATAAATTAAATTAAAACACAGTATGGAAATGGGGAGGGGCATTCAACTACATTTTACTCAGACACATTGAAATTAATGAACAGGACTAAGATCCATTAATTTCAGTTGCTCTGCTTGCTATGAGTGGAATGTGGCTAAATATCACTCATTATAAACAAGATAGCAATTCCCTTGTGTTGAGTTACACCATTTAGCTGCCATAACAGGTCAGCATCCAGCCTCTTAATATAAATCATGGATTTAAGAGTTTGATAAATTACATCTCTAAATCTCACAAGAATTAACCCTGCACACGATACATAACTCAAGTCCTCCTTAATGCAGTGGCTCAAGGTACACATTTATCATTGTAATTGCAAAAGTTCATCGTTGCATTTTAATTATTTTACTTAAAAGGTGCATAGGTGAATTTGTAGGGTGGAAATACACTATTTTCTAAATACTGTCTATTTGGAGAAAGGGTATTATTGAAAGGCAACTCCTTTTAGTGTCCCACTTACTGGAATGTAGGTTCATTTGTATAAACACAGTTCAGAATGGTGCCTGTGTCACCTCCATGCTGTTTAAGTCCTCTGTTAATGTCTTCTGTAGCAAGTATGTCTCTTTTGCTCTCCAAGGGTGATATGCTTTGTCCCTAACAGTAACAGCTGGGAGTTTACGGCATTCCAGCTGGAACCCATATCTGACACAGGCTGCAGTCTGGGCATGGCTGTGATGATTCCCATTTCTAGTAATGTTTAGATTAGGTCTGTCTTTCTAAAGTCTTTGGGAAACAAAAATGAAACCACAAATGGCTGTAATTTGCACAGGACCTCACACGATACAACTCTGCTCTTAATCATGCGTCGATGTCAGACAAAGCATTTCATCCGGTTCCAAAACCTACTTCTTTAAAACAAGCAACACAAATATATTCTGAATAAGGCGGAGGATGTATGAGATTTGAAGCTCAGCAGAACTTAAGCCAGTGTCTGGTGCAAATGTGACCACTGAAAGCTCTGTGCGCTACTGTGCAGATGACACATCTGAAAACAATTTATTCAGCATGAAAATGCCTGATGCTGTGAACCACTGGACTAACATAAAAGTATTTAAAAGAGAGTACAGCTGCTTTTGCACGGGGACATTGCTGCAGCCTGTAGCCAGGTTCTGCAACCCAGGACATCATACCAGTACCAGCAAAGAGGTTGATGCGCCAACACTGCCACCAGTCTCCAGTGCTGTGTAGCTGCATTGTAATGACCTGTAGCACAACACAGAACTGGGCAACGATAATGAAAATAGCATATTACTGTGCTATTTCAAATGGTCAGAGCACTTTACATTATTGGAGAGCTGGTCCAGATCCCTGCGGTGTGTTTCCTATTCCACCATGTTGCTTATAAATGTCACCATGCAAATTCTGCCCACGATGTGGTACGCTTCTGATCACAAGTGCGCGCACACACAAAGGTCCAGGCATTATCTAGGCTGGAATGCGGCTGGCAGAATTAACATAGCAAGTTATATTAAATGATATGTGGGGGGAAGGAAAATGCTGACTCTTGTAACATCTAGATTGGATAAAAGAGAAAACCTGGTGTTTACCCTTCCTAAAGAAAGGGTAGTCAATATGGGGCTCTCCAGATATTGGACCCCAACCCCCATTAGTCTCAGGCATCATGACAAACGGTCAGCACCACATTGGTGATCCCTGTTCTAGAGTCTTTTCAGCCCCAATAAGACACAGCTCTTGTTGTATGGGCTTCTTGTTCAGACCCTTCCATATCTAGCACAAACTCCATGTCCCTTCTAAAGCTATCTGTGGCCTTGCGTCAATCTCTTCTTTCAGCTTTTGTTTTTAAGCTGCTTCCCATTATACTCTGCAATTGCTGCTGTCCTCATCCAACGGAAGATCTCTTGAATTCCTCAAACAACTATTGCCCATTCTGCTTTGCCGCCTCCTGTTAAAGGAACTCCATCCCAGAACATATACAGAGCGCCACCCATAGGTGCCAATTCTATGGGACTGAGGACAGTTCAGCCCCCACCCCAAAGTATGCAGGGACAGGGCTGTACCCTCACCCCCATCTTGAGGGGTTATGCCCCACTGGGCCTTCCCGCAGTGGTGGTGAGGCTCCCCAAGCCTCATGGCCTCCTCTTGACATGTATGACATCACATGTGTGATGTCACACACATGTGACATCACACATGTGATGTCATACATTCAACTTGGCGCCTCTGGCACCACCAGCCTGTCGTCTTTATTCCCAACTATAATGACATTTGTCCACTTTCTTCTCTCTCTGTTCTTGGCTTTCGCTTTCCTGTTTCCACCATTAAACTTCTTAAGAGCAGGAAGCCTAAATTTCTTTGTCTTGAAAGAACCACTAAACTCTTTGTTATTGATGGCGCTGTGTACGCTGTAGGGGCAGCATAAATAAATAGTAACGTGCCAATGCTGCGTGACACACTTGATATGTTTAGTATCAGGAATCACAAGTGACTGACAGTTTAGCATAGTGAATTTGCCTTGCATATGATACGACTGTTTACTACACCCATGCAAGTCGCTCCTGTGTGATATTGAAACAGCTCGTATCTATAGAATCAGAATGAAAGAATGGGAAGCCGGCCAAGCAAAACTGCATGTATTTCCAAAGCAGACCATCCTGCCGTAAAAAGCCTTATATGATGCCTCCTGACTAAACTATAAGTTTCTTTCCCATTTTGGCTTAATCGGAATCTAAGCATCAGATGTGGAAGATTAAGCAGTTCAGTTCCTTGCAAACAACATCCAGCTGCTTATAGACTCATTTCCCTTGACCGACTTTTCATTTCCGGAGAACTGATTTCACATTGATTGTGATGATGCAACTTCTGAGGGTTGGGGAATGAGTGGTTGGGAGATTCCAGTTCCTGACTCAGCAAGAGGGAGGGAGCAGGTCTTTACTGGGTCATTCCTAACTTAAGAGAGAAAGGAGACAGTGGCAGCAGGAAATTTTAAGCACCAAAACGTCTCCATGAACTGTTTTCTCTGAAGTTTACCTCTCAATATCTTTCATGACATCTGTAGTTGTGCTATTATGTTTTGCTTCCACCTCAGTTTCCACACAGCATTATTTACTGTGCTCACAGTTTTTTTTACCTACATTTTTGGAGCTTCTGAAACCAGCCTGCCTCAGTATGAGACACTTCATAGACTGCCCAGTTCAGCTCACAGTGTCTTGAGTCTGCTTCCTTTCCTCCCACTCTCCCCAATTCACGACTGAAATCTCTTTTCCAGGATACTGAGATACCCAAAAGAAAGGAAAGAAGAAAGAGACCTGGTTTCCTTCAATGATTACTTCTGTTAAATCACCTCCAAGTCATATCCCAAATTCTGTTAGGGCTCACTGTAGTTGATGGAAAATCTAAAAAGGGCTGAATGTTTTTGGTTGTGGATGTAATATGCAGGAATACTGGTCCCTCCAGAATAGATAATATATGCTGAACTACAGGCAAATTAGTCCAAGGACTTTTGTGTTTAATTTTAAGGACATCTATAACTTTTTTCCCCCCAGCAGAACTGGATTAAATTGGCAGACAAGGCCTCCTCTTCTCAGTGCCTAAATCCTGCCAATTTTTAAAAGGATAGCTGCAGTGATTTTCCTGCAAGGGCAACTATTACATTATTAAAGGTAAAGGGACCCCTGACCATTAGGTCCAGTCGTGGCCGACTCAGGGGTTGCGGCGCTCATCTCGCTTTATTGGCCGAGGGAGCCGGCGTACAGCTTCCGGGTCATGTGGCCAGCATGACTAAGCCGCTTCTGGCGAACCAGAGCAGTGCATGGAAATGCCGTTTACTTTCCCGCTGGAGCGGTACCTATTTATCTACTTGCACTTTGACATGCTTTTGAACTGCTAGGTTGGCAGGAGCAGGGACCGAGCAACGGGAGCTCACCCCGTCGCAGGAATTCGAACAGCCAACCTTCTGATCGGCAAATCCTAGGCTCTGTGGTTTAACCCACAGCACCACCCGTGTCCCGTGATTACAGTATTAGAGTGAGTTGAAAAAAGAAAGAAATCACCTAGTCTTTCCTAGAGTTTTGAGGGCAATTAGCCTGAAAACTGCAGATATAGGAGAGGTGCCCTTGGATAAAGATTTGTCTGCTCACTTGCAGACAAGCAGATCTTTAAACTTGATTTGGGGGTAGGAAGAACTAAAAGGGATGATTTTTTGGGTAAACTATTTCCTCGGATTACACCCACCTTCTGAACGAATAGAAATTTATCCCTAAGGTATAATAAAGAGGTGGTTAATAAAAGGAACCTTCCAGTAACGTTTTGCTTGCCTGTGTTCAGAACCCATAGACCCTGTTTTCAGTGATGCTATCCTTGAACACACAGTGCTGTTCAGCCTGATAGTCCACCAAGTAGGAATTAATGCCAGCGTGATCTAAGCAAGTTAAATACTTGTGGATTTCAGCAGAAGAGTAAAGCACTTGCTTAATATTGCAAGATAGAGCAAGTAACTTCACACAACCGACTTTGGAAAGCTGCCGCACCGATGTTGGCTGTTGTTGTTCTTAACACTATTGCTAGTTCCGTAAATCTAGCAAAATAAATTCCAAGCTAAGTAGTGCTGTCACTCCCACTGCTGTCCCCCCCACCCCACCCACACATTTCTCTTTTAAATCCCGTTTTTGTATTGAGAGCTGCCATCTGTCCCTCTTTGAACAATCACTGAAGCAGCTGTGCGTGTTGTGCCATTGATAACAAAGGACCCCACTTCGTACCAGAGGTAGCAGACTGGAGGTTGCTGGAAGCTGTAAAGGATACTTAAGGTCAGCTGACACCTGATGCTGGGGACCATAGGAACACAGTTAGCCGGCATCTGTGTTGCTTTCCGTACATTTCTCCTAGCAACCAGGAGGGACCCACCCTTATGGGAAAACTATACAAGTTGAATAAACTATGTCAATAAAAGTGCATTAAACCATTCTCCACTTTCTAAGACTTCCTACTCCTCTTAGAATAGCAGTCGTAATATGGGGTGGAACGATTTGTGGACTCTTAAGCACTGCCATTATTTTATGCAGGTGTGTCAAAAGCAGATGTGCTGAACAAATGTTAAAGATCAAGGCATTGTGTTGTTTTTAAAAGTTAGATATGTGTTACGTGAAATTAAAAACCATCAATTCTAATGCCTAAATAAATAAACCTGATTTTGTGACGGCACCTGTAGGATTCTGCTTATTACAGTGGTACGTCGGGTTACAGATGCTTCAGGTTACAGACTCTGCTAACCCGGAAATAGTACCTCGGGTTAAGAACTTTGCTTCAGGATGAGAATAGAAATCGTGCGGCGGCAGTGGGAGGCCCATTAGCTAAAGTGGTGCTTCAGGTTAAGAACAGTTTCAGGTTAAGAATGGACCTCCAGAATGAATTAAGTTCTTAACCAGAGGTACCACTGTATTTGTGTCCATACTAACAGGAAACCAGGTCCAGAGCCTGAATCTAATGAATGAACGGCACACTGCACATGCCTAAATAGAACTGACAGCGTGCTTGAAGATTTGTTTTAAGCTACTGCTGTGTAACACACCTAATCAAAAGTAACTCCCATTGAGTTCAGTGGAGCTTACTCCCAGGTAAGTAGAAAGATGATTGCAGCCTGTGGCTTGAATACACTTCACAAGGAGAAGCCCCACAGAGCACAATGAGACTTTAGGCACACGTAGCGTTGCTTTTTGCAAACAGTTCTTAATGTTTCAAGCATTTGAGGGTCTTCCTTCAAAGTATACTTCTGGGGCTTCTGATGCAAGAATACCATAGCTGTCAACTTTCAGATTTGAGAATAAGGGATCAGCAGCCTCACCTGTCCCGGGGACAGTCTACGGGATATCTAACAATCCAGGATAGCAGCAGGAAGCAGTGGGAAACGGCACTGGAATAAGGGAATTTCCCGCAAAAAAAGGGAAGGTTGACAGCTATGAAGAATACCCCCCAAAAAAGTTTACAAAAATGAGGACCTATGCAAGTCATCTTATGTTTTACTGTTAACTGCAGCCCCACAGCCAGAGTTGGTTGCTCAGTTCAAATACTAATTCAGTCATCTTCCATGCCTTATTGCCCTGGACCCTGTCACTGCCATAGATCCATTCATCTCCATGGAATGCTGCTGTTCTTTTCTTCCCTTAGAGATCCTGAGGTGTTCATTATTTTGTAGCCCCACTTCCTCCACCCTTTCTGAAATTCTGTTTCCTTTCCTGCTCCCCGCCCCCTGCTCTTTCTTAACATTCTTCATACAGTACTTGCATTCATCATTCCTTCAAGCCCCTGGCTCCTGGTTTTTTTAGACTTTTTCGTAGTTCACTGCTTTCAGAGGAGTTGCATCATTTGATGCTGATCGCTTCCCTGTGAGCAGTTCAAATATTTGTGAATGTTCCGTGACATCAGAGCACTAAAGTAGAGGGTAGTTGCAAGACAGAATCCTTATTTATCAGATTTGCTGGAAGCCCACAAGCTGATAAGGTTAGTGTTTCCCAGATCTGGGGAAGTTTGCTTGTGACGTTGTGGTATTTTGATTGGCCTTAATAAAGCTATTACCGTACTGTGGCTTTTATATATTCACTCTGAGGCCTAATAGAGCCTGCTGCAGGTAGTTATGCCCACGGTCACTCATTCCAAATGTACCATGTCTTCGCTCCAAGGCAGGACTGAAAAATGGAGTACGCCATTACAAATATTTGTAATAAGAGTCCTCTCAAGTGAATTATCTAATAACGGACAGTGAACAATTATATGGCAAATTTATCTTGCCAAAATGGCTCTTATTTAATTACTACATTTAGCTTTCAAATGGGTTGTATACTTGCATGCAGTTATAAACTCAGTGAAAGTACCGTATTTTTCGCTCTATAAGACGCACCAGACCACAAGGCGCACCTAGTTTTTGGAGGAGGAAAACAAGAAAAAAAAATTCTGAATCTCAGAAGCCAGAACAGCAAGAGGGATCACTGTGCAGTGAAAGCAGCAATCCCTCTTGCTGTTCTGGCTTCTGGGATAGCTGCGCAGCCTGCATTCGCTCCATAAGACGCAAACACATTTCCCCTTACTTTTTAGGAGGAAAAAAGTGAGTCTTATAGAGCAAAAAATACGGTAAGTTTTAGAGAGCTGCAGTTGTTGTTTTAAAAAAATGACTGCTTATTGCAAATCTGTACGAGAAATTCACACACACACACCCCTTATCTCTGAACTGCCTGCTTCCTTGGCTTCCTGCTGTATGTTGGTTGGGACTGACAGAAGAACCACAGGTCCACAGAACTTCAGATTCTAGGGGTATTGTGGGGTGTCTGATGTCTTCTTCTTTGGCGATCACTCGTAGCCGAGTAAGATTGTCTTCCATACACACGGTTTTAACAATGAGTCTGTAAGTGACTGTGGAGGCCAATTCCGGATCCACACGTCCTTCCACAGTGGGGACATTGGTTTCCAGGCGGGAGTTGATCACGGTGTGGAATTGCCAAGCGTGGCTTCCTCTTGGCACGTTTCTCCCTTGCGTCCTGAGTTCAAGTGTCTTCAAAGCCCACGACACCTTTGGTAAAGGCTGTTCTCCAATTGGAGCTCTCACAGGCAAGTGTTTCCCAATTGTTGTTGTTTATAAGCACAAAAGCATAATTACATAATGTCTCACATTTCAGACTTTCCAGCTACTGAAGTGGTGAGAGCATATTGTAGATGTTATGTACTGAAGTTCTCACCCTGGGCCAGCAGGGGGATACTGTAGATAGTTACGCAAATGAAGGATCGAAAGTGACGTTCAGTGATTGGATGGATACTGTAGATAGTTATGCAAATGAAGGATCGAAAGTGACGTTCAGTGATAGGATAGTTTTAGAAAGTTGTTACAGTAACGTGGTACTGGAGCTCTATATAAGCAGGCTGACTGAGCCCTTCAGTTCAGTTCTGTCCTGGCCTGTGAATAAACAAGAGCTGTTTGAAGAATTGCTGTGTCGTCTGATATGTTCACCCACAACTTAACAGTAGGGCCATTAGATATCTGTAATGTGACTTTCACTATAACACACACCATATTGCCTTTTAAGCAATGTAGAACAAATGGATATAGCATACAGCTGGCAGGGCAGAGCTTTTTCCAGGGCCACATGGCAGACTGAGGCAGCTGCCTCAGGCGGCAGAATTCAAGGGGTGCCTCTGCAGACACACGGCCACCAAAGTGAGGAGAAGTGGTTGTTTTGGCTTCTGACGAGAGCCCCGTGAAATTGCACAGAAGCCTCATGCGCAGTCTTGCAGGGTTCCCATAATCTCTCTCCAGAACCCAGAAACAGCCCGTGCAACCTCAATAAGTGAGGCTGTGGCAGAGGCGACAAAAGGGAGCAGCGGCAGCACCTTCCTATTTCTCCTCAGGTGGCAAAACAGGATGGGCCACCCCGGGCCTTCACTAACCTGTAATCTCAGGTAATGATGCTTCTTACAAAAATGGGGGTCTTACAAGCAAGTCCTTAGTCTGTGAAAAACTGAAAGAGTTTGCTGTTAATCACCTAGGAAAATCACCTAATAAACATCTTCCTTTGGATACAAACAGATGTATGTGGTTGGTGCATGTAGATCAAAGGAAAGCTCGGACAAAATTTCACATTAATTTCATATGCATTTGTTTCAGCGCAACAAATTTTCATAGAGCAGATTTATCCATTTGCTGGAGAGGAAGCGAAAACTCCTATATATTTGTGTTTTTCAAAGCACTCTGCATAAAACAGGGTTTGAAAAAAAGTGGAGGGTGGTTTCTGAGGGGACATATGTCTTTTGTTTTAAGCTAGAGGTAGCCGTGCTGTTGTGTTTTTTCAATCTTCTTTGAAACTGTGGCACAAAAAAAACCATTTAAAAAACCCACAACCTGATTCTGAGAAAAGAGAGTTAGTGAGAGGGACTCTCACAAGACACATTTAAAAAAACCATCATAGGCCTGTGGATCATGTGATATCCTATGTCTGTTTGTAATAGGAGATTATTCATTGTAGAGCATTGCAAATTTAAATTCAGCAATTAGTTTAGCCTTTGATTTAGCAGGTAACCTTAAAATTCACTCACCTTGTGCTACTTTGCTTGCTTGCTTGCCGGGGGGTGGCAGAGAGGATCATGGGAATATGTGTTTTTCGTTCCAGAGAATGCCACAACGAGCTTTTCATTCTGGCAGCCCTGCCTGAAGTTGCTTATACAATACTTTTAGAGGTCAGCGGTTGGTGGCTCAGAACATAACTGCTATTTATGTCTGGTTCTATGATTTCTGGGAAATGTCTCTGAGAAACTATCGCCCTCCTCATTTGGTCATAATCCCAAAGGGACTGGATGTTATATGCTCTCAACATGAACACCAGCATTAACTTTGGTATGCATGGTTTGAAAGGAGTACATAGCAAGACTGCTGATTTGTGGCTCATCTTGAAGGAAGCTTCATCACACAGTATCCAAAGCGATACGTTGCTTTTGGAACATAGGACGCTGTCCCATACCCAGTCAGACTTCCCAGACTTGGGTCTCCAGATCTTTTTTTGGACTACAACTCCCATCATCCCTGACCACTGGTCCTGATAACTAGTGATGATGGGATTTGTAGTCCAAAAATGGCTGGAGTCCCAAGTTTGGGAAATTGCTCTCAGGACTTGATTTGACTCTGAGCTACCAGTTCCTGATCCCTAAGAAAGAGTGAGAAAGTGAAAAAGAAAAAGAGAGTAAGTGAATCTCGGCTGAAGAAATGTACATTTTAAATTGAACTGGAATTGAAGCAGCCTGCTACTTTAAAGGCACGTGTAACAGTGAGATAGCAAAAACCTCTGGGGGTATTATACTGCTTGGGAAAGAGGAATGAGAATTAGCTTTTGATCTATAAAATAGTTGGGGGACGGGGGCTGGCAAATTGCTCTGGTGCCTTTTAGTCTCGGGGGGTGTATTACGAAACGTGGTTTGATCACACAGGCCTTGAAACAATTAGGATGACACATTTAACTACATTCCAGATTTTTATTACTAATGAAATCATAACATGTTTTAGAATGAGGTTTTAAACAGCACCTAAGTGTCTCTGCGATGTAAATTTTATTTTGTTTCCATAAAAATATTGGAATTTCCACCCCCACCCCCTTGTATCCTAATAGATGAGTTGTGGGTTTCCAGGCTGGGTTGGGGTGGTGGTGATGGTTTTCCATCAGTGTTGAGTCATGTTTGGGATCCAAGGATTCGGATGACGATCACAATACTTCTGCCTCTGCTCACTTCTGGCTAAGGTCGCTGCCTCTTATCTCCCTAATAAGCCTGTAGTTTGTGGGTGTTTGCCAGAAATGAGCGTGATGATTTCTCACATTGCACTTTTACGTAGTTAATGGCTGCATTCCAATGCACAATGGAATTAAGTCCCACTGAGCACAATGGACTTATTTCCAAGTTGACATGCATAAGATTGTGCGGCAAACAGCCATGTGAAAACAGCAGTTCTCACATAATTAATAGGATGTACAAATGTACCCTTTTTTGTCACACTCCAGGAACCATTTCCTCCTTGTTACACTGGAATCCTTCCCAAACTTGCCCTTGTAAGAAGTGGTGTGACTTACTTGACCATGCATTCTTTTTTCTCATTATTTCCCAAACTAGTTAGAAGCCTTTTGTTTATCCCTGTTCTCCTCATATGGAACAATATTGCCCGGAGAATGTGAATTAATCTGTGTGTAGTGTAGTTTAATTTAAGGTTACCAGATTTTTTTCAATGAATCTGGGGACACTTTTCAACTTCAGTAGGAATGATAGGATGTTGTCAGGGGACTGATTTGTAAATCCGGGGACTGTCCCCAGGAAACGGGGACGTCTGGTAACCTTAGTTTAATTAAACACAGAGAGAACGCTACCTGGATGAAAAGTGGGTTTGGTTTGCATTGTCTTTAGACTAT